AGGATTCTGGGAGGAGCAGCGTCCACGTGGCAGAGGCAGAGAGGGGAGTTGGGGGGCATGCATGGGGCTTGCGGCAGGAGCTGCAGTGGCTGGGCCTGGAGCAGTGGGGTAGCCATCAAAGGCTCTTGAGCGGAGGAGGTACTAGTAAGGATTGTTCCTTAGAAAGGTCTGTGTGATCCAAGGGCAGAGCAAAGAGTAAAGTGGTTGAGACTATGGCTGAATCTGTAGGTTTTCACTTTGGAACAACCTTACAGTGCTGGATGGAGCTGGGAGCAGGTGGAGTGGCTACACGTGGGAGGACAGGCTCTGGGGTGTCCAGCCAGCATGCAGGTCCTAAGCAGGGCAGGGCAGGGGTGCACCGAGCTGTTAGGAGACTGGGGATGGGTGTCAAGGGAAAGCCTGATGTCACAGTGCGCAGGAGCTCAGTTTTCCCAGGGTAGGGAGGCTCTTACACGAGGTGACCCTGAGCAGGCCTTCCCCCCATGCCTGGCCTCCAACTGGGGCCAGGACAGGGGGTCTTTCCCGCTGTGATGTAACAGGTCAACAATGTTAGCAGAAGACATAGCTCGTGGGTGCTCCACAGAGGCCTCAGTGGGGATCCTCCAATCTGGCCAAGTCTGCTGTGGCCTGGGCCCAGGGCCTAGCATGGCTGCCACCAGAGTGGGCACATCTCTGCCCCCGGGCTGCCCTTCTGCCTTGTAGTGCTGGGCTGGCCCTAGTGTCCTGAACTGCCCTGTGTGGTCACCAAAGCCCTGCCCACACCCAAGCCTCGGCTTTCCGGGAAGAAATGGCCCTGCTCTGAGGTCCCATTGGCCAGGCCTGGCCTCCTTCCCGCTGGCTGCCACCCCCTTGGGCACAGTGCCTGAGAGCCTGAAGACGAGGAGTCCTCGAGACTGCACCTGGACTGCCAGGCTGCTCTGTTCTTGCTTCCTGCCTGCCCAACTCAGGGCTCTGCAGCCCTGCTTGGGGGCTGGTGACAGTGAGGCTGCATTCTGCAGCATCGGGCCGGCAGGGTGAGGCCCAGCATGCTGGTATCGGGCAGGGTGGGGGCACAGGTGGGGTGCTTCTCGGGGTTACACCCTGTGGGACAGCTGGGCTCTGTGCTCAGGCCTGCCTCTACTCCTCCCTCTGTGGACCCTGGTGAGGCCCTACAGTGGCCTGGTCCTCCTAGCCCTGCTTTGTCTTTGTCTTCTTGGCACTGGCGCAGGGCACGGGGCAGCAGAGGCACTTGGTGAGGAGAGAGGGGAAGGAGGTAGGGGTCCTACCACAGGCACGCCGAGTCCATGGGGAAGCGTGGACTCTTGCTTCACCACACAGGAAGCAGGCAGCTTTCAGGAGTGGATGAGAAGCAGCGGGAGGACCGGAGCTCAGGTGTGCTGCCTGCTGGCCCTGGCACTGCCCACCTTCAGTTTCTGCATCTGTAAGATGGGCCCATAGTCCCGGCCTTCTGCCTCCCTTGTGAGGATGGGGTGGGAGGGCTGGGGTGTGACCGAGCAGGGGCACCACGTGGGCTCCCAGGGCACGTCCAGCCCTCGAAGAGCTCTGGATGGCCTGGTCTCTTGTGCTGCCTGCCCATCCTCTGTCTTGTCTCCCATGTCTCCTTGCTGGACCTTTTTTTCCCCAGAACTCCGACTGTGGAGAGTTTGGGGAGAGTGTGAGTACATGTTCCTTATCTGCTTCCTCTCTCCAGCTCCCAAACCCAGGGAGCCAGCCAACCACAGCTGTAGCCACAGCCACATCCAAGTGGGCCCCAGTGCACACCCACGCTCAGCTGTGGTTGCCATGGTGATAGGTCCTGCTGCCTGGACCTCACAGCCTTCAAGCTGCCTGCCAGAGCCTGAGGGCTGGGCAACCGGGTACCCTGCGGGCCTCCACCTGGGCTGAGAGCTCTGGGGCCACTTCTCGCTTCCTTTAGTACCCAGAACTACGCCCAGTACCCAAGGGCTTTCAGAAATGGGCTGCAGCATCTCCTGGAACCTCACACAGTTCTGGGTCAGATGGGCCTGGTACAAATCTTAGTCCTACCACTGCTGGGGTCCAGGGCATTGCAAAAGTCACTGCAGTGTGTTTTGAGTTTTTATTGGATCAGCTATGGGATCTTTGTGGGGAGATGAGCCAGGCTGTGCAGACCCCAGCAGAGGCCCAGCACCCCTACCCGGCTGCTGGGCAGGCTCTCTGCTGGTCAGCTTTCTCTTTGCTGTGGCATTGTGGCCCAGAGTCCTGCCTCCTCCTTCTCCTTCTCCTCCTCCTCTGGGTTCCAGGAGGCTTGGCGGGTGGCCTGTGTGGAAGGAGCTCAGACTCTTAGCCAGGCCTCTGCCACTGGTTTTGACACTTGTCTGGGCCTCATTTTCCTCTTCTCTATGAATACAATAGGATAAATACTTGTAAGGTACTCAGAGGAGGACACTGCAGTGGAGATGTTGTCTCTTCATGTTGTCTGTGTTTTCTTCACACGTGGCTCTTAAATCCACAGTCAGAATCAAAGGGCAGCCCAGAGAGACGGGGTGTCGGGCCCCTGCTCTGCCTGGAGAAGCCCATCCCTCGTGCAGCATTTGAGCTCTTTCTCTGCTGGCAGCCGCTGCAGTCCTGCCCCAGATTGGACCCTGGGCAGTGGCTGCCCGGAGCCTCCTGGCCACAGACCCAAGTGCTGAGGGCTGAGCACACGGGAGGCCCTTCTGCCGCGGCCCTCTGCAGCACCCAAGGGTGAAGGAGGGCCTGTGGGATGACACTGGGGGACGGTGCCAGCTCCGCTGCTGCTGCTGCTGTGGGCTCACTGTCCCCTGGGCGCCCTGACAGCAAGGGCTGCGCCTTCTTCCTCCCTTTCTGTCTCCTCATAGCTCAGCTCCCTCTCGCCTTCCTTCTCTTCCTGACTCTTTTTCTTTCGTCCTCTTTCTGGCTAGATCTTACTTTTGTAATGTAAACGAACACTTTTCCCTTTTAGTTGAAGCCTTTGCACCATTTGCTTTTTAAAAATTTACTGTTTTACATGTTTATTTATTTATTAATAGTAATGAGTTTTACATTTATTAAAGGTAGGAGGGGCCAGGAATTTAGTGCAGTGGTGTGAGTGCCTGCCTGGCAAGTGCTAGGTCATGAGTTCGGTCCCTGGTGCAATAAATAAATAAATAAAAATTAAAGGTGGGGAAAGGGACTCTGTAGAGTGAGACTGGGCCAAGTAAAAGCAAGAAAAGAAGTGCACCTACAGCCTTAGGGGGGGCCTCCTCGAAAGAGAGGACACAGTGGCAAAAACTCAATGGCGACGTCCTGGTCATAGCACCAAGGCTGGCGCCAGGCCTGAGCCTGTTGAAAATCAGGCTGAGCCCTCATGAGAAGCCCATGCTTGGGGCTTTGAGGACTGTTCTGCAATATGTCCCAGGGTTTTGTAATTAGCAGGTCAGGCCTGCTTCCCAGGCAGCTTTGCCACACCTGGCCTCCTGCCTCATTTCTCCTTGAGAGACACAAACCCCGTGTTCTTTGCAGGGTGCTGAGGGAGGGAGGCCTCTGCCTTCACAGAGTGTCTTTCTGTTGGAACAGGCTATAGGCTCTGTATCCCAGGGATCACGTGCAGTCCAGGCACCTCGGGGTGCTGGGCTTACTGGCTGGTCTGAAGAAATAGAAGATAGTCACTTGAACTGAGCTTTGACTGGCTATTTTTTAGATATATGTCTCTAAATGAATGACCTGAATTTCAACTGGGAAAAATACAGAGACCCTGCACTCCCCACTCCCCACTCCATGATGGGGTCATACCAGGAAGCTGTCCCAGTACCCCGAGAAATCTTCCTGAGTTCCCCAGCTCTTCCTGGCTGGCTAGACCAAATGTGTTACTGGCTTTGGGGTGCTAGAGTCTCCTTCTAGGGATGGTTTCTAGGTTCTTTCTGTCCTAAATAAAGCATTGGTCAAGATAAGTGCAAACAGTTGCAGAGTTTTACATTTATAAAAGATAGGGAAAAAAGCAGGCATTGCAGAGGAAGTTTGGGCCAAGTAGGGGAACAGGTGTACTCCACAGGGTGAGGGTGAGCCTCGTGCAAGGGCCCATCTTAAACATTATTTTTATTTTCACAGTACTGAAGATTTGAACCCCCGACCTTTGCACTGAGCAGCATCCCCTTCCCTTTTTATTTTTAATTTTCAGACAGGTTCTTGCTAAGTGGCTAAATCACCCAGGCTGAGCTCAAACTTGTGATCGTCCTGCCTCAGTCTCCCGGAGTGCCGGGGCTGACAGGTGCACACCACCATGTCTGGCTCCATTCTAAACATTTTTAAGGGTGCAGTTCTGCGGCACTCAGCATACCCATGTTGTTGAATGTGGGAACCATCACTGCTAACCTTCTCCAGAATTATTCATCTTTGCAAACTGAAACTCCGAATCTATCCTGCAGTAGCTCTCTCCATTCCTGCCTCCCCCCAGCCCGCAGTGTCTGCTGTTCATCCTACTTTCTGTGTGGATGCTTTGGGCTTCTCTAAGAATGGGGTCACACGTCTGTCCTTTTGTGACTGGCCTGTCTCACTTAGAGTACTCTCCTCAAAGGTCATCTGTTCTGGGGCATGGGACAGAATTTCCTTTCTTCTTGAGGCCTAAGTGGCATCCACTTGCAGTGCGTAGCTCCCACATTTTGCAGAGAGGGGTATCTTTCAAAAATGGAGGTCCAGGAAAAAAAAGCCAAACAAACAAAGAATGGAGATCATCTAAAGCAAAACCAAAGTGCCTGCCTGGCAAGTGCGAGGCCCTAAGTTTGAATTAAAATTAAATTAAAAACAAAAAATAAAGCAAAATTGAAGCGAGGAGGTGGATTCCCCGTGTTCTTCCCTCCCTTCCCCTCGTCACCGGGGGTCCGAGGGTGTGCTGACATGGAATTGTTGGCCAGAAGGAAACCAGGCTGTGGTGACACCCGGAGAGCCCAGGGCTCTGACTCCACGGTGGCCTCAGGCTCCTCTTCCTCAGGCCCTGGGTCTTCACCTGGAAAGAGTTGACCTCCCTGTCCCCTTGTGTTCCCTAGAGCTTCGCCTCTGTGTTCTCAAGCCGCACATCCCGGAAGTTGGCCTCCCACTCAGGGGATGAGGGTGCCATGGGTGACAGCAAGGATGACCGGAACCCCACGGAGGTGCAGATGAGCCAGCTAGTGCTGCCCTGCCACACCAATCAGCGCGGCGAGCTGAGCGTCGGGCAGCTGCTCAAGTGGATTGACACCACGGCCTGCCTATCTGGTGAGGCCCGGGCTCGAGGGCGGGGCTGTCCACTTCAGAGGTGCCGCTCTTCCCCTGAGTGGCACACTTGTTCCTCTCCCACAGTCTTTGCTTATCCTGACCTGCTGGCCTGAAAAGTCCTTGCAGTTTCCTAGGGCAGCCTATCCCTCTCCCCAGGGCCCCCAATCCCCGGTGCCTGGGTCATGCCTTGAGGTCCCAGCTTCCTTGCAGCCTTAGGCCTGGTGGCTTCATGACTGGCTTGAAGATGCCAAGCTGAGACTGGGGCTGGGGCCGCCTGCTCTTCTCCCTCCTCCGTCAGAGCTGAGCTCCTCTCCTTCCTCTCAGGGAGCTCACAGCCTGCTGGATGCAGGACACACAGTGACTCTACTGCCCCCTACACCACTGAAAGGCATCAACTCAGCTTTGGGGACAGGGAGGGGTTTGCAGAGGGCGCAGGCTCCTGAGGAGAGGCCCGAGGGTGAGAGGAAATCAGGCGAGGAAACAGCAGGTAAAGACTCTGGTGTCCAAAAAGGAGGGACTAGGACAGCATGGTGTCCATCCACTGCTGCTCTCTGAGTGTGCCATGTGCCAGGCATTGATGGCGATAGCCACAAATAGGACAGGACAGTCCCCCAGCTCCCTTGTAACTCACAGCCTCACTGAAGGGAGGGGACGTATACTGGTGGAGCCCAGATATATAAAACCAGTCAAGGTGCAGTGAAGGACCAGAAAGAAGTCGGTCAGGGGTGGCCCGGGCTCGGCAGCTGGGGAAGCCCTTTGAAGAGGTGACATTTGATCAGAGAGGCCCGTGGGACGTGAGTGGCTGCTAACATCTATCTCTCTTCTCCCATTGCCAGCGGAGAGGCATGCAGGCTGCCCCTGTGTCACAGCCTCCATGGACGACATCTATTTTGACCACACCATCAGGTAAGTGGCATCTCTGGTTTTGGGGTCCTGTTCTCCCCTCACAAGCCAGAGCCTGGCTGGACTGTGTGGCACCCAGAGCCCAGCCCTGGTGAAAGGCAGCTTGTGCGGCCGGGGTCTGTCTGCTGGTCTCTGGGCTGCTGTGGCCTGGGAGTTGAACCCCCGCCAGATGCCATGGGCTGAGGGGCTCCCTCGGCAGGGACAGTGCCAGGAAAGTTGCTGACAGTTTGGAGTTGGAGTTGCTGGAGTGCAGCGTGGCTTTGGGGAAGTCAGTCTCTGTCGGTGGGCTTTTGTTATCAGGCAGTCTCTGTGGGTCCCAGGACGGTCCGGAGACCCCTAGACAGGCCACCGTGCTGAGGCCAGAGCTGGAGGCTTGGCTGTCAATGTCTTTGCAAGAACCTGCAGGGTCATGGGGCGCTTGCACCAGAGCAGGCCGTGCAGACCTGTTTCATTTGTGATTACTGGAATGCTCCTCCTTGAGCTGGGCCTGTGTGCACATCTAAAATCCCAGCACTCTGGAGGCTGAGATAGGAGTGGGAGGATGGCGAGCATGAGCCCAACCTGGGCGACTGACGAGGTCGCAGAAGTAAAGAAGTGCGTGCTCGTGGTTCAGTGGTAGGCACTTTGCTAGCAAGAGTGAAGCCTGGGTATTGAAGGAAAAAGAAAAACTACAAAGAGGAGAGAAAGAAAGAAAGAAGGAAAGAAGGAAAGAAAGAAAGAAAGAGAGAGAGAAAGAAAGAAAGAAAGAAAGAAAGAAAGAAAGGAAGAAGAGAGAGAGAGAGAGAGAGAGAGAGAGAAAGCAGAGGAAGTGGAAGGAAAGGTCTTGGTACCGCACTGAGCCTTCTCCCACGGCTTTACCCCAGTTCCAGTCCTGCTCCTGGACTTGAGGAGGCTGAGCTGGAGGCTGCAGTGGAGGTACACGGAACTCTGTCCCTGGGCCTGGCCCTGACTCTCCTTCTGTTGCTAGGCCACCAGGTGCCAAGGCTTGTTCTGACTGCCAGGGGCAGCATGTCCAGGGTAAGGTGAGGTCATATTGTCCTCACCCGGCTGTCCTTGACTGCATGCTGACTGTTAGGGGGCACCTGCTGGTCAGGGCAGTGGTCTCTGTTCCCAAGAGCCCCCATGGTGCTGGGGAGGCAGCTGTAGAGGCATCAGTTCCATTCAGAGGGGAACACTGGAGCTGGGGCTGGGGTGCACTGTGTGCTCAGTGAGGCCCCAGTCTGACCCCCAGCCCTGGGCCACAGCAGCAACAAAGAAGCGGGCCATAGGCTGGGGATACAGCTCAGTGGCACAGGTGCCTGCCTGGCAAGCACGAGGTCATGAGTTTGATCCCTGGTACCAAAAGAAAAAAAAAAAAAAGAAGCAGGCTATGAGCTGTGACGTGTGATGCTTCCTCACAGTGTCCTAAGGACCTTTCATTCCTCTAGAGTTTCAGGTTTACACAAAAGGTTGTTTCTAGAGGTGGTGGGGTTCCCATCTCTGCCGCATCCCCCCATTAACTCCTTGTATCTAGGGGGTTCCTTTATCACAATTAATGAACTAATATTGACACCTTATTTGGGAAGATTTTTAAGTATTAACCTATTTAATGGTGTCTGTGAGGTCAGAGTTGTTAGAATCCTCATTTTGCAGAGGAGGAAACAGTTGCAAGTGAAGTAACTTTAAGGTCAAACTCGCTTAAGTGGAGGACCAAGGTTATTCTACTAGAAATGAGTCTGGCCCCTGAGTTTTGCTCTTAACAAGTGGGCTACACTTCCCATATATCTGGGGGAGTCAAAGGTGGCTTTCTGGAGCAGGTTTGACCTGGCTCCAGAGCAGTCAGTCACTCTGTGCTGCCTCTGGGAAGGCATGGGGCCAGCTAGGTGGTGTCACAGGGACTCACCTGGCTGCCAGAGACATTCCAGGCTGCACCAGAGAGTTTGGGGCTGGCTCGGCCACACAGTGTCTGGGGTCGCAGCTTGGCCGCTTCAGAGCTGGGGCCTTGGACAGGTGCCTTAACCTCCTGCTAACTCTGTCTGCTCAGCTCATGCAGAGGTTTGAATGAGATTGTGCCTCACCAGATATAGCAGGCATTCTCTTGGTGTCTCTGTTCCCTGTCCACTCCTCTCCTGCCCCTGGCACTCAGTGTAGGGAGGACCCACCCTGAGCTATGTGCCAGGCTGCGGAGTCACGGGGAGCAGTGCTGACTGCATGTGGGGCTGGGGCTCATGAGTGCAGTGCTTGCCTAGTGCGCCCAAGACCCTGGTTTGAGCCCAACACCCTGAAGACAAAGTAGCACACCCGTCCCTTCCCTGCAGAGCTTAGAACAAAGGTTAGCAGTGTGAGGAGGGTGCTCCCCAGAGGGACTCGACCCAGAGGGACTTGGAGGGCAGGAGCACCACCTGAGGAGGGAATGGGGCTCAGAGAGCAGGAGACACTCAGCCTTAACTGGACCAGGGCAACAGGGAAAGAAGGGGAGATGGCGGCTGTGTGAGTGAAACCAGGACACTTCTCTCAGCCTCCGCTTTCCCACCTGAGGAACGGGGTACGGACCCTGCCTTGCTGGCTTGCATGGAGGAGTTGGAGACACTGTAGGTGTCACTGTGCCCTGCCAATCCTGGCCCCGTCCCTCCCCTGCACCCTCAGGAAGGCTCACCTCCTGCCTTCCTCTCCCCAGTGTTGGACAAGTGGTGAATATCAAGGCAAAGGTGAACCGGGCCTTCAACTCCAGCATGGAGGTATGTGGGGCCTGCTGGGTGGGGCTGGGCTGGCGTCCCCCTCTTGTTCCTGCAGCCCTGGCCCTGGTATACTCATATCAAGGGCCTGGTGAAGCAGTAGGCTTCTGAAAGGGTGGCAGGGCCAGGAAGAGTCAAAGATCTTCTTGGCCAGCAACCCACAGAGCAGAGAAGAGATGAAAGCCCAGGCAGGGGCCTCGGCAGTGGGAACAGACTTGGGGGTCCGGTCCAGGTGCTCTCTCCAGCAGTAAGTGGCAGGGGAATGGAGTGGGGGAGTCTGCTGGGTCTGATCAGGAGGCAAGGAGAATGCTAGGCGTCCACTGGTGGCTCACCTCACACGGCCTCTGTCTCCTCATCTGTAAAATGGGATCATGCCCTGTGTCACAGGGATCTGGTGCTGAGGTGTAGGGCTCTGAGCTTTGTGTCTCTGAGGTTCCACTTCCCCACGTGAGCTCAGGCCTAGGCAGCTTCCTCTAGGTGGGCTGTCAGTTCCTGAGTGCTTACAAAGGCCTTCAGTGCCTCCAAACACCCTACAAATGTCTAAGGGCCCCCAGGAACCCCTGATGTCCATCCTTTACATTTTACCACTAAGTTACCTCCTGAAACCCTCAGGTGGACCATGTCACTTTAGTCTCCTCAATGGTCCTTCACAGGTGGGAAATTGAGGCCCAGGGAGAAGAAGTGGCTTGGAACAGGTTCTTCAGGGATCTGGGCACGGAGTCAGAACCGACCCAAATCCCTGGCCTCTCAGACCTGAGACGGCACCGAAAGACCAGAGGCTGGGTCTGGACGGCCTTCCTGCCTTGTTCGCCTGGGCCCGGAGGTTGTGGGCTCTGTGTCACCCTTCCTCATCCCTCCTACCTCTACTTCCTTTCAAGGTGGGCATCCAGGTGACCTCCGAGGACCTGTGCTCTGAGAATCAGTGGACTGTGTGCAAGGCCCTGGCCACCTTTGTGGCTCACCAGCAGCTGTCCAAGGTAGCCAGCTGCTGCCACCCTCAGCGCTGCCTGTGGTGGGCTCAGAGCGGGGTGCCTTGGTGCCTGAGGAAGGGAGGCCCACTGCACCCAAGCCAGGACCCCTTCTTCCCCCCCTCCCCCTTACAGCACAGGTGGGGCCAAGCCTCAGTACGGCTTCTCGATCCACAGCAAGTGCTGCTCTCTGGGTCCTTTGCCCGAGGTGGGCTGTGGGGGACTGGAGAATGAATAGGTCACAGCAGTCGAAGTGGAAGTGGGAGGGTGGGCACCAGAGGGAAGGGGCCCAGCCAGTGGATGCCCACCTCGGCATGGGGGAGGCCGGGAAGACTGTGCTGTTCCAGGACTCTTGTCCTGAGGCCCGCCCCCCCCCCCCCCGGCTACCAGGTAAAGCTGAAGCAGATCACCCCGCGGACAGAGGAGGAGAAGATGGAGCACAGCGTGGCTGCTGAGCGCCGGCGCATGCGGTTGGTCTACACAGACACCATCAAGGACCTCCTGGCTAACTGTACTGTGAAGGACGGTGAGCAGCGGCTGTGGGCATGGGAGGGTGGCGGGAGGCCCACAGGGCTCTGCCCGGGGCGCTGGCCAGATGCAGGAGGACCTGTAGAGAAATCATTCCTTTGTGGCCATGGTGGACACCTCAGGCCCCAGAGCTGTGTGCTTGGGAAGATGGGGCTGAGATAAACTGGGAAGGCTTGATAAACTGCTGTGGGCGTGTGGACGTACTTCCTCTTCTCCAAAGAAGATACAGACCGAGAGCAAGACTCCTCCGTCCTGAAACCCAGCTCCTGAGTGTGAATATCTTCCCAGAAGTGTTCTCTGAATGTTCAGCATCCAGGGCTTATTTAGTCCCTGTTCTTACCCAAGACGGAGAGGCGGGACCTAGAGTCCTGTCCCTTGATTTCCTCCCTGAAGTCTCTCGGTGTCCTCCAAGAGGGGTCACAGTCTGGGTGTGGGGACTGCGGTGGGTAACTCCACAGTCTCTGAGTGTCCGTGCAGGTCTTTGTTCAAACCCCAGGAAGGCGACTTTAGGAGAAAGGAGGGCACTCAGCTGCAGGAGAGGGGGAGAGTGGTCACTCCCTCCTGTCCCCGGCAGCCCTGGTGTTGCTGCTGCTCCCAAACCCAGTGTTCTTCTACCCTGCTCCACGTGGCACCGCCTTGGGTTGGGTGGGATAGACGGTACCTGCTGCCTGGAAGTCCAAGGCCCTGCGTGTCCTCTGGCCTGTCCTGCTGAGGGTGTTCTTGCAACCAGGGACAGGGGACATCAGGGACAGGAGATGTCGGAGGACAGAGGACATTGGGGTGAGGGAAGGTCAGGAGGGGTAGGAAGAGTTGTCCTGAGGTGTAGCCGCGGGTGCATGTGGAGCTCTGCCCTGCGTACCCCCACCACACTTCTCCCGGAGTGTGCGAGCGCTATCAGGACAGAGCAGACTCCTGCACTGTGCACCCTTGTGCCAGTCCCCAGGTCATACACCCTGGGTAGGACAGCCGGGGTTCAGACCAGGTGTGTCTCTGCTCACACTGGGTGTCCTGCCCACTGCCTGTGACAGGCTTGTGTCTCGTCCCTCACCCGGGACCCGCCTGTGCCTTGTGTGCACTCAACATTGAGGGATTAAGGACTGTGGGTGGTGTGGGGCCCCAGGACCGCCCAGGGGGACCCTCTCACTTTCCCACCCCCTGCCTGGCCAGACCCCGAGATCAGGGACTGCAGCCGCACCGTGCCAGCCGAGAAGACCCGCGTGGAGAGTGTGGAGCTGGTCTTGCCGCCTCATGCCAATCACCAGGGCAACACCTTTGGGGGCCAGATCATGGCCTGGATGGAGAATGTGGCCACCATTGCAGCCAGGTGAGCGTGCGGCCTCTGCCTGCCTCCTCTTTCCTCCCCTTGGTGTTCCCAGGGCCGGAGAAACCCCTTCTGATGTTGGCATTCAAGCCCTCAGATCATTTGGTCATTCTGTTAGGGTTTCCCAGGACATTCAGCCCTGAGAGAAATGGTTTCCTGGTAGCTGGCCATTTATTCCTCTACCCATAAATTCCACCACAGTCCCTCTGCCTCCTGGGCAAGCCTCCCGTGGGCTGGGGATGTCGCTTAGTGGTAGAACACTTGTGCAGCGTGCACCAGGCCATGGGGTCAATCGCTAGCACTTCAAAAACAACAAACAAACAGAAACCCTTGATTCACTTGCCTGCCCTCCCGGTGAATGCGCTTTTTAGAATCAGCCATTGCCGTTCCCCACCCCACCTTCCCGTTCTTTCCTCCTCAGCCTGTGACATCCTGCAGCCACTGTGCTGTCTGCTGGCAACATGATCACCTCCCCGCTCTGCCCAGAGCCGCCTCTGACTGTCCCCTTCCTCCCATTGTGGAAGCTGTCCCCGATCTCTTGGTCTGGGGCGTGTCCTGCCCTCTGCAGGGTGTTTAAGCACCCTTTGACAGCTGCATGCCAGAGCTGACACTGAAAGCTCCCTGACTTTGTACCTGCTGCTTCCCCTGTGTCCTCCTCTGCCAGTGGATTCTCCCTCCCGTCCTCTTCCCTCATTCTTGGGGCCTGGCCAGGCAACCAGTGAAGAAGCAGGGCTGTTGGGCAGCCCGGGCTGGGGGTGAAATCTTGGCAGTCAGGGAAGGCTTGCTGGAGGAGGAGCACCTGGGCTTTGCATGACAGGTGCTGTGGGGGAGGGAAGGCTTCCCAGGGATGGGAGGGCAGGTGTTAAGGGGCAAACACTGGAAGGAAGCTGGGGACTGTCCTAGGCTTCCTTCTGCCACCCTGACCTCTGCTCTTTCCCAGTCCTACATGTGGAAATGTGTGAACAGGGACTTTGACGCTGTCCTCTGAGCAGACCTGTCCCTAGGTTGGTCCCTAGGGTGGCACACATGGTTGCCGCTGGGGAGGGGAGACTGGCCCAGGTCAGCAGCCACAAGCCAGGGGCTATCTCTCCTGTTCCCGTAGCCGCCTCTGCCGGGCCCACCCTACACTGAAGGCCATTGAGATGTTCCACTTCCGGGGCCCATCCCAGGTCGGGGACCGCCTGGTGTTCAAGGCCATTGTCAACAATGCGTTCAAGCACAGGTGAGGGGTGGGGTGCAGGAAGAGTCTCAGCCTCTGTCCGGGCTGGGCCTCCGTACCCACACTGGTACACGTAGCTCCCCTGCTTGGGGCTCCTGGCCACTGCTGTGTGGTCCCTGGCGGCCTCAGGAGCTCAGCACATTCCTCCAGCTCCCTCTCACTGGGACTGAGTTGCCTGTCAGCCTGGGAGGCCTCACCGAGGAGGCAGGGAGAATTCGGATGCTGGGGTGAGGCCAGCCACTGGGCTGGCAGGCAAGGTCCTCCCAGCATACATCTGGCTGCTGCCGGATCCTCTTCCTCCTTGTTTCTGTGATCTTGGCCAAATTTTTGTCCTGTGCCAGTCTTGTGTATAAAGTCCCCCTTCTGCAGTCACAGAACTTCCAAAGATATGGTGAATGGTGGTGACTGTGTGCATTTGCTTATTTATGCTGGGGATTGAACACAGGGCCTTCTTTGGGTGCTGTGTCTCTAGCCCTTTTTATTTTCATTTTGAGATAGGATCTCGCTAAGTTGGCCACGCTGTATGCAAATTTGAGATCCTCTTGCCTCGGCCTCCCAGAATGCTGGGATTCCAGGCCTGTGCCACCATGCCTGGCTGTGGCTGCTGCTTTATAATTGATAAAACTAACGAGGCATGGCTAGCTGGCCACCATAGGGCTGGGAACCTGTATAATGGGTGAGGTTCCTGATTAGTCCATCTGCCTCTGCTGGTGGCCCGCGTCCTCTCAGACCTTGGAAATTAGAACTGCGCTGTGTCTCTCTGCTTCCTCCTTGGTCACTCCCTAGCATTAGCCCGGAGGGCCAGGACCGAGCAGGTTGACTCCCATCCATGTGCCCAGACTGGTCACACACAGGTGCTCTGTAAACACAGGTGGATGGGAACACTTCTGCATGGAGCTAGAACAGAGGAGGGTGTGAACATGCGTGTGCGTGCATGTGTGCGCGTGGCTCTGTGAGGACTGCATACGTGCTGCTGGGGGGAGGGCGTGGCCAGCACTCCCTCTCCTCTCCTCCATAGCATGGAGGTGGGAGTGTGCGTGGAGGCCTATCGCCAGGAGGCTGAGCCCCGCTGGCGCCACATCAACAGCGCTTTCATGACCTTCGTGGTCCTGGACGCGGATGACCAGCCCCAGAAGTTGCCATGGATCCAGCCACAGCCAGGGGTGAGTGGGGGCACCTCCCTTCCTTGCCCCTCTGGCCCTTGGGTCTGAGTGGTTTGGGGTGGCCCTGGCCCTCTGAGGAGAATAGCTTACTTTGAATGTCCCGGTGAAGGCAGCCGGGCAGAACCCAGAACTGTGTGGGGCCTGGCTGTTACTGATGTGAAGGATCCACCTCACCTGCAGGACAGGGAAGAGCCCGACTTAGGGGTCCCCAGAGCCAGAGCATTGCCTGAGCCATCTGTGAATGGGCCGTGTGAACAGCAGTTCCACCTGGGAGTATGTGCCCTGTAGACCCTGCCTCAGGGCTGTGGAGTTTGGGGGTTGTGGGGACCAAGCCTGCAGGGGTCACCGTTGGGCCTGGGCTTGAGACAGTGTCTGAAGAAGGCTATCCCTGCTTCCCAGAAGCCGGGTGGTGACGCAGCGAAGGCCTCTCTCCAGGAAGGCGCCCCTGTCCCCACTGACTGCCTTATGGCTGGGCACAGCCATGCCAGCCTGTGTCTATGGTGTGAAGCTGGGAAGAGAGGTGGCCAGAGGGACGGCAGCAGAGGAGAGGGAGCCCTGACCCTGTCTCCAGGCCCTTGTTAGATGAGCACTCCTCCACCAGCTGTGTCTCCAGCTCGTCTTTTTATTTTGAAATGAGGTCTTTCCAGGCTGCCCAGGCTGGACTTGAACTTGCAGTCCTCCTGCTTCAGCCTCCCGAGTAGCTGTGATCACAGGTGTTTGCCAGCTGGCACTTCCTTTCACGCTTGTGAGTGGGAACCTTAGAGGTGGTGGTGTGAGAGTGGGCTTTGAGCCAGGTCATCTGGGTTCTGCCGGGTACTCTGGCCTGCAGTGAGCCACCCTACCACCGCAGACTCAGTCTCTCCCCCTGTGTCATGGGGAGAGTGTATGCCGGCCATCGGATTTTCTGTGGGAGTGACAGGCTTTGAAAGGGGCTGGTTCATAGCAAAGCCTGAGTACATGGGCAGTCATGATGGTGCCCTCTGAGGGTCCCTGTGTGACAGAGGGGGAAACTGAGGCCTGGTGAGAGAAAGCAACATTCCTGGTCACTCAGACTCCTGGTAGAGTCAAGGTGGCAGCTGGTGCCCAAACTTTCCTGGCCAGGACATTTGAACTCAGCTCCGCTGGAGACCTGAGCTCCACACTGGTGTGCAGCGGATGTGGGGAGGGGCAGAACAGGAGTTCCTTGCTGTTTCCCCAACTGCAGCTTGTCCCTGCTTCCTTCCAGGATGGTGAGCGGCGCTACAGAGAAGCCCAAGCCAGGAAGAAGATCCGGCTGGACAGGCGAGTGGGATGGACGTGGGGAAGTAACCCTGGGCATGCTGTGTTTCTGGAGCAGCCAGGCACTGGGCTGGGCCCCGAAACCCATGCAGCCTTTAGACAGCTGGCTTGTGGCCCGTTACGCAGGCCTGACACACAGGGCAAGGATTTGGTGGCACACAGCAGGTGGCGCCAGTGGGCAGCAGTGGAACCTGAGCAGCCAGGTGATAGCAGAGCCTGTGTTTCCATTGGCAGAGAAAGGCAGGCAGGTTGGGAGAGGACATGCAGGTGTGCAGGCCGTGAATGTGTGGACTCTGCCGCCTGAGCGCCTTGCAACTGCAGGGTGCTGCAGACATGCTGGGTGCACAGGTGCCGTAAGTCGGAAGTGCACTGGAGCTGTAGTCTCAGCAGGCTGGAGGCTGAGGCAGGAGGATCTCCAGTTAAACCCAGCTTGGGCAACTTAGTGACTTAGTTAGGCCATGTCCCCCCAAAATCAAAGGGGAGCCAGGCGTAGTAGTGCACACTTGTAGTCCCAGCACTTTGGGAGACCAAGGCAGGAGGATCACTGTGAGTTTGAGGTTACCTTGGGCTACATAGTGAATTTAAGACCTGCCTGAACTACACAGTGCGACCCTGTCTCAAAAAAACCAAAGCCAAAACAAACAAACCAAAAAGCCAACACCCCCCACGAATAAAAATAAAGTAACAGAAAGAGAAGGGGAGCAAGGAAGGGAGGAAGGAGGGGAGAAAGGTGTCCCACATTGGAGCGTTTGCCACACATCAGTGCTGCACTCCTGGTGGGACCCTCAGGGCTGGTGTCTCTGCCCCATTTCTTAGTGCAGACACTGGGGCAAAGGGTGAAGTCACTCTACAAGGGTGTGAGGACTGAGCCTTCAGCTGCCCTCTGCCCAGGCTGTCCCTCAGCAGGCTGAGGTCCCTACCCTCAGCAGCTGTCCTATGGGGTGTGCGGTCACCTGTACCTGCTCACCCGGAGCCCACCCCTCCTGCCAGGCCAGCATGAGGCTTCCTGCCTAGGGACCCAGAGTGCCATCTTCTCCCCTCACAGGAAGTACATTGTGTCCTGCAAGCAGGCGGAAGTGCCGCTCTCTGTGCCCTGGGACCCTAGCAACCAGGTAATACCCTCTGCTTCAAGGGGACAGACTCCAGGCCCATGGGGTTCCCCCCCCCCAGCTCCCCCTGCTGGTCAGAGTGAGTCTGGAGGGGGCCCTGCAGGGAGCAGGGCTGTGGGGAACTGTCTGCTCATGGGGGTCAGGGCCAGCCAGAGCTCCCTTCTGGAGGCCCGGGCCTCTCCCCAGTAACCCCAGCCTCCCAGCCCTAGCTCCTCTCCTGCACCCTATACTGCCTCAACCCTGTGCTCTCTCCAGGTGTACCTGAGCTACAACAATGTGTCCGCGCTGAAGGTGCTGGTGGCCAAAGACAACTGGGTGCTGTCCTCAGAGATCAACCAGGTAGCTGAGCCCACCCTCATCTCCTGTCCTTACCGAGTGGCTGCAGAGGCTGGTGGCCAGCGACAGGAGTTCTTAAGCTCTAGAAACACGTGTGTCCCCAGGCCGGGGTGAAGAAGCCCTGACTTTTGATCCCCTCAATGGACAGTGGAGAAGACCGAGCTCCCACTCCGGGCTGTGCCCTTGGATGGGTCTGTGCTCTGCCTCTGACACTGGGCTGAGGGCCCCAGCCCTGAGGGGCCATGGCACTGCTGCCTCCGTTCCTGCTGCAGCTGCCCGTTTCTGTGGCATTCTCCGAGTCCATCCGCAATAGCTTGGGAGTTCATCACCTGTTGGCAGCCCCAGTGTCCCAGCAGGCCCCGCCCAGCCAGCACAGCCCTGGAGGGTGCTTGACTGAGGCTGTGTCTGCCGGGCAGGTCCGCCTGTACACCCTGGAGGAGGACAAGTTCCTGTCCTTCCACCTGGAGATGCTGGTGCACGTGGACGCCGCCCATGCCTTCCTGCTGCTCTCAGACTTGCGACGGAGGCCAGAGTGGGACAGGCACTACCGGTGAGGGCTGTGGCACGGGTGGGCAGTGTCTCTCTGCCGTAGGGCACCTCCTGTCAGCCACATGGGCTGGCTTGGGTTAGGTAGAGTCAGGGTGATGGTGAGCCCTCAGGGAAGATACCTGGAGGCCTAGGTGCATCTCATTTCTGTCCCTGCTGGGCATATGCCTTTGAGCAAGTCACTTCCTTTCAGGCTCCATTCCCCCGTCTTAAATAGGCACTCGGAGGTGGGTGGGCCGTGGACTTGCCCTCAGGAATGGTAGAGTGACTTTCAAGCTGTGTGCCATGGGGGTTCAGGGACGCTTGGTCTGGAAGGCAGAGGGATGTGAGGGCCCCTTCCCAGGCTCAGTGCAGTGAACAAAACAGCCAATTTGCAAAATCCACCAAATTTGCGGATCCTTCCTATAAGTTGGTGCATGCATAGCCTCTCCTTAAATATAGTGAGTGACTTTGAATCCAGATGTGATTCCTTTAGAAATCTGCTCCCTACATTTACTGACTCTTTATATCTTTAATCTTCCTGAATTCAGTCAGACAAATGTTTTCAGGAAAATGGACAGAAATGTCAGTGTTTAGGATGTTTGAACTAGTGCTTTTCTGGTGCCCTGGCTCTGGGACCTTGAAGCATCTCTCTAGGGGCTTAGATGAGGGCGTGTCTTGGGGAGCCACCTAAGGAGGGGTGCATTCTGGAGAGTCTACCATGCGTGTCCCCACGAGAGCAGAGGGCCTGGCACAAGAGCTGCTGGGGTAGCTGTGTGCGTGTGGCGTGCGAGGCCTGGTGGCCCTGAGCAGCGGTGTCCCCGCAGGAGCGTGCAGCTCGTGCAGCAGGTGGATGATGATGATGCCATCTACCACGTCATCAGCCCGAGCCTCGGCAGCGATGCCAAGCCCCAGGACTTTGTGATCCTGGCCTCACGGCGGAAGCCTTGTGACAACGGGTGGGTGCCTGTCTTTCAGGGGCACGGTAGGGTGGCTGGCGGGGAGGGCTCAGCCAGAGCTCTGCTGCCTCCTGGCAGTGGGACCTCCGGCCATCCCGTTCTTGGCTGTGGGTTTGCTGGGAGAAAGTAAGTGGGAGAGAAAGGTACACACTTGTGCCTTAGAGCAGGATCTGTGATGAATCGTGTGCTCATGTCTGTCTCACCCAAGGCTATGACAGAGCGCTCTCCTACGGCCACCCCTTGGCCACTGTCCTCCGGAAGCCTTGTAACTGGAGGAAACAAGCTTGCCAGTGGTGTTGGATCAGAGGCCAGGACAGATAGCTTCACTCCTGCTGTAAACAGGGACAGGAAGGGGAAGAACAAAAGTCTCAGGCCAAGCATACTGGTGCATACCTGTGACCCAGCACACTGGGAGTGTGAGGCAGGAGGGTCCCAAGTTTAAGCCAGCCTGGGCAATCTAGGGGCTTAGTGAGACCTTGTCTCAAAAAAATAAAAATAAAAAAGGGGCTGAAATATAGCTCAGTACAAAGTCCCTGGGTTCAGTCCCCAGGACCAGAAAAAACAAAAGCAAAAAGTTACTTGTCTGGCAACCTGTAACCCTGGGAGGCTGAAGCAGGGTGTCTGAGGCCAGCCTGGATTATATAGTGAGTTTAAGGCCAGATTTAAATAGTCAGACCTTGCCTCAAAACAAAAACCTGTAGTTCTTCCCAGCATATCCAAGGTAGAAAGGTCTCCCCAGAAACCACCCCCAGGGTGGGGTCACACTGGCCTCTGCTCTCCAGACTGGCCCTGAGCCAGGTGTCTCTTTGAGAACTCATGCCAGGTTGGGGAGACCGTCACCTCCTTCTAGCCCTGCCTCCTCTCCAGAGACCCCTACATCATTGCGCTGAGGTCGGTCACACTGCCAACGCACCCTGAGACGCCAGAGTATCGCCGCGGGGAGACACTGTGCTCAGGCTTCTGCCTGTGGCGAGAAGGGGACCAGTTGACCAAGGTGAGACCTGGGGTCCCCTGCTCCCCGAGGCTCTGCCTCTTCCACATTCATTGAGGTGGGTGCTGTTGGGGTGGGAACATTCCAGACCCTTCTGCTTATCAGAGCCTGGAAGAACTGCGCATATGGGGGCTGGAAACGGACCCCATTAAGATCTGAAGTCAGAGGCTGCTTCGAGGGCTTGTAGAAAGCCCTGGTGCTGCCTGCGAAGACCTGGTCCCATCTAAAATCCCATCTATTATTTATTTGCCTAGATGACCTTTCTCCTCCAGGAAGGCTTTATAGGGCTCCCAGGGCCCACGAAACTCAGCAGAGCAGGGGGACCACAGCTTCCTGCATGGCTCAAAGCTTTGGGAACCCCAGGTTGGCCAGGATGTGGTCTCAGCCAGTGGCTGCTACCTGAACTTACTTGTACCCTGGAGTACCTTGGAGTGACCCCAGAGCATCCTGATTAGAAAGGATTCAGTGCTGGGGTCTGGGGATCCGCTGGGGTCTCCTGGCTGGCAGGGAAGATGCAGGTGAAGGTCACCACCTGAGGGAGGGTTCAGGGAGCCTTGTGGACTTCATATCTACCAATTGGACAGTTTTCTAAGGGAGCTGACTTGTGGTTGCTGCCCTCCCAGAGGCCAGGCTCCCCAGAGGCCCTCCCACCCCTTGTTCCCTCCCTGAGCACAGCTTGTGCCTTGTAGGTGTCCTACTACAACCAGGCCACCCCTGGCTTTCTCAACTATGTGACCTCCAACGTGGCTGGCCTGTCCTCGGCATTCTACTCTACCTTCCAGGCGTGCGAGCACTTCCTCCTGGACAACCGGAGCGACCTGGCCCCCAGCCTGCAGACACTCTAGGAGCCCAGCCCTGCTGCCTGAGGGTGCACGCACAGTGTAGGGAGGAAGGCCAGGTGTTTATTCGTCCTGCCACCCATGAAGCCATGGCCCAGAGATTAGCCAGCCTGGCACTGCTCACAGCTAGGCAGTCAGTTCCTGCCAAGGTCTGCCAGCAAGTTTTGGCGCTGCTCCTGGGTCAACCTGTAGTAGACCCGGCTTCTGTCCTCAGCCCTGGCTGCTACAAGTCCTGCCCGAACAACTGCAGGGCTGCTTCTAGCACGGCTGCTTTGCACCGTGACAGTGGCCCGGGGTGAGGCCGCCAGTAATGTGGCCATTACCCCTGCTGGGCTCTGCCCCAGTGGCCCAGCCTGTATCTGGAAGGACACTGGTTGCCAGAGCCCCTGGTATAGCTCTAGCATATCTGTGACCAGTTGCTCCCTGTAGCCACCATCCAGCACCTCCTCGGGCCAGCTTGGGGCCAGTGTCACATGCGGGAAAATGTCAGCCACAGCAGTGATCAGCTCTCTGCCATCCATGTAGCCAGGGACTGCAAAACTGCCATGGGAGACTGTGGCCCCAACCCACACAGGCCGGGGCAGGTGGCCAAGGGAAGAGAGGTGTGCCAGAGTGGTCAGAGCTGGCCGCAGGGCTGCAGGCTCTGCTATGTTCATGTGGACACCCCAGCGCCCAGGGCGCATGGCCAGCTTTAGCAGGGAGGCTTCCAGTGTCAGGGTAGGGCCACCTGGGGCATGTACAATGGGCACAGGTTCTCTGGTTGCAGCTCCTTGGAGGCCGATATCCAGCAGGATCATGCCATCTTTGTCTGCAAGAGGATACAGGGTCTGCGGTTTGGGCCATCATGGGCTGTTAGAGACCCCTGCTGATACAGTGGAGGCTGACAGAGATAACTGGAGGCCTTGCCTCCAGTGGTGGGAACCTGCTGGCTTAGTTCTGGACTCCACGTTCTATGCCTGATTGACACAGTCAGTGGCCAGCTCAGCCCTTGGCCTGCACCGCCCTTCCTATGGCATTGTGTGGCTGAGGCCTGGAGGGCTGAAGATTGGGAACCCCCTGTTCTTGGGCACTGACACCCTCCCTTCCACCCCACATTTAGTATGCAAGATGTGGCTTACCAGGGCCTGTGTTGCCATGGTAACAGACCCAAGGTATTCACTCAAGCACAGGGCATTGCCACAGACCTATGGGGAGCACCCAGGCTGCAGGCACTTACCTGGGAAGATGACCGTGGCTTCAGCCCCATTGCCGTGGACTTCTGGAACCAGCCACTCCCAGCCCAGCCCATCACAGCCTCGAGGCTGGAGAAGTGGCTTCAGGCTGCCACCTGTGTAGTACACCTGCTTCCTTGTGGTATTCACTGTGGGAAGCCAGAGTGCCTGGATGAGGTGGCTGCCACTGCTCACACAGTGCCTTCTGTGTGCCTGGGCCCAGAACAACCTGCTGGTAGCTGCCACTTCCCACTCGGTAGATTAGCAGATGCCGTGTGCCAAAGTCTGCAGCATTGAGAGTTGCTGGAACCAGGCTGAATCAGAGCTGTCTGGCCCAAAAGCTGGCATCCTTTCCCCTCACTTGTGGCTCCCCACCAGGAATGGTGTCTGATGGGACCCCCTGGGCTGGCTTAACTGTGGACCTGCCTAGGTTCAAGGTCAAGAGCACCAGAGTTTTGCAGAGGTGCATCTGATTGATGGCCTTGGCATGGAGAGGGGCTGTGTTCTCTGAAGCAGTAAGGATGTGTGTAGGCCTTGCACTTTGCTGGGTTCTCATCTGAGGGGTGCAATGAACAAGTTGGGTGACTCTAAATTCCTTAACTGTTCTGGGCTCCATTTCCCAAAGGCTGTATGAACCTGTGAAGGCATGTCACCCCAGGGCTGGCATATAACAACAAGGACTCAAAGACTCCCGCCTCCCCTTGTACCTAGGACTCCTTGCTTCCCTTCGGCTGTGCTCCAGTGCCCGCCAAGGGCTGCCCTGCGCAGCCCACCCAGGCCCTGTTCTACCTGCCCTCCTTACAAGCCAGCTGCTTGAACTGTGACAGGACAGGCTCAAAGAGGTCATAGTAGACTCGGTGGGCCTCCGTGTTGTCCCGGATATAGAGGAGATCGTCTACGGACACTGGATCGGTGGTGCCCTGCCACAGCGTCAGGGTGTACCTGGGTTCAAAGAGCTAGCTTAGTACCCTTCTGGGACCTGGGAGGCCGTCAGGTCCACTCCTGTACTCAGAGTGGGACCTAGGCCAGGCCCAGGCTTGGAGGTCTGCCCTCCAGCTTCCCATCAGCCCCTCTCCCTGGGCATCAACCTCTCCTGGGGCTGCTAAAAGCAAAGGCCAGAAGGAGGTGTTACCCAACTGGTACACCTGTCTTAGGAGAGGGAGGGCCAGAAGAACCAGAGGAGGAAGGGGATGGAGGGAGCAGGTGGGGGGGGTGCCGTTTTGGGCCCTTCAGCCATGGTAATGAGAGCTGGGTTTGGAGCCAGCAGGGGCTGTGATGGGAGCTTCAGGTTCTTTACCTGTCAGATTGGTCCAGCAGCCAGCTGAAGTGGGGCCAGGCCCTTCGCACCATGACAGCCCGAACAGGGAAGGTAACCTTCTGTGGCATGGTCCCCACCAGTGCCTGCATCTCCTCCAACATGGCCCTGGTGTATGGGCCAGTAAGGAGCGGGGCTGCATACAAGGTGGTCCAGCCCACGGACAGGGTGGTCCTGGGGTACTTCTCCTGCACCAGTGCCAGGAACCTGCAGAGCAGCGGACACTGGCATGCAGAGCCCCGCAGGTCCCTCCCTCCCGGTGTTCGGAGTGGGAGGAAGGGGTAGGGTCTGCGGGGTCTGTGATGCCAGGGCAGCGGGGCAGCTCACAGTCCCACACACAGAGGGTGCACTTTGAAATCAAAGTCCCGGTCCAGGTCTTGGATGAGACTTTGAGAGATTCTAATAGCATCCCTTCTGGAAGGACAGGGCTTCCTAAAACATCCCCATCCAGATGGGAGGCCGAACTGGAGCTCCAAGGGGTGCAGATCTGGACTCTGCCAGTTGCAAGTCTCTAAAGTGTCATTTAAAAAAATTTTTTTAAATTTGTTTTTCTTTTTTTGGGGGGTGGGGAGTACCAGGAATTGAACTCATGACTGCGCAATTGCAAAGCAGGCGTTTATGCCACTGAGCTAAATCCCCGGCCCCAGTAATTTTTTAATTTGAATTTTGCCCTGATGCGAATCTCAATAGGCAAACAGGGTTGCCTGTCACCCCCTCCCCAGTGAGGGGAAGGAGAACAATTAATACTGCGCAAGACGGGTTATATTAATCTCAGGCCATTGACTACATTCTCAAACTGCTGCTTCCCGGACGCACATCTGTGTATCAAGTGGACAGACAGAGGGCTGGGTGGGGGGAGAGGTGGAGGGTCAGAGAGCATAGAGCTTAGCATCGAAAGGCCTCAGTTTGAATCTGTGCTCTGCCACTTGTAGACCTAGGCAGGCAGTGACTTCTGTCAGGTAGCTCCTGTAGGCTGAGATGAAAGACGGCTAATACCTACCTCATTCTCACCGTGGGAGTTAATGGTATTGTGCAACAAAGTGCTTAAAAGCCATGCCAGGACACAAAATAAACACTCAATAAACGGAGCCACATTCTTGTGAGCTTTTTTCCCCAACTAGTGCCACAAAAGGATTCCATTGCTTCGTGCTCTGCTCCTTAACCTTTTGCAGATGTAGACCACATGGGCAGAGCTCACAGGGCTGCTGGAGGAGGGGCAGGGTGGACTTCCAGGAGGGTGTCGAGGGAGTCAGGTTTTAAGATTTTTCTAGAAGGCCAAGTCCTGTGCTTTTCACCAGGGGAGCAGGGCATGAGGCAGGGGTGACAAACCTGCCAGCCAACGGTGACTGCCCAGTACATCAGGGCTGTTAGGAAGTTGGGGGCATAGGTGACCCCCTCCATGTCCCAGGGTGCCAGAGATGTTTCTGAGGGCAGCGGTGACCAGGCTGAAACTCATCACTAATCTGTGATCCTGGCACTCAGGAAGCTGAGGCAGGAGGATCACTGTGAGTTCAAGACCAGCTTAGACTACACAGTGAGACCTTGCCTTAAGAGAGAGAGAGAGAGAGAGAGAGAGAGAAAGACAAGAGAAAAAGAGAAGGGGCCTCAAGTTGAGGCAACATGCCAGGGACTGGAGCAAACTCCGCAAAGTCCCCTGGGGTCCTTCAGTCCGGGTAAACACTCACTGTGTGGCATTGACCGGGATGGAGATAGCATTGTTGGGACCCCGCAGGATGTCAGCGTTGACCCACACAGGCCTTTGCACCCTGCCAGCGTCAGTCAGCTGCCGAAGGAGGTCCAAGGAGGGGCCTACGGCCTTGAGGCTCTTGAAGTCCAGTTTGATGCCTGTGGAGAGCGGGGAGGGGGGCGAGCCCTTAGGAAGCCCAAGGTCTCCAGAGTAGAGGGAGAAGTGGGCGGGACGGCAAGGTGGTAGACAGGGCCTGGGTACCGGTAACACCACTGTGGGCAGGAGCAGAGGTGCCTGAGGGAGGGGCTATGATTCCCGGATGGGACGGGACTCGGGACACCAGAACCTAAAAGGGGGTCCCTTGGCTTCAGAGAAAGGGAGTGGAGAGCAATGCAGGCAGGGACAGCAGCCAGTGTGAACGAACCCCATCAAGGTAGTGGGGAGACGAGACCAAGGTGGTACAGGAAATCATCTAAGCCAGGCCAAGATAATTGGGTACTCATAGACGCTCAAGTGAGCAGTACTCACAGTCAAGGGACACTAGAGCTGATGAGGAAGGAGGTCCAAGAGATGATGTGACTGACACTGGACTTACAGTTAGCAGACATGGCCTGGGCCTGTAATTTCAGCAGTTGGTATGTGGGAGGCCGAGGCAGGAAGGTTGCAAATTTAAGTCCCACCAGGCAAAGGACTGGGGATGTAATTTAGTGGCTGAGAGCCACTAGGTTCAGTCTCCAGTCTTGCACTGATAGATAAGTGAGCTAGCTAGACAGGTGGCAGGGGATGTGGCCTAGTGCTAGGTGACTACGCAGTGTTGGTGCCCAGCATCTGAAGGAGAAGCGGGAGTTAGGATGGTGCCTAGATCCTGCTGTAACTGGCAGTGGGACCAGATGGCATCAGGGTGGCGCTTGGCTTTTGGCCTGTTGTGCCCAATCTGTGGATCCCGGAGGGACTACCCATAGCACTATCTCCCTTGAGCCTGGGCATGGGGAGTGTTGGGGAGGGGAAGCTGAGGCAGAAAACTCCTGAGGCCAGACCTCTAGTGCAGGGGGACCTTACCCTTCTGGGAGTGGGTTAGCACGGTCTGCAGCCAGTGCTGCAGGGTGTTGTCACTGTAGATGGCTGGCGGGTGGGCCATGATGGGGATGCCTGTCTCACTGGCTGTGCCAAGCCCTTCTATGTTGACATCTGCCTCCAAGACCATGGAGTCACCTGTTGAAGAGGGAACTTTTAGTCATTTCATTTTGTAAAACAATTTTCCAGCCTCCTGCGGTGATTCACACCTGTAAAGCCCATCATTTGGGAAGCAGAGGCAGGATAGTCATGAGTTTGAAGCCAGCCTGGGCTACATAGTGAGTTCAAGGTCCAAGACCAGTCTGAATGACACAGCAAGACTGTTTCAAAAAGCCAAAAAAATTTTTTTATATCAAAAACATTGTAATCTGTTACAGAGCCAGGTGTGGTGATACACGCCTATAATCCCAGCACTTGCTGAAACAGGAGAATTGCCCCAGATTTGAGGCCAGCCTGAACTGCAGTGAGACTCTGTCTCAAAAAAACTCAATCTTTCCTTTTTGCTATAGAGCACTTGAAAAATACAGAAAAGCAGAAGGAAGGGAAGTGTGCCCACCACATTTCCACAGTCTGCATCTTGTTGCCTTTCCTTTCATTTTTGTCTCTGCCTACTTTCTGCACAGGTGAAACTTCCCAGCATTTATAATTTGTTTCTGTGACACAGTTTCACACTCCTTTCTGCACCTCATGACAACAAGGACAACTGCCCTGAGAACACCAGGAGAGGAGCCCATCTCCTGCTACTGAGACACTTTTGATACTTTGTAGTTTCTTAGAACTGGAAAATAATGAGACACATTGTATTCTGATTTTCTGATAGTTTCTGATCCCTCCTTGTGGAATTTGAGTCAGAGGGGCAAAAATGGAATGAGGTCAAAACTCATCCCGAGTTACTTTCCAGACAAGATGCTGATTCATGGTCTCAGCCAGGGTATACCAGATGGCTGGACTCACCACCCATGGGTACCACCACTTAACTCTAAATTAACTCAGTCAACTGGGCATGATGGCGCACTCCTGTATTCCCAGTACTAGGCAGGCTGAGGTAGGAGGAAGCTTGCAAGTTCGAGACCAGCCTGAGCTACAAAGTGAGTTCAAGGCCAGCCTGAATCAAATAGCAGACCGTCTCAAGTAGACAAAACAAAACAAACACAAACAAACAAAAAACACACACAAAAAACCAAACAAAAACCTTTGACAAAGGGCTTCAGTGTTTCTCATTCGGAACCTCTCCTGGAAACTCAGAAGTTGTCCCTCTTATTTTCAGTAAAACTCGACCTTTCTCTTGGTTTTTTACTTCATTCCTAGATGTTGTGAGACCAGGAACTGGACACATCTAGCATGCTGCAAGTTACTGTCTACACCTGACCCTGCCGCTTCCTGTTAAAAAGCAAAAACTCCTGGTCCTGAGTTTTCGAGTCCAAGTTCTCCCCTGTGGTTCATGGTCTGTGTGATCAGACCCCGCGTTCCCAGCCTCCCCTCTGGTCTGGCTCCCTGGGCCCTCAGTGCTGGCAGTTCAAGGCAGGTTGTGAGCAGCAGGCGGGCAGGACAGAGGCCCCGCTGCCTGCTCTTGGAGCAGCCCTTTTGCTCCGTCTGTGCTGGGATTCTGAATTCCTACTACCTGCATAGTAGGGGTGAAAAAGAGCTTTCAGATGGCTGTCTAGGCGAGCCGGGGTGCGGTGGAGCTCACCTAGATTCCCTGCACTCAGGGAGCATGAGGCACCGAGTGGGAATCTAGCCCAGCCTGGGCAGCTTAGTGGCCCAGTCTCAAGACTGAAAATAAAAAGGGCTGGGGGGCTGTGGGAAGAACTTAGGGTCCAACCCCAGTACCAAAACCAAACACCAAAATCCCAAGGTTTTTGGATTTCTGCTGGGCAAAGGTGGCTGAGTTTTGCATCAGCGTCCTCAAGTGGTGATAACCGCCGGTGGCCCCAGCACTCGGGAAATCTCCCATCACATTGCAGGTGGTTACATGCCTTCCAGAGACCATATCTGGGCTGATTTGCTTGAAGAAGGGAGGGAAGGAGAAATGAGCCACGAGGGGTGCATTGGGTCCCAGTGTTATAGGCAAGCTGAGTTAGACAGAATATTTAGGAAGTCAGACAGAGCTGGGCCCTGGAGGGAGCCAGTGCAGATCAGATATTTTGAAACCTTGGAGGAGACAGATATCTCTGCTGTGAGCCAGATCTCAAGACAAAAGGCAGCATACATCAGGGATTGATACTCTAAATAGGTATCAATCATCTTGAGGAAGCCAGAAAGAACCATTAACCCAACCCCCTACAGGCAAAAGCCACAGACCTAAAGTGTGACATTGGGCAACACTCCCCCCACTCTGGATCCCAGCTCCTTCCTCTGACCTCCGGAGACTGTTCTGGAGCAAAGGGTGGTCCCGGGGACGAGCAGCGTCTAGGGTTTCCTGGGAACTTGTTACAAGGTAAAACTGAAGACCCCACTCAGAACCAGGGACCACAGGACCCAAGTCTCCTGAAGTTCATGTTTGGAGCCCAGTCCCTTTATGTTCTGTAGTTTAGGGTTGACTGGTGCTTGCTTCCCAGCTGTCCTGCAGAACAGGGGTCTCCCTGGAGCCTGGGCTCTGTGCACAGGGCAGACTGCAGGGAGGGGAAGTTGGCCATCTGGGCTGGGGCCCATGTGTGGCCTGGGGGCATCCCATCTGGCAGCAGGTGGCCCCTGGCTTCTGGGACTGTTCTGCTCCTGAGGCCGAGAGGCTGCACACCGGCTCAGGTATTCATGAGTTGTTTTAGCCCTGCTGGGCCTCAAGCACAGGTCTCTGGCTTCCTTTGTCTTTAAGGGCAAAGGGTGCCACAGGCAGACAGGTGGTGCCCGGTGGGCCAAGGGACATGGCTGGCCAGGGCAGCATGGGAGCAGCTTTGCCATCAGATACCTGGTCCAAATCTGAGCTCAGTGTTGCCACAGGCTGAGCTGGTACCCTGAGCCCAGTGCCTGCTTCACTAGGGCAGCGTGAGGAGTGCAGGCCTCTGCCCTCCCTCCTTGCCCTGCTTCCTGGCAGAAGGACTTACTGCTCAGGCCCTCCTCCATCTCAGTGCGGCTGTTGGCCCCATGGCTCCAGGTGACCAGCAGGCCATCGGGACTGCTGACCTGGCCGAGGCTCAGCAGGTAACTCAGCATATCCCCTTCGGGGTGGCAGACGTCCCCCTGGCAGCCTGGAATGAACACCAAAGGGCTGTCAGTGCTAGCCTCGGCCCACCCTGGCTCTTGTCCAGTCACCCGACCTCGTGCATCCAGCGCATGGTCAGCAGTGTCTGCAGGACCCGGGGCCCCCAGAAATATAAGACAGGGGCAAAAGTGCTGGCCTGGGGCATTCGGGAAAGCAGGGCTCACTCAGAAGGGGACATTTCGGGGAGCTCTCGAAGGGTGGCAGAAGGGAGGGAATAGGTGATTCAGGAAGAAGGACTGGCAGAAGTGACCACATGGAAAAGTGTGGCTGTCTGAGAGAATGGCCACTGGACTGGGGCAAGCTCAGTGGAAGAGTGCTTGCCTGTCCCATGAGAGGCCCCGGCACCATTCTCAGCATCAAAAGGAGCAGAGGAAATGGCCTGGTATGATGGACAGAGAAACGGTCAGAGCAGAGGGGAAAGATGGCGAGGGTCAGGTGGGCAAAGGCCTTGCATGGCAGCAGGGGTAAACCTGCGCCACAGATGTGCGTGGGCAGTGTTAGCGCAGGCTGCTGAGCAACATGGGTGGGGGCAGAAGGACTGCGCAGGTGTGGAAGGCCAAACAGGGGCCAGGAGGGGGAGACTGGAGGCCTCAGAGGCAAGTGGGCGAGAGGAGGGGAGCCCCCAGGAAGGCTCCGGCCAAGAAAAGGCGGGCTCGAGGCCAGGGAGGCAGAAGCAGAGGAGCTCTGCAAGAAAGAAAGCACAGGTATGATCCCCAAGGGGGAGCGCCCCGCCCCAGGGCACTGGGGGCTGGTCTCCAGGCAACCTAACCGGAGAAAGAAGGCCAAAGGAACTTTCTGCCTCCACACACTTGGGGTGGGAAAGAGGCGGCCAAGCTGGTCAGCATGGCACCTACCTGACTGGGAGCCCCAGTCCAGCGTCAAGGCGAGGACCATCCCGACAGTTAATGCCAGGGTCACGATGATACCGCTCACCAGGGCATACTTGGTCGGCCTGTCCAGACACTGCTTCCAGCAGCCCATGAAGGCTGTCTTTGGAGGATCCCCAGACTGGAGACTCTGAGGTGTCCTGAGGCTCGGATCAGCGGGGGCAGGAGCCCAGGCTGGGCAGAATTCTTCCCGGGGCCTTCGGGCTCTTGTAATGCTGGGTCACTCCTGCCCCTGGTGGAGATAGCACCTGAAGTCCCTCCTCCTCCCACACCCTCACTGTATCTCAGCAGGTCAAGCAGAAAATCCTGTCTTCCCCTAAATGACCTTTGAGCACTGAGTGATCTCTACCATCCCTCACTCTTCTAATTTGAGCCCTTTCTGCCCCACCCAAGGACTCCCTAGCGGGCAAGGGTTGGCAACAAAGACAGATTAGATCTGCCCCAAGGATGTGACTTTTCTTTCTATCTGAGATCCTGGTTGATTGGACTGGGATTGAACCCAGAGTCCTGAGCCAGGGTGTGGTGGTATATATACCTGTGATCCCAGAGGCTGAGGCAGGAAGATCACTGGGAGTTCTGATGGGCTACTTAGGGAGTTCAAGGTCAGTTGGAAATACATACTCAGAAAATCAAATACATACTCAGAAAATCAAAAATAGAGCTGGGTGGTGGGGCACACCTGTAATTCCTGCATTTGGAAGGTTGAGGCTGGAGGAGTGCAGCAGTTCAAGGTCAGCCTGGATTACACAGTGAAATTGTTTCAAAAAGCAAATAAACCAAAATGGATAAATAGAGATGGGGATTTAACTCAGCATCACAGGTCTGCCTGGCAAGTGTGAGGCTGTGAGTTGATCCTTGGTACCAAATAAATAAATAGAAAACCAAAAATAAAAAATGAAACAATAGTACTGGGGATGTAGCTCAGTGGCATAGTGCCTGCTTAGCAAGAGTGAGGTTGTGAGTTCAATCCCTGGTACCAGGAAAAAAAAAAAAAAAAAGAAAGAAAAGAAAAAATAAAATTGAGCATGGTGGACCACCCCAGTAATCCCAGCACTCTGGAGGTTGAGACAGGAGGATCACCCTGAGTTTGAGGCCAGCCTAGGTGTGATAACTCGGACCCCGGTATAAAATCCAAGGAAGCAAGAAATTAAAATTTGGGAAGAAAGGCTTTATTAGGTAAAATCCAGGCCTGGTGACGAGTCTCCTGGAGCCAATTTGGAGACTGCGCACCTCACAGCTAAAAGTCAGGACTTTTTATCTTGTAAATCCACAAACAGCTGCTGGTCACACAATGTAAGGAGCGGGCTGGGGGTGTGACGCACTACAAAGCAGAAACGGCAATTGCAAGTCTCCCCGAATACTAGCAAGTTTAGATAAGAAGAAATCTTGTTTTTCTTAGCAAAGAATAGAGAAGTCTAACAGCAATTAACAACCTTAGTTACCTTACTTTAGCACAACTGTTCTATTTGTAGAGGGCAACAATGGTTAACATATCAATTAGGTAAGATTTTACAATTCTTTACAGAGGAGAGCATTGATTAACATATCAATCCTTTGCCCAGAGGGAAAGGAAAACACACATATACAGTAAGGCCAAGTTACAGGTATTGCTATGATACAAACGAAGCTATTTTTGTGAAGAATGTACAATCTAATACAATCTAATGCAATTAACACAATTTGTGACAGGCTACCGGGTAGAGAAGACCCGGGTTGTCAGAAGCTATTACCTCAGGCCTTTGTTTTATGGCCTTTAGGAAGTTAAAACTTAACCTAGTTAGATTTGAAGGGAGAAGGGGAGGGGAAGCAGCAGGTGGGCTTATACAGAACAGACCTTACTGCGAGATAGTTAGGGGGCCTTAGGTTATAACACTAGGCTACACAGTGAGCTCAAAACCAGTCTGAACTACATAGTGAGACTCTGTCTCAAGATAATTAGATAAATAAAGCAAACCTGCAAGTCCTGGCATGTGACCTGAGCTTCTGCAGGCCACCTCTGGGTCAAGGCACCCTGGACATGGGGGTGGGCTCAGGAGTGCTCGGGATGGGACGCAAGTTAGGGGTCAGCCTCTGCAGCCTAAATGTAGCTGATGTCCTCAGGGACTTCTACTTGGAGATAAACCCAGAGGGCCGCTTGTTGACAGATTAGTGAGGGAAATAGAGGCACAATGAGTGTGACCACTGGTCTGGTTTGTATTTTTCCTTTAATTAGTAATAATAAAATACATTATTTATTGATTCCCTGTAGTAAAGTATATCACACCTTTACCTCATCTTGTCACGATGCTGCTTTTTTCCCCCCTGGATTTCTGGGGATTCAAGCCAAGGGCTTTGCACTAAGCTAAGTACCTGACATTTTTAAACTTCATAATTTGAGTCAGGGTCTTGCTAAATTGCCCAGGCTGGGCTCAAATTTGTCATTCTCTTGCCTCAGCCTCATAGGATTCTGGGATATAGGTACGCATCATCACCGCTAGCTTCCACATGATTCTTTTTGTTGTTATTGTTGTTTTGGAGACAGGGTCCTGCTATGCAGTTCTGGCTCAGGCTGGCCTTGAACTCATGGTGATCCTCCTGCCTCAGCCTCGAAAGTGGGAGGCTTTACCACCAAGCTCAGCTTGTATTTTTTTTTTTTTTTTTGGTCTCATTGCTTATTTTCTGAAGGTGGCTAGTAGTATTAATTTCAGACTTTGCTACTTGAAGTATGAATGTTCAAGTGATTAAAGGAACTCTAATGAGCAGACAGTATGTAGCCTCAAAACAAGTGGGGAGTTGGAGAAGAAACACAAATCCAGGAATCTGGAAGAAAATCAGAGGGAAAAAAGTCAGAAAAGTGGAAAAACAAAGTGAGAATCAAAAAGGAGGGGCTGTGCTTCTGGTAAAGACAAAGCCACTTTTCCCAGATCAGTGATCAGACTGCAGCTGGTGCTGAACTTGTGGAGAAAAGGGAAACCACCACTATACGGCTCTGGAGACCGAACCTTGGGCCCAAGGTATGCCAGGGAGCCAGAGGCTGAAAGAAAAAAAGCCTGGTGGGCCCAGGACTTTATTTTAAAAACGTTTTTGAGGGGATTTAGCTCAGTGGCATAAGCGCTTGCCTTGCAAGAGCGCGGTCGTGAGTTAGATCCCTGGTACAGATTAAAAAAAAAAAAAAGTTTTTGAGACAGGGTATTGCTGTGTAGCCCAGGGTGGCCTTGAACTTGCTGAATCCTCCTGCCTCAGCCCCCCTCCTGAGTGCTGGGATTGCAGGGGTACACCACCATACCCGGTTCTCCCTCTCTCATTTTGTGAGTTCTGAAGTTCTTCTGTGATAACTCGGACCCCGGTATGAAATTCAAGGAAGCAAGAAATTAAAATTTGGGAAGAAAGGCTTTATTAGGTAAAATCCAGGCCTGGTGACGAGTCTCCTGGAGCCAATTTGGAGACTGCGCACCTCACAGCTAAAAGTCAGGACTTTTTATCTTGTAAATCCACAAACAGCTGCTGGTCACACAATGTAAGGAGCGGGCTGGGGGTGTGACGCACTACAAAGCAGAAACGGCAATTGCAAGTCTCCCCGAATACTAGCAAGTTTAGATAAGAAGAAATCTTGTTTTTTTTTAGCAAAGAATAGAGAAGTCTAACAGCAATTAACAACCTTAGTTACCTTACTTTAGCACAACTGTTCTATTTGTAGAGGGCAACAATGGTTAACATATCAATTAGGTAAGATTTTACAATTCTTTACAGAGGAGAGCATTGATTAACATATCAATCCTTTGCCCAGAGGGAAAGGAAAACACACATTTACAGTAAGGCCAAGTTACAGGTATTGCTATGATATAAACGAAGCTATTTTTGTGAAGAATGTACAGTGTAATACAATCTAATGTAATTAACACAACTTGTGACGGGCTACCGGGTCTTGGGTAGGGAAGACCCAGGATGTCAGGAGCTAGTACCTCAGGCCTTTGTTTTAAGGCCTTTAGGAAATTAAAACTTAACCTAGTTAGATTTGAAGGGAGAAGGGGAGGGGAAGCAGCAGGTGGGCTTATACAGAACAGACCTTACAGATAGTTAGGGGGCCTTAGGTTGTAACACTTCTATCCAGTTACTATCATCTTAATTATCTTAGTGATTGGTCATCCTTAAAAAGATGTCCTTTAGACCGGCAGCCACAGGGTCCTCCATTCCTTGTCCCAAGGTCTCTGTGCCCTGGCCCTGCCCTCCTCCTGCCCTGTCCCACACAGTTATCTACTGAGGATGAGGTTGGGGTAGGCAAACATCAAGGCGTTGGGAAGACACATACATGTCTTGGTTTGTGACATTAGGCCAGTGTTTTCTTCCTGTGGGCCTCAGTTTCCTCATCCCAGGCAGCCTGGTTCCAAAGCTCTCATCCCCCCAAGATCAACAGAGGTTTGAGGTTGTACGGTGAGCGGCTTGGATGGTGCATTTTAAGCACCAGGCCAGGCATTCATACTGCAGGTCAGTGAGGTTCTTTCCAGGCAGAGTGGGGAGGCCTGAGCATAAACTTTTTTAAAATTTAAGTTTTTGGGCTGGGGGTATAGCTCAGTGGCATAAGTGCCTGCCTGGAACCTGCAAGGTTGTGAGTTCAATCCCCAGGACCAAAAAATAAAAATAAAAAAGCTTTTATGTGTGGTACAGTCCCAGCACTCTTTATTTTAAGACAAGGTCTAAATAAATTGCCTAAACTGGCCTCACACTTGCAGTCTTCCTGCCTCAGCCCCCAAGAGTGCTGGGACAGATTCTCCTGCATGCAGGCAGGAGCAGGGGCCTTATTGGCTGGGGAACTTCCAGATGCTGGTGACCTCACAAAGAACACAACCCCAGCCTGGCCTTGCGGGAGCCGAGCCAGGTAAACTGAGGGGTGCCTGTGGGCAATTTCCAGGGGTGGGGTCGGCCTCCACCAGGCAGGTACCACGTTGACCCCACCCCTCTGGGAAAAGGCTCCCTTTTGGCTATAATCTCGCAGTTAGAACTTTGTATCTTTGATTTAAAACTGAATTTTCTGTGAAGGTGAAGGTAACGCTCGGAACTGACACCAGAAATTCAAGGTTCAAAGAGGGGGCACTGTGTCCTGAGACTGTGGTGGGTGGGAGTAGGGGGGAGGTGAGAGGAGGAGAGTGAAAGACTGGGGAGGGGAGGCTGGGTGTTGTGTCAGGCTGGCAGATTGAGGCGGGAGGATCATCCCAAATTTGAGCCTCGCCTGGGAAACTGAGTAAAACCCTGTCTCAAAAATTTTTTTGTTTTAAAGACTAGGCATGCAGTGCAGTGAAGAGAAAGAAGGGGACCCACAGACCAGACCTAACCCCTTCCCCCAGTATACCTACCCTTCCCCGCCTAGGGGAGGAAGATGGGGGTGGGCATTGGTCAAGTGCCCACCCTGGGCCAGGCACTATGATTGTCCTTCCTTCGCCCTGTCCCATCAGACGTGTTAAGACCTGCAAGGCTTTGTCATGCATGCCTGAAATCCCAGCATCCGGGACGCTGAAGCAGGAGGATTGCCAGCCTGAGCTACAAACTGAGATACCGTTAAAAAAAAAAAAAAAAAGAAAAGAAAAGAGAAAAAGACTGGTGTGGCCCCCGGGCTGTGAGACTTGTTAGGGTCTGTGAGACTCCAGAGCGCTGTGGTTTTGTTTGGAGCTCGGAATCCAGGCTGTTGCCTAGACTTTGTAGCACTTTTCCTGGGGGCGGGGTAGGGAATGCAGCAGTGATGGAGGGAACCCAAATGAGAAACTGGAAGATGTGATGTCACCGAGCAATTCGTGACCTGGGAATCTGTGGCATTGTGGGGAAAACTGGGCTGAGAGGACCTGGGTTTGAGTCCCCCCTTTACCACGTATAGAGACAGACAGAAAGAAAAAAAGTAGATCAGTTTGGCTTCACAGCTTTCGATCCCTGCGTAACCAGAAGGGACCTGCTGGGCCATCAGGGTCTGACTCCCGGCGGGGCTGCTGGCTCTGGCCTTCCTTCCCGAGGCTGGTGGCAGAGGCTGTGCGGACTTTCTGCGCCCAGCAGCCATCTGGGAAGCTTCTGTCTGTGACACTGCCTCATGGACACTTGGTACTTCTGTCTAAGAAGTGCAAGCCAGACCAGCGGATGTGAAGTGACACCCACTGTGGTTCTGACTCACATCTCTGATGATTAGTGACCGTGAGTGCATTTCCACGGGCTTACTGGCCGCCTGTGCACCTTCTGTCTTCTTCGCAGAAATGTTTGTCTGAGTTGCTTGCCTGATTTTGTCTTCACGGCTGTGGGTCAGGTGTCAGGACACAGTGGAGCTCTTCCCAGTCCTATTCAATTTTGTTGTTGTTGTTTATCTGTTTTTTGAGACAGGGATTACTAAATAGCCCAGGCTGACTTCAAATTTGCAAGTCTTTCTGCCTCAGCCTCCAAGGGCTGGGATTCTGGTATATACCACCACACCCAGCTTGCCCAGGTTTTAATTGGGTTGTCTTTTTGTTGCTGTATTATAAGAGTTCTTTTATATTCTGGACATCAGACCTTTATATATTATATGATTTACTAATATTTTTCTCAGGCTGTAGGTTACCTTTTTATTTGTGGATTGTGTCCTTAAATGTATATAAATTTTCATGAATTGGAATTTGATGAATTTTTTTTATCTTTTGTTGTTTACGCCCCTGATATTGTATCTAAGAAACCACTGCCATGTTTATAGGTGGTGAAAGCCCTCTGAGAAGCTGAGAAAGGAGGAACACTTAGTTCAATTCCTGGTACCAAAAAGCAAAAGAACAACAAAAACCAAACCAAAACAAAACAAATATCAAGCTCAGCCTGAGAAATTTAGGAATTTAGCAACGTCTCATCTCAAAATAAGAAAAGGGTTGGAGATGTAGCTCAGTGTGACGGCCCTGAGTTCAGTCCCCAGTGACCTGCCCTCTCCTGCCCCATCCCCAAATCCAAGGTTATATCGATTTACATTTATTTTTAAGAGAATAAAACCAATCAAAACAAAACAGTAAAAGTGATACAGGACTTCAAGACAATAATGCCCCTTGTTGTCTTCATTTTTTTTGTTTGTTTTAAAGATAGTAAAATCCAACAAAACAAAACGGGACAAAGCCAATCAAAACAAAGCAGCAAAACTGGTACAGAACTCCAAAGCAGGATACTAGGAAAACGACAATAGCTACCATAGTATATCTTGTTACTTCACAATAATTGTCCATTCCATCAGGTATAGCAAAATCAAACCAAACCAAAATAATATAACCAATCAAAACAGAATATTGAATAGAGCAAAACAATCAGAACAAAGCAAAACGGAGAGCAATATTAGGTTTCAAAGACAAGACAGAAGGAAATCCCCCATGTTTGTTATATTGCATACTGTCATCCTCCCAAGAGATGCTGAGACTGCCGGCCCCAGTCCTGCAAAATCAACCAAACTCTTGCTATCTTCAAAAAAGCTGCCCATACCATCAGACACATTAAAATCAAACCAAATAAAACAAAAGAAAACCAATCAAAACAGTGAAAGTGATACAGGATTTCAAAACAAGATAATAGGAAATCAACCATAGCTGCCATAATGCTCCTTGTTATCTTCAAAAGAGCTGACCATACATCAGACCTAATAAAATCAAATCAAACAAAACAATGAAAATGATACAGAACTTTAAAACAAAATAACCGAGAATCGACAATGGCTGCCATCTTCCCCTTTTAGACATTTCTTCTCTTTCACTTCATGATATCTATTGTACATTTTGGATCCCATCAACTCCTTCAGTTTTTTGTATTAGGGAGGCAGCATGATGGTCACCTATGCGAGTCCAAACCATTTTGCCCAAAGCATGATCACAAGTTGCAGCTATTTACCAAGTCTTGTGACTATCCTTCTTTATAGCTGAGTAGCTTTCCATTGTATGAAAATGCTGTGTCTTTCTTATCCACTCTGTGGTTGATGGACAAGCTAGCCCTGCTTTTTCTGGTTCCCTGGCACACGGAGTATTGTTTTTCCTCCTTTGACTTTCAATCTATGAATTTTCTTTTGAGATAATTGTTTCTTGTATGCTACATATTGATGGATCTTGTTTCTTGATCCACTCTGCCTGTGTTCCTTTTTATTGGTGAATCAAGACCTTCTCCATCAATGGTTATGGCCAGTAGCACTGGTTTGTCTCTGCCATGCATTTCCCCCCCGTTCTGTTGGCTCCCTATTCCCCTCTTCCTCCATTTAATTGTCTGCCCCACTCAGTACTCCCTCTGCTGCTGTTCCTAGGACTGTGGTCATCTTTATCTCTCTAGAGTGTCCTTCAGTACTCTTTGTAGGTTTGGCTTGGTGGTCATGAATTCCTTCAGTTCTCTGTCATGGAAGTATCTTATTTCTCCATCAGTTTTGAAACATTTTCAGGGTACATTAATATGGGTTGGAAGTTGTTTTCTTTTAGGACTTGAAATACTTCACTCCAAGCTCTTCTTAACTCGATGTTTTATGTTGAAAAGTCTGTTGTGATCCTGATGTATTTTCCTTTATAAGTGGTTTGTTTCTTTTCTTTAACAGACTTCAATATTCTGTTCTTGTGCTGAATTTCTGGGATTTTGATTATTATATGTCTGGGTACAGATTTATTTTGGTTATGGCTGTTTGGAGTTCTATATGCCTCACTTATCTGTATGGCAGATCCTTTCCCCATGCTTAGTAAGTTCTCAGCTATTACTTCTGTAAATAGTCTCTTTATATCATTTGTGTTAACTCTTGCTTTTCCACCGACACCTATCATTTTTAAACTATTTTCTTGCAGCTATTGAATTGTTATTTCCTGGTTCTTTGTTATTTTTAAGAGATCTTTCCTTTTGTGATCACTAGCTGTGATCCTGTCTTCAAGGTATGAAAGTCTATCTTCAGTTTCTTTCAAACTATTTTGAAAGCTTTCAATGCAGTTTTTAATTTCCTGGGTATCTCTTTGAGTCTCTTTCATGCATTCCAATTCTTCTCTATATTGTTCATTCCGAGTTTCCTTCATTCTCCTATACTCTTCTTTTTTTAAATCTGCATCTTCTCTAGATACACTCAGCAACTCCTTTATTATGTTTGTCATTTTTTCTGATCTGATTTCTTTTACAGCATCATGAAGCAGTTTCTTTACTTCAGCTGCCATCATTCCAGAAACTGCAGGTGTCGACTTCCTCTCTCATGTCCATGTCCCCTGGACTTGTTCTATTTGAGCTGGAGGCCAGAGATCACCTTTTGCTTGATCATCTTGACGACATTTTCCAGAGTTCTTCCAGATGAGAGGAATGTAGCTTCCCACATTGGTTACCCATCTACAGTGTACGGGGATGGGCCATGTACCTGGGTTTCTCCTAACTTAGGTTCTCCAGTAAAGATTTACTTTTATAGCTTGTTTTCTAAGAGTTTTGTAGTTTTTTTGTCTTGCTGTGCAGCTCAGACTGGCCTTGAACCCACTGCAGAGCCCAGTGTTTGAACTCCTGCCTCAGCCTCCCAAGTGCTGGGATTCTGGGATTCAGTATAGGTATGCTCCACCATGCCTGACTTACTTCCTTTTCTTCTTCTTCTCCTTCTTCTTCTTCTTCTTCTTCTTCTTCTTCTTCTTCTTCTTCTTCTTCTTCTTCTTCTTCTTCTTCTTCTTCTTCTTCTTCTCCTCCTCCTCCTCCTCCTCCTCCTCCTCCTCCTCCTCCTCCTTCTTCTTCTTCTTTTTCTACTACTCTCTTCCTCTTTCTTTTTTAAACTGGAATTGTGCTCAGTTACTCAGACTGGCCTTGAATTTGTGAACATTTTGCCTCAGCCTCCTAAGTAGGTAGGACTGTGGGCATATAGTGCTTCACCTGGCTCTTTAATCTAGTTTTGTTTGTTTTTGTAGTAGTGGGGCATGAACCCAGTGGCACTCTACAACTGAGCTACCTCCCTAGCCCTTCTTTATTTTTTGAGACAGGGCTTGCTAAATCACCACATTGCCCAGGCCAGGCTTGAATTTGTGATCCTCCTGCCTCAGTCTCCTACAGTGCTGAGACTATAAGTGTGTACCACTTGACCTAGCTTCGTGGGCTTTTAAAGGAAGGTCGTAGAGGCTCATTTTGGAACTGGTTTGTTGGGAGCTGGGATAGATTCAGGAACTCTCACTGCTGAGACGATTCCAAGATTCAGCCTGGAGGTGATGGGCTCTGGATTTGGGAGGTGAGCATGGCTGGAAAGACAGGAGAGACTGAAAACTGTCCTGCTGCCAGAGTTAGCAGAATTTGACCAAATCTGGGTGTGGTGAGTGAGTGTTGCCAGGGAGGTGCTCTGCCTGGCTTTCTTTCAGGATTGTGCTAGAATCTAAGGAGGTCTCCTGGTGGGGGGTGGGTTCTCTAGGTCTGAGGTGCTTGGCATGAGACACTGTGCAAGTGTACATGTGTATAGCCATGGTGGCAGGCGTGCCTGACACGTCACGGTCCTACACTGAGAAACTAGAATTCATGGTTGGCTTCACCCTGTGGGGGTTCTATTAACCCCCATCCAGGGCCTAGAGCTGAGTGCTGAGGTCAGTGTGAGAGGGTGGAGCTTGCACAGGAGGGCCTGCTGGATGGCCAGGCTCTGCCTTGCCTGCTGGGGACAAAGGTCAACATACAATTTGAAGCTGTCAATATGAATTGAGTTCTTTTAGCATCCTGGGTCCCATCCAGTGCCCCAAAGCCCCTGCCACTCTCCATGCATGTGTCCAGTAGAGAGGTAGCCTCTGTGACAGTCTCTGTCCCAAGGTTCTGAAGGCCATTGTGGAGGAGAAGGGGGATAGGGGAGCAGGAGATACAGGGGAAAGCTGACCTCTTCTCATGGGAGAGGAGAGGTGGCCAGGCTTGAGCCTTGTGGTCTTTACCCAGTGACCCAGCCGGTACACTTGCCTCACCACTGGGCTCCCAGGAGCCTCTGGCTGCCTGGGATGCACCACCCAGGTTTCTCCATCCCTCCTGAAAATGTGTTCCTTCCCAACTATGGTGTGTGTGTGTGTGTGTGTGTGTGTGTGTGTGTGTGTGTATGTGTGTGCATGTGTTTGTGTGTGTACGTGTGTGTACATGTGCCTGTGCACATGGAGGAGGGGTAGATAAGGAAAACCCAGGCTCCTCTTCAGTCAAAGAATTATGAACATGAAATTAAGTCCGAGGCTTTGGCAAGGGTCTGTGAAACCAAGGAGGCCTGACATCGTAGATGTGTAGCTTCAGGACAGAATCTCCCATGGGTGCTGCCAGTGGGCACATATTTCCTGCTCCTAGGGCTGAGGACACAGGCTAGGAATGAAGGCAGCTCCTGCAGGGTGCCTGGCCTGACTCTGCCCTCGGTAGAACAGAGTGAGTAGCTATCACTTAGGGAAGAGTTGACAGTCACCCACTCCCTGCTGGGCGCTGTAAGTCCAAGCTCCCTGTGAGACAGAGATTTACACCCTGGAGGAGGACAAGGGTAGAGCAGGAGTGTTTCTTTCCCAGGCTCACCCAGGCTAGTAAGAGGTTGAGCTGAGATCTGAGCTCAGGCCTGCATTGTGATGCCACATTGATGCTCGTTCCAAATCCATACTACTAAAGACAGGTGCAGAGCAAAATGTGTGCAGTGAGCAAATGACCACGTGAAGGAGTCATTGCATAAATGAATGTAAAGGAATCCATGAGAACGTGAACAAGCGAGGGAATGGGTACTCGGTGAAGAAGGGATGAGGGGAAACAGTGAATCCAAGCTTCGCTGAAGCTTCACTGCATGCCGAGTGCTCAGCTAGACCTGGCAGAGGACACGGTGGATGTGTGCTTACTCTATGGAACCAACTGTCTACAGGAAGCCAGATGTGTGTGCAGGGAAGGGGACAAGAACAAGAAGCCCCGAGAAGTGCAGGTGGCCCTCACCTGGGCAGAGGCTGCCGGGCCTGCAGAGGGGGACTCTGGGAGCATCAGATGAAGAAAGGGAGGGGAAGGGATGCCAGCTGTGGGAACCCAAACCTAATCAATGGGGCAGAGAGGGAAAAGGGCCAAGAAGGGCAAGGGGGTGGGAGCCAGGTACACAGATCTCCATCCTAAAGACCAGGGAAAGCTACGAGAGGATGGGCAGGGCGCGCCATGGTGTGTTCGTGGCTGCTTTGAGGGCCAGTGAAGTGGATGATCCTCCTCCTCCTGACCTTTGCCTCTGTGTAACAAGGGAGCAAAGATACTTGATTTCCAGGAGTCATGTGTGTGTGTGTATGTGTGTGTGTGTGTACACACGTGTGGAGCAGAGAGCTGGTGCATCCTGCCTGGCCTGCGGGCTGCTTAGGAGGAATAGCAAAGGTCACTCTTGCCCTGACTAGGCTTCCTTCTGCTTCCCCCCAGGGGCCGGCTCCTGCTTGAGAACATCATGCTTGCAGGTGAGCTGCCCCAAGTCCTCAGAGGAGGTGAGCCAGGGTGGGGTGCAGCGAGGCTGGCAGTCAGAGACCTGGGTCAAGCAGGTTCTATTTTCCATCATGGCATCATGCCCTCTTCCCCATCACCTGCCTCACCCAGAATGGGCTGGATGCCCAGGGCCAGAGGCAGCTCTGGGAGGTGGCTTTGAGGCTGAAGATTAATCCTAGCGGCTTCAGAGTTTGTGTCTGGCTTAGAGCATCCTGAACTCCCAAGCTCAGTGATCCTTGCTGGTGAATGTGGTCACCAAGTCACACGTGGTCAGCTGGAGTAGGTGACCTGCAAGGAGTCTCCTCCGCCCTCCTCCTGCCTTCAAATGGAAGACAGTCCTTGTTTCTCTGTTTTCCAGCCCCTCTTGGAGCCTGGTCCTTTGTGAGGACCTAGAATGCCTACGGTCCACAAGGCATGGTGTTCTTGTCACCCAGAGCTCATCACTAGCGAGGGGCCAGTCACTTGGGAGTCGAAGGAAGGAAGGAAGGAAGGGGGACAAGGATCCTCCCAGGAGCAGTGGGAGGTTATGGAGGAGGCTGCAGATCCAGGTTGCTTCCTCTGAGCAGGCCCTGCCCTGAGGGCAGGGTATGGCCCAAGAAGGGAACCATCACAGGAGGCAGGAGGAGCCTGCCATGGGGTGACAGGAAGGAGGGAAAGACGTGGCAGCACAGCGTGGCACAGCTACATTCTCTCTCTCAGGAGCACCACAGTGAGTCAGCCTGCCACTGGACTGAAGGGGCAGGGGTACTGGGAGACCTCTCAACACACACGGCAAATCTCATGCCCTGTGAAGACCCAGAGATGACATCAAATCTCCAGCCCTGCGAGGGCCCAGGCCTGGGCTTTGGCAGCATCCCTGGGCCTGACTCTGACACAGCCCTCACCCCTAACTCAGATCGGCCCCTGAATCCTGGCTTGGTCCTGGCTCCAGACCTGAATCCAACTCTGAGTCCTGAACCAGGGGAGGTCCCTGGCTTACTAACTGATGACACCCCCAGACTTACTGGCAGCAAGGCCACAACTCCAGTCTCCCTCCAGACCACCTTTTCCTATTGTCTGGTAGCTCCGGATCCAGACGTGAATCACATCTCCAGGCTGGACCCACAGGAGTCCCCATCTCCAGCTGTAAGCCCTGCTCTCAGCACTGGCTCTCTTGAGACCACCGATCAGGGCTCCAGGAACCCCTCTGAGCAGAGTTCTGAGGAGGCACTCCCGTCCCTCTCGGGGAGCAAGGTTTTTGAGTTGGGTCAGAGTAACTCCAATCCTTCCAGGCCTTCGTCAAACCCATTTGTAAGGCTCCCTTCCAGGGAAAGCCTGGATCTGAGCCACCACCTCTCGAGGCTGGGCTCACGAGCGCTGCTCCTGTCCGCCTCTGACACATCTCTGGGCTCTGACTCCAGCCAGCCGCCAGACCCGGGTAGCCCAAGTGTCTCCAAGCAGAGCCTGAACATCACTGCAGGTTCTTGGGGGGCCCTGATCCGAGACACAAAGGAGCCTGTCACTTTGGTGTCCCGCAACCTGTCTGAATGTGTCCTGAAAGGAGCCTTTGGAGCAGCCTGGAGCGCAGCTTCCCAGAGGATGATTGGCGTAGCTTTGAATGGCCATTCCCGATCCAATGTGAACATGAGTGTCATTCGGGCCTCCAGCCTGATGCTGATCCCGAGCTCCAGTGATTATAGCAGACTGCACTCCATCACCCGTGGGCCCCAGTCAGCCTGCTCCCCACCCTCGTGCTTGACCCTGGTCCTCGGCTCCAAGGAGACCCTGAGCATGGGCTCCAGCCTCTTGATCAGTGACACCTCCACCCTGACGCTGAGCAGCCCACAAGATGGTTCAGAGGACAGCGGGATCTTCACCACGCCCCTGAAGAACCCAGAGAGTTGGGGTGAGGGGGCCAGCGTGGACAGAGCCCAGGTCTCATCGCCGCCACCGACCACCTCTGACCCCAGGAACCAGGACGCCTCATCCTCCAGCTGCCTCCTTGAGGGTGAGTGGAGTTGGTCCTGCCTAGGAGACTGCTGTAGCTGGACCCTCAGGGAAGGGCCGGGAGGGGAGGAAGGGAGAGCACATGACAGGATGATACACAGAGACCTGAGGGACAGAATGAGCCACTGACCTCTCTGAGTGTGGCACCCCATCAGGCTAAGGCTGTTTAACAACTGTGTCTCCTACACCTCTCTCTCTCTCTCTCTCTCTCTCTGTCTCTCTGTCTCTGTGTCTGTCTCTGTGTCTGTCTCTGTCTCTGTCTCTGTCTCTCTCTCTTGCAGTGAGGTTCAGGCCCTTGACCCATTCAGCTCACTGGGAAACTTAGTGCTCCTAACTGGAACCTGCATTATCCCCTGAAAAGTAAACATTCTGGAAATCTACCCCCTCCACCAGCTTTTGGTGCTATAAATATCTTCTCCCAAGAATTCTCTGTTGTTCACGTACCAATCATATATTGTGATATTTATTTACTTATTGGTACCAGGAATCAAACTCATGACCTTGTGCTTGCTAGGCAGGTGCTTTGCTGCTGAGCTATACCTCTGGCCCCCAATATTATGATTTTTGAAAAATTACTTTGGCTTGGTAAATATGCACAGTATTTGTGTTCAGGAGGGTGAGGAGTCTTGTTTAAAATCTTTGACTTAGCTATTGGGAGACCTCCATTTTTTTGGTTTCATACATTTCAGAGTACATTTATCTAGAACCTCAAAAAAGAAAAAAAGCTGGGCATGGTGGCTCTCGCCTGTAATCCCAGCACTCAGAAGGCTGATGCAGGAGGATTGTTGTGAGTTCAAGACCAGCCTGGGCTACAAAGTGAGCTCAAGGCCAGCCTGAACTTCATAGAGACTCTGTCTCAAAAAGACAAGAGAAAAAGAAAGCCTTACTAGTATTTTATTAGAATGTGCTCAGTTTAGCTACCTATTCAGTTTTTTTTTTTCTGTAGGGCGCATACTTTACTAGAATTTTAAAATTCTCCATAGAGGACTAGTGCTGCCCTTGATGGGTTGACCCTAGAGATTTAGAGTTTTTGCTGGTATCACAAATGTTCAAGACGAGTGCAAACTACAGCAAGGTTTTACAATCACTAAAAGCAGGAAGGGAAAAAGGCTCTGCTGAGCAAGTATGGGCCAAATAAAAATGTGAAGGAAAGAAAGGAAAACTAACTACGCTCTACAGTGTGAAGGGCGTTGGAGTAGAGACCTCGATGTCAGCTGCCCCCTCACTCTTTGAGTTTTTGAAAACAAATGTTGATAAAAACATAGCGAAATGGGCCTCCTAGTGAGTAGGTGAACTACCTACTAGTAGGCTTGCCTGAACTACCTCCCAAAACCTCGTCTAAACACCAAACTAAACAACCAAACCGAACCAAACCACCACCACCACCAGCAACAGCAACACGAAGTTGGAGGTTGTGTAGTGGTTGTTGCCAGCCGTCTCGCAGCCAGCTGATTGTGGCTGCCCCCCTGAAGAGGGACGTCAGGTGCACAGGCACCCTGTCCTCAGAGATGAGCAAGGCAGGCCTCGAAGAGGAGGCCCTGCTGCGAAGGGTCAGCTCTGTGAGCACCCGCCAGCCTTCTGTCCTGGGCAGCTGCCTGTTCTGCGTTTGTACCAGCAGTGTAGGAGACATAGGAGGGATCCATTTTTCTACGTTTTTGTCAACATTTGTTTTCGGTTTTCGCTCAGGTTTGTTTTTGTTTTTCAGCGACAGTGGTTTGAAGCGGTGTAGGATGGTAGCTCACTGTGGTTTGAGTTGCACATCTCTAATGACTAATAGTGTGGGCCACCGTTTCCTGTGCCTACTGGCCATATGACATCTCTGCAGAAGTCTCTGCACGACCCCTTTGCCCGCTTTTGAATTGCTTTGTCTTTTGTCATTGAGTTGTAGTCCTTTGCATATTCTAAGGATTGTTCTTTTGTCAGACATGCAACTTAAAAATATTTCCTCCAATTCTATGGGTGATCTTTTTGATCTCCTGACAAGCATTCTTTGATGCACAGAAGTCTCTTTCTTTCTTTGCTTCACCTTTCTTCTTGGCTTTTTGAGACAGCTTCTCTTTATAATATAAGCTGGCCTTGAACTCACCTTGTAGCACAGACTCACCTTGAACTCACAGCAGTCCTCCTGCCTCAGCCTCCTGAATGCTGGTGTTTTAGACATGTACCACCACACCTGTCTATAGTTTCATATATACATGTTAAGAGTTCAATTTTATTTCTTTTTTAGCAAAAAGTTTCCTTCCCAACTTTAAAAACTGGTATATTACAAAAAATTGTCTGTTCCAGAAATTGTGGTATATTACGTACAACATCAAATGTAATATATTGTTTACAAAGCTGTGGGCCCATTTATTAGCATTGGAAAACATTCCTTCAAAAAAAGAAGGGACCCCTGAATATTAAAGCCTCATCCATGCCATGGAAACTTGGGCCCACACTTTGCATCTAACAGCTACACAGCAGAATGACAGCTCGGAACCAAACTGGAGAAGGAAGGTGCGCGAGCATGCGCAACGTTCCTGCCTTTCCCAGCGAGGTTCTTGGGCGCCGAAACGCATAATCCCTGGTAAAGCTGCTTCCCACCGCTTCACCAGGCGCAGCCGTTTCACGACCAGCTCATTACTCAAGTTCTAAGAAAATCTCCTGGAAAACTGGGGCGATCCTCCCCTACCCCGGCCCTGTGGCCTGCAGAGAGGGGCCAGCGGGACAAATCGGCCGCTAAACTTGCGGCCCAGCTGGCCTGCATCAGGCTCACACATCGCGCTTCTCACTGTACTCCGGCAGGGGGCGCTGGGGCGCCGCGGGCGGCGATGCAGTCCTGCGCCTGCGCAGCTCCTGCAGCCTCAGTCTGCAGAGCGCCCTGACCCCCGCGTGGCTTCAGCCGGTGCCACGGAGACAAGTTCATCTTCGTCATCATTTTTAAGTGGACAGTTCACTAAGTGTCTGTGCAGGCATCACCGCCATGCATCTCCAGGACTCTGTTCATCTTTTAAATCCTATCACCTCTCGACCTTTTGGCTAAGATCAAATGTAGTATCTTTTAAATCTTGTAAATCTTTAACAGTCTTTAAAAAGCAGTTTTCCATTTCACCTCCCTGCCCCAGGCAGGCATCACTCTTTCTCTCCTTCGACTGGGGCTTGACACATGCCTAATAGCCCTGCTTCATTCTTTGGACCTGAATATTGTTTTCCCAGTACTATTTTTTGAAAATACTAACCTTTACTCAAGTAAACAGTCCTTAGTATTTTATTCAAAATATTGGCCATATATATGACTATCTATTTGGGGCTCTCTATTCAGTTTCAACCAACTACTTGTCTGTCCTGATGCCAGTATCACACTGTTTTGATTACTGTAGCCTTGTAGTAAGTTTTAAAAACAGAAGTATGAGTCTTCCAATTCCAGGCTTCTTTAAAGATTGTTTTGGCTATTTAGGGCTTTTTTAAAAAAATAGGACCATTTTTATTACTAAATTTTGTTTCACATTTTTTGTTGTTTTAGATAGGGTCTTGCTATGTACTTCAGGCTGGTCTGGAACTCACTATGTAACTCAAATTTGGCCTGGAATTTGCAGAGCTCCTCCTGCCTCAGTTTCCCCAGGGCTGGTATTACAGGTGTGTACCATACCCAGCCATTTGTATTATTAGTTAAAAAAAATTTTTATCTGACTTTATTTCCAAATACACTTTCCTCGGGCTGGGGATATAGCTCAGTGGCATAAGTGATTGCCTGGAAAATACAAGGTCCTGAGTTCAATTCCTGGTACCAAAATTAAAAAAAAAAACTTTTATAGCGCAAATACATGTTCTTAAAAAAATTTAAAAAATAACCAATACACTTTCTGTGAGATTGACAAATATCAGTATCAGGAAAGCCAATTTTACGTAAAAATACTACATTTAATCTGGAGTAGCTATATTTATTTTTGGTAACATAAGTGAAATGGCAGTAATTACACAGCAAATATAAGGCAATGAACATGAAACCAAGCCCTGTAGCTCTGACACGTCTGTGTGGACTTGGCCTCCTGGCCAAGCTTGGCTTTGAACAAATGGATGCCTGCCCTGAGCTCCACCGGAGAACTCCGAGAGGGGGAGAGATGGGAAGCAGGGACTGGCCAGAGCTGCCTGAGGCTGACAGGTGACAGCCACTCGTGTTCCTTGTAAAGCAGCTACACGGAAGTTGTGACTCTCAGAAGTTACCCACGGGGTTGGGGAGATGGCTCAGCGGCACAAGAACCTCCCTGGCAAATGCAAGGTCATGAGCTCAATCCCCAGTAACAAAAGAAGTTACCAGGGGTTTCTGTTTCTGCACAGAAGCATGAACTCGAGTGACCACTTAGCTCAGCGTGGCGCGTGTCAGGTGTGGCTGGGAGGGAGGTGCTGCAGGGACAGAAGTGGGAAGGGTCTGCCCGTCGGATGTCCTTAGTGATCGTTGCTTGCTTCTAAATACTGATAGCTTTAAATACTGGTTTGTCCTCTTAGGTAGATTATAGACAAACGGGAAATGCCAAGTAAACACACACTACAATTAATAAATAGCTCTTGGAAATGGACTGCACGGGTTTCAGAGATGAGGCAGCTGCTTCAGAAACCCCTCTCCCGCCTCTCGCTGTGGTCTTGGCTATTCATCTCGTGGACCTGGAAGTGCCAGTCTTTTCCAGGATCTCTGTCTTTGGGCTTTTGTGGCCCCAGCTTCCTCGTGGCCAGCGCCCCGCAGTTGCTCAGTGTCTGCCAGACCCTTCCGGCTCACAGCTGGGAGCATGGCTACTTGGACAGGAATGCTCGGCTCCTGGGCCCATTTTTCTGGGGTGTTTTCTAAAGTACCCAAGAGTGCCGATGAAGACACATCGGCATCACCCTGTGGCCTGGGTAGGCAGGTGGCCTCGGGTGGTCACCATCTTTGTGCCCAGTGGTGTGGCACAAAGCCGTCCACTTTGTATCCTCATTCGCAGCTGCTGCGTCACCTCAGAGTCAGGGCAGGCTCCCTGGGAGCTGGTCCCTGTTGGAGGCTGTGACCCAGCGAGTCCTGCAGCACGGCTGTATCGGGTGGCCTTATTTCTTCTGTGGCAGCCACAGCCGTGGCTCACAGATGAGCCGTGAACCCGCAGAGCCAGGTGCTCCTCTGACAGAAGGCCAAGGGAGACATTCATCTCAGGACACTTGGGCAAGGACCCTCACCCCCAGGCCGGCCTTTTCATGCTGAGGACCCCTGAGCATAGGGTTGCAAGCTCCAAGATGAGGGGTGGGGACGTAGGAGAGAATGCAGACTAAGGAGAAAACTGACAGATGGACAGATAGTGAGGGACTGGGGGCCAGGGAGCAAGATGGGTCCAAGTGGCATGGCCCGTTGGCATCGTGGAAGACAGCTTTTCAGATCACATTAACCTTGTAAAAGTCTTTTTAAGGTGTATCGTGGTGGTAAAACGTGGACAGTGGGAGGGAGTCTCAGGTGTCCAGCGTGGGAAGCCATACACTGGGCAGCAATGCGGGAGAGGAGGGCTTCTCCCGGCAGCTTGGGAGGCCTGGTGCCCCTCAATGTCATCACCCTTCTCCTGGGCCGGGGCTCTGCCCACGACCCCGACTTTTTTTGAGGGGTCTTCCTGTTCGAGGCCAGGTGTGTTGGCCAGGGCTGGTGGTCTTGGCATTGCTGGCTGAGTCTGTGGACACTATGTAGTAGCAGCCTCCACGGCCACCTCAACGTGTTTGCAGACACTGATAAACGATGCATGAAGGGCAGAATCATTCCACTGTTGAAGACTACAGCCCGAGAGACAGAACTGCTCTTTGAGTTTGTCACCATAGACCAGATTTTGCTTGTTCTTGAATTTATGGACAGTGTACTACTGTAAAGATTTTGAATGTGACTTTTTTAGAATCTTTTTTTTTTTTTTCTTTTGCGACAGAGTCAGTCTCACTGTGTAGTTCAGGCTGGCCTTGAACTCACTATGTAGCCCGGATTGGTCTTGAACTCATAGTGATCCTCTTGCCTCAGCCTCCTGAGTGCTAGGATTACAAGACTGCACCACCACATTGTTTATTCTTTTCACCCCCTTTCTGGCTTTTAGGTGGTGCTTTTCTTCCCTTTTCCTCCTTTTATTGTGTGGAAATTATAAACTGTGCTCTTAATGATTCCGAGGAGCTTTAATGTGCATATTTGACTAATTTTCAAGGTCCAATTTACCCAACACCAGTATCTTCCTCTCTGATGGTTTGAAATTTGAAAACACACAGCTGGGCATGGTGGTGCATGCCTACAACTCCAGTGCTTGGGAGGCTGAGGCAGGAGGATCACATCAAGTTCAAGGCCAGTCTGGACTGCATAGTGAGTTCAAGGCTAGTTTGAACTATATAGCAAGACCTTGTCTCAAAGATAACAACAGCAACAAAGGATAAGCAGCAGAACGTGCCGTCCAGCCAGTGTCCTTGGGTTGCCCAGGTAATAACAGTTTCTATTGCAGTTCCAGTGGCTTCTGACTCCTAGCAATGCTAGTCACCGTGATGCATGTTGTAAGAACCAATCAAAGGCAGCCCTGTAGTCTGCCTTTGTACGTCCCCTCTCAACTCCGTGAAAGCCTCTAGCTCTGGTCCTGGACCTGATATTCCGGGACCGATCATAGTCAGGTCCCTGTGGTGTAGATAAAGCTGCCTCCAAATCCTGTGTGTCATTTGGGTGTTTCTGCCCGCCTTTGCCACACAGAGGAAATGCTAGACGTCAGCTATATCAGGTTCGTGTTCCTGAAAGTCAAGGAATGAATTCTAAGGAACAACGGAGGTTAAGAGTAGGAAGATTTATTGGGGAATAGGAATGGAGGACAGGAATAGCTCCTGAGAGACAGGAGTCCCCCACAGTGGGTTGCTGACGAACCCACTTCTACAGGAGTCGTGAGGTGGGTACAAGATGGGACAAAATTATGGTGTAACAGTCAGATTACAAGTATAGTCCTTAGTAATCTCAATCCAGTAGTAGCTAAGGCATATGCGTGACCTCATTAACCATGGAGGATAATCTGTAGTGTTAGTCTCAGTGAGTGGAAGAAAAAGGCCCACCACTAGTGAGCTAATGGTTTATTTATCCAGGAATCTCGGAAGCGGGGTACCAACAATCTCGAGCTTCCGTTTACCCCTTTAGGGAAGGGTGAATCCGGCCACTGTGTCCTTACTCTTCAGATGACTTCCAGCCACAGTTGTGACGTGTTCTTATCTTCTGCACTGACTTTCTGGAGCCCAGTCCTGTCTGACTGCCTAGAATTTTTCTCCCTAACTCAGCAGTCTACAATAAAAAGACTTAAGAACACTTTAGGCCCACTTAACTCCCTCTTTATATCACTCATCTTTATGTTTGCCCAGATAGTAACCTCTTTTGGTCACCTCCACTGTTTATCTCATTGAAGAACTTTCTTTTGAAATTAATTTCCTTTGGCCTGGAAAATAGAGTTTCTTTTAATGAACTTTCCAGTGGAAAATGTCTCTGAAAACATCTATATTTTGTCTTCATTCTTTTAAAGAGGTTTGTGTGCCTAGATTTAGGTTGGTCTGATGGTTCTCATGGACATGGAGATGATATTGGTTATCTTATTGTATTTCTTCTGGAGGCTCCTGGTTGTGTGTGTGTGTGTGTGTGTGTGTGTGTGTGTGTGTGTGTTTCTGTTTTTTCTTTTTGGTGGTACCAGGGATTGAACTCACAATTTAGGCCACTGAGCTAAATCCCCATCCCTAGTATGTGTCTTTTTGAGACAGGGTTTCACTAATGCAGGTCAGGCTTGCCTTGAACTCACTTTGTAGTCCAGTCTGGCCTAGAACTTACAGCGATCCTCCTGCCTCAGCCTCCCAAGTGCTGAAATTCTAGGTGTGTGCCAGCATGCCCTGCCATTGTCTATCTCACTACTCAAAATGTCCTTAATTGGAGCAGGGGCCTCCTCCTTTGTGCCCCCTCACAGGTGCCCATTACCCTTTGGGCCTTTCTCATTTCATGATGTAAGTCCTCTCAGACTCATCTGGACCTCCTCTGCCCAAAGCCAAGATCTGTAATTTTGTGTGCCTGGGGCCTTTTCTAAAAGCCAAGGTCAGGCAAGCTGTGTTCACTTCTCCACACCTCATTCCAACCTCCAGCCCTTGCAGTCTGGGTACTTCTGGAGTTCAGGCTTTCCCAGGCTTGGTGACCATGGGAGCACAAAGATCTGTTCTCCTGTGTCCCCTCGATTCCCATAAACAAAAGGTCTTTATTGGCACTGCTCAGTGAGCGGCCCTGCCTGGACCAGTCCCTGCGGCTGGGCATGCAACACTGTCTCTGGCCAGGTGTGGGTCCAGAACAGGATTGGGAAGTCCACAGAAAGATGGGGCTGTTTTGCCCAAAGAGGCGGAGGCTTGGGATGGGTGGACTGCAGATGCCCAGAGTAGGGGAGCACAGGGCTGAACACTGGGAGGACTGAGGAGCAGAGTGGCCTGCACAGGGGGACTGGCTGGCCGCCTCCACCTGCAGGCAAGTGGCTCAAGGAAGAGAGCCTGGTAACAAGTGGACACAGCAAGGGCGCTGGGCGGAAAGTGCCCAGGCCCCCAGGGAAGCTGGCCTGGGGCTGAAGGCAGTGTGTGGCCAGAGCCTGGCACCAGGAGTGTGCTGGAGGCCGGGCTTTGAGGGCCAGGGAGGCGGGGCCTGGGCCCTGTAAGGTGGGGTCCGTGTGCTCCAAGGTGGAGCTCTCCAAAGGGCATCAGGGAGGAGAGGCCTGTGAGCAGGTTTGCACCCCGCACTGCTCAGTCTGGCTGTGGGGAGTGAGCCCTGGGTCCGTGGAGTGGGAACCACCGTGCCAGGGTACCCCATCCTTTCCCTCTTCTCTCCCACGCACTGGTGCCGTGCAGGAGCCTCGGATGAAGTGACCAAATCTCCGGAGAAGGTGCCAGAGAAGAAAGAAGATGGCAGTGAAGTGGCCCTGGTATGGCTGGCCCCTGCTCCCCAGGTGCCCTTCCCCACTCCATCCTGCACCCCAGCCCCACTTCTATGCAGTTCTGCCCCCACAGAGCCCTGGCTCACACATTCCCCTGGCTCCTCATTTATCGCTTAGAAACCAGGCTTCCACTCCTTCGGGGTTTTGTCTGTCTTACTGCTTTATCCTCAGCATCAAAATCAGTGCTTGACACATACTGGGTGCCTTCTTTTTCTGCAGGGGAGTTGACTGAGCCCAGGGGTGCTTACCACTGAACTGCACCCCTTCCGTCACTGAGTAGCCCAGGCTGGCCTCAAACTCATGCTCTTCCTGTCTTCTGAGGATCTGTGATTATAGGTGTGCGCCACTGTGCCCAGCTGAACAGTTTTCAAAACATTTGAATGAACTGTGGGAGGCTGTGATGGGGACAAAGAAGCTGGAAATGGCTTCTTGAGGAAATGGGCAGGCTGGACCCAAGTGTGGGGGCACGAGCAGCCTGGGAGGCTAGGCCCGCTGCGGATGCACAGCATCTGCTGGGCTGGACAAGCCAGGGGACACGAGTATAGGAAAGACCAGCAGGTGGAGTCTGGAGGCACAGCACTCCCAGGCCAGTAGCCAGATTCCTCCTGCCTCAGCTTTACCTGATCAGAAAGGTGCAAGATAGGTCACGAGGGCAGATGGAGTGTGGCTGAAGAGGGTCCTCACTGCTGTCACTCTTTTTGGGGGACAGATAGATCCTCCCCCAGTGTTTTTCTGTCACTTAGGGCTCAGCCCAGCCTGTGCTGAGTTTCCCTCCAACTGCTGCTGCTGCCTGACACCCCAGCCCGGGGTGCCATGGGGCCATGGGTACCGGAGAGCAGGCGTGGGGGGGCTGCCTACTCAGGACGGGGCCTAGACTTGCTCGGGGCTCATCTGCCCACACAGTGTAGATGGATTTCCAGGTCTCGGTGTGTCAAGAGTGCCACTCCCCTCACAGGGCCTCACATCTTCCTTCCTCCCGCCTGGGCTTCCGGGCAGCGTGGCAGCCGGGCCAGGGAAGACCCGAGTGCCCTGACTGGCTGGAACTCCTCTTTCTTTCCTATGTGAAGCTCTTTACTGATTTTGTAACATAAGATGCCCCATCCTAACCAACATGCTTCAGTTAGTTGCCAGGTGATAGTTCTGGTTGCAGTTCCCGTTGCTTCTGTCTCCTAGAAATGGCTGGTCACTGTGATGCACACTGTAAAAACCAATCAAAGGCAGCCAAGTCCTCTGCCTTTGTGCTTCTCCTTCCTCCATAAAAACCTGCTGCCCTGGGCCCTTGGGGCCTGATATTCTGGGAATGATTCTGATCATTGCTCCTCAGTGTAAAATAAATGCACCTCTAAATCCTGGCTGTCCTCTCAGTGTTTCTTCTTGCTGTTGCAATGTCATGTTTATCTTTTCATTCCTCGAATGATGAGGACTGGTAGTTGGCTTACCCGTTGCTTAAGGAGTCCCCTTTCCCAGGAAGAGGAGAAAATCTGATTGGCATGTCCTGGCAGCTGGTGGAAGCACTGCTGATGTGGAGTTCCAGCCTGAAATGTTGGGGTCCTTTCTTTTCTTTTTTGTTCTTCTTGAGATAGTCTCGCTATACAGTTCAGGCTGGTCTCTAGCTCACTTTGTAGCCCAGGCTGGTTGGGGTTAGAAGCGTGTCATCACTCCCAGATATTGGGGTCCTTTCTGTTCTGGCCTCAGTGGAAGGAAAAAAGCAGGTATTCTCTGTCTTCAGCTATGTGTGAGCTTCTCTTTGCTCTGGCCTCAGGGGTCTACCCTCCCGCCCCTGCCCTGAGGTCACCCAGGGACCCTGTGTGAACCTGGCCTTTCCCTTGAGCCAGCGCTAGGGCTGGCTAGTAGGAGGAGCAAGTACGGGCTGGTCTCTAGAGGGCCACAGCTGAGCGACTCTCACCCTGTGGCTCCGCCCTCTGCTGTCCCCAGGTGGAGAACGCTGTGCCACAGGACCTGCAGGGAGCAGAAGGAGAGAAGAAGATGCTGATAATGAAGATGATGGTGCGGAGCCCCCTGTGGGCAGGCAGAAGTCCTGAGCCCACCAGGCAGACAGGAAGCAGCTGCAGGCCACTGAGGAGGAATCACCTGGGCCCTTGTCTGAGCCTCCCTTCCCTTGAGGGGCCTGGCCTCATCCTCCTTCACTCACAAATGGTGTGAGGATGGCTGTGTCATTGACTTGAAAGGACATAGCCGCTGGGGAGTAGAACCTAGTGCAGCTGGGAGCAGCTTTTTGGTTTCCTTTCATTTTTTGAGACAGGGTCTTGGATATAGCCAGGGCTGGCCCTGAACTCATTATGTAGGCCAGGCTGGTTTTGCACTGACCCTCCCAGTATTCTGGAGGCTGGTATTACAGGTGTGCGCCACCATGCTCAACCTTGTAAGAGTTACTTAATAAATATATTAAATGTATTAACATATCCCCCCCCCCCCCCCGTCAGGAGTTGCTAAGTGCAGTTTTTTCTCAGAAACCTACCAGAATGAGTTGGGTTAGCCACTAGAGGTCACAAATGCATATAATATTTGGCACTTTGCCCCTTAAAGCGGGGGGGTGGGGTGGGGTGGGGGGAGTGAGACTCCTTGGCCTTCCTACTGCATCTGAGGACCTCCCGGAGGCCTATTGTGTACAGGTGCTACTTGAAAGTGAGGAAGACCGAGAAGAGGCTTTGAAGCACCCACCCAGACAGTTTCTGAGTTGAGCTGGGTCCTTCTGCTCTGGGCCTCTTCCCTGGTCCCCAGGGCCAGGGTGGGACATTTCCTCTGAGTGCTGCTGTGGGGCACAGGGCTGTGGGGTACGGAAGTATGGGTGTGTCTGATGACCTTGCCTGGTTGGATGCCCACTGTCCCTGTGCATCCCCGTGCAGAGGCAGATCCAGGAGGAGCCACTGGACTCACTCTCCACCTCTGTTCGCCGGCAGGCCCTGGAGACCCTGACCCAGCTGAGGTGCCTGCCCTTCCCTGTATTGGGGGCCTCCTCTCCCCGGCCTCTGCAGGTGCCCACAACCTCCTAACCAGCACCTTGCCTGCCCACTGTCTTCCTGCAGCCGCAGGAGCCCTGCGCTGGGTGGACAGGAGCGGGTGCAGCTGGTGAGCGTGTGTGTTCACAGTGTGTTCTCGCTGCCCTCCCTGCGGGCCATGAAGGAGCACGCTGAGGCTGAGGCTGAGGCCATCCAGGTGAGTGCCTGTGCCCATTCGGTGGGCCCGCACATCAAGGCCTCTGAGAAAGCCCTTGCTGTGCGGTTCTGTGGCCCAGGAGACCCAGCTCGTCACTCTAGGCCTTGGCAAAGGAAGGAAGCCCTGCCTGAGGCTCTGTTGGCCTCTGGGCAGCCCCAGGAGTGCAGATATTGCTGCAGTCAGAGGTGGTGGCTGCCCTGGAGGGCAGGCTGAGGACTGGACACTGAGAAAGAGTGAGCCAGGGACCTGGAAGGCAGAGCCCAGGGGTCTTCGGAGAGAGCTCTTCACACCTCGCAGTGCAGTCCTAGGCCCAGTGATGGAGGACCCTTGGTGTAGGCTTAGGGGATGGGGGTGGTTGGCTGAGGAGGGTTGAGGGTGCACCCTTTCACTCAGTGGGTATCAGCTGAGTTCCCTGCGACAAATGCAGTGTGCAATGAAAGACCATTCAAATCAATGCAAGACCACACCAGGATTCAGTGCTGCAAGCAGAGAGCCTACACTGGGTCAGGAACCAGATACTGAGGTCAGGAACTGAGCGGTGGGGAGGAGAAAGAAAAAGGCTGTGTGGAAGTCTGTGGGCAGATACTGACTGCAACACAAAGGGCGAGACAAGAGCTCTGGAAGGGGAGGGGGAGCCAGCAGGTGGCCTCAGGAGGGGGATTCCCAGCTGGTGCAGGGAAAGAAGACCTTAATGAAAGCAAGGAATCTACTGAGTGGTCTGAGCAGCAACCCTCTTGCAATACCTGGCAGTGTCAGCAGAGGGAAGTGCTGCACAATAGTCAGCAGTGCATGGGCAGGAAGGAGGAGGTAGTGGCAGTGAAGTTTGCTCCTGGTTGTAGTGTACCACAAAGGATCATCAGCTCTAGGGTGTGCAAACTCAGAAAGCCTGGAGAAAGGTGATCTGAGAGACCTTGGAGCTGGCAGGAGGAGAGCACACAGGGCTCCTTGGTGGGAGATGGAGGGTCTGTTTGAGTTTGAGTGTAGCATTTCAAAAACCAAGATCATTTCCCCAAAGGAAAGATGGACCCTCTCACTCCCATAATTCTTATAGTCCTGGAGCATTTCCCCCACATCTTATTGCTCCTCACCACTTAAAACTCCCTATGTGGCTGTACAAAAGCATCTTCTAAATCAGGGCTTCCTAACTTCTGGGCCGTGGCCATTTAGAAACCGGCTACAAGCCAGGATGAGAGCAGCTGGGAAAGTGTCCTCCGTGCTCATACTGCTCACTCTCCACAGCTCATGTTCCCTCCTGAGCTCAGGCTCCTGTCAGGCCTGTGGGCCCTGGATCCTCAGAGGAGCTGGAACCCTGCACACATGATGGATCTAATGTGTGCACATCCCGATGCCCCCACCCCTGCAGAAAGCTTGTGAAACCCATCTCTGAGAAAAAAAAAAAAAAGGTTGGGAACTGCTGCTCTAAATTATCAAATGAGAAAGATAATTTGATACAAAATAACGCGGCTATGCAAATCTTTAGATGCTCAAAGGGACTCAACTGGCCCCAGCAGAGCCTCAGTAGATTCCAGGTCTCTGCTTCCTTCCCCTTTAAGGGAGGAAGTGCAGAGATTACAGTGAGTGGTAAGGAAACGCTGACCTCTGGAGGGGAAGTAATTGTCCAGTGCCCAGCAGGTGAGGCTCAGAAATGAGTCCGGATAGTGCTGGCTGGGTCCAAGTGCTGGTTCCTCTCAGATACTGCCGATGTGGGAGTGGGGTCCCCGGAGGTGGCAGTGGCTCCTGGAGCCACTCTGCAGCTTGGTCCTTCTGTCTGCAGACGCTTTACCATCAGACCTTGGATGCCCTGCAGACCCTGCTCAATGCCCTCTTTATTGAAGACCCCACTCCTGCTGGGCTCAAGAGCATTTTGGAGGTGCAGGGCATGGAGGCTGGGGAGTGGGTGGTGGAGGGCAGAGGGGAAATGGCTCCAGAGCAGTAGGATCTGGGCCAGGAAGACTGATAGGACCTCAGGATGTGTCATTCCTAGCCTTGCAGGTCTCTCCCACCTCATCCTCCCTCCCTCTCCACATTTCACTGCTGCTCCCCCCCACCCCACTCCGCTATCATCTGGCTCAATCTGTCCCAATCCTGGGGACTCCTCCTCCTTCCTTCTGGCCTACAAGTGTGGCTCTCAGCTCCCTGTCCCATCTCTCCCTATGCCTACGAGGAGGCGGTGGGTTTGGGGAATCACCTTCCTGCAGATCGCTGCAGGCTGGCTGCTCACCCTGCAGCAGGGCTGAGTCTTGCCCTTGTCCCCCAGCCCCTGGCTCCCTGGATGAACTCTGGGAAGGCCCACGAGCGTGCTCGAGCTGTGAACAGCAACGTGTCCCTGCTGAACCACACGCTTCTGAGCCTGCCTTTCTACGTGAGTGTCCCACGGGGTTGAGGCTCGAGGTGGGGTCTCCCCAGCTCGGCTCTGGCTCCGAGGGTTCCCCTGTCAGTGTGGACTGCTTGGTTACCATGCAGTGCCATGCAGTGTGGTGGAGCCTAGAAACCTCAGTCCCTGTGCCATGTCAGGTGTCCTCTGGGTTCCCTGCGCTTGGGCTGCTACTGGGGAGGCTCGTCCTTCGTGTTGGGGATCCCGACGAGGAGATTGGTCGGGAAGCTCTGGACGGCATCACCATCCTCTACACCATCCTGGAGCTCCAGAAAAGTAAGCACCACAGACGGGTCTGGAGGAAGGCACCTGGGCTGGGCTGGAGCGGCCCTGAGGCCCTGGAGGGAGATGAGGATGCACAAGGCACACGGGGTCAAGCGGGGACTGCGGGAAGTGGCATGGAGTCGAGTCCCCACGGAACCAGGGGCAGAGGCCACGCCAGGCCTGTCTGGTGCATGCGCAGAGACAGGTTCAGCTGAGCTTGCACCCGCCAAGCTCCATCCGACCTGCGGAGAGTCAGCTCTGCCTCTCTGCGGCTTAGTCCTGTTGGCGCACTGGGCAGCACTGTGCCTTGGTCACCGCCGGGCTCCCAGGTGGAGGCCAGGCCTGGCGCAGGGCACGGGTGCTCCTGCGTGAACGGCCAGAGTAGGGCCTGTCTCACAATGTGGTGCGCCCGAGCCTGGAGCGGGAAAGCTCGCCGTGGCAGCTCCAGGGAGTCCCGCTGCCACTGCTCCCCACTCCTGGGATGGTCGGGATGGTCGGTGTCCGCTGTCTCCTGCCTCTTTCCTTTGTCTGTAGCCCCAGCTCTGCTCCCATCTAGGGGACGCTGGCCTATTGTTTAAGTTCCCCTGGCTCTGGAGGCAGAAGGACCCTCACTGGAGACCTGCTAGACCCTTCTCAGCTGTGCGACCTCAGGCCTCAGGAAGCACTGTGCATGCGCATGTGCGTGCGTGCGTGCGTGCGTGTGCGTGTGCGTGTGCGTGTGCGTGTGTGTGTGTGTGTGTGTGTATGTGTGCGCCTAAACTTCCCCACCTGTGAGAGGAAGCAGTAGGACACAATCCAGGAGCTTTGTGAGATACCTAATGAGATCTGTTTAGAAAGTGCGTGACCAGCTCAGTGCCACCCAGCATAGGCTCCCGTCAAATGGGGTTCTCTTTCCCCATTCCTCCAGGCTCTGGGATCTGCCTGGTGTCCCACTCCTCCTCTTGTTGTTGTTGTTGTTTCTCTCTCTCTCTCTCTCTCTCTCTGTCTGTCTTTCTCTCTCTCTCTTTTTCTTGAGACAAATCTTGCTATGTAGCTCAGGCTGACCTCACACTCAGGGTGATCCTCCTGCCTCAGCCTCCTGAGTGCTGGAAGTACAGTTATGTGACACCCTGCATGGCCTTTTTAAAAATCAGTACAGGGGATCAAACTCAGGACTTCGGGCTTGCAAGGCAGGTGCTTATGCTGCTGAGCTAAGTCCCCAGCCCCCTTTTTGGTTTTTGAGACAGGATCTCATGTAGTTTAGGCTGCTTTTGAACTCGCTATGTAGCCCAGGCTGGCCTCGAACTCAATCCTCCTGCCCCAGCCTCACAAGTACTGGGATACAGTCCATACCCTTCTTGCTCTCCAGCATTTGGGGCAAAGATTTGGTTCTTGCCCCCTGGGAGCTTTTCCCAGCACCACCATGCTTTCTGAGTGATGAAGAAGGTTAAGTCGCATTAATGAGCAGCCTTAGGGGCAGGCACAGCACAGACCAAATTAAAGTTACTGGATTTAGCTAAAAATATAGAGCACCCAGTTAGATCTGAATTTCGGGTATATTCTGAATTTCTAGTGTTTTATGTGGGAGCTCTAGGCCAAGCCCAACTGCTCGATTCTCCAGGAGTAACACAACTCATCTGGGTCACCTATCGGCAGGCGCCTGTGACGGGAACTGTGTCTGCCTGACAGTGGACCTCCGGGTCTTTGTCCATGGATATTCCCTTCTGGTGCCTGAGTTTTTGTATCCTGAGGGCATCTTGGCATCACCTAGCCACAGGGAGGCACCTGGAAGTGGGCCCAGAATGTGCTTCTAACGACAGGAATACAGAGCTGCTGTGGGCTGAGAAGGGTCTGGGGACGTAGCAGGGAGAAAGGAGCTTTGGGAACTAATTCTCTCTTGGTGGATGCATGTTGTCAGCAGACAGGAAGTGGCCAGAAATAAGCAAGGGACACGCAGAGACTGTCAGATGATAAGCACAAAAGGGAAAAAGGTAGAAGAGGGGACAGGGACTGCCGAGGGCTGGAGAGCCTGCAGTTTTAAGCAGCTTCCCCTGGCTGGGGTAGAGCACCTTGAGAAAGCACCCGCCTAGCTGGAGCAGGCCCTGGGTTTTATCTCCAGCGCAGGAGGTAAAATGAAAAAGGGCATTTCCCTGAGAATGGCAAAACTGTGACAGGTAAATGGCCCGTGCCAGTGAGATGTGTGGTGACGGGGGCCTCAGACACTGCCCCAGGAACTAATCGGCAACCACTGTGGAAAATGGGCGGCCAGTGTCTACGGAAGCTGCCCCTTTGTCTGTCCTGTGAGCTGGACATTCCTTCTCTGGCCCGCCCCTCACCAGTGTGCAATTGTGTTCATGAGGGACCTGCCTGAGATGTGCTCACCGGGCCAGGTCTGTAGCCCGTAGCACCTTTGTACCCTGGAAAACCACGTAGCATGATAGGGCACACGGGTAGTCTCAGCACTTCTAGAGGCTGAGGCAGGGAGATTGCAAGTCGAGATCAGCTTGAACAACTGAGTGACTTAGGGCAAGCCTGTCTTAAAACGTGTTAAAAGCTTTAGTGTGATGCCCTGGGTTTGATCTACAGCCCTGAGAAGGAGGGAGAGAGCTGATGACATTAATGCTGACGACACATTAATGGGTACCACTCACAGAACGTTGAGTGAGGGGAACCAGGCACTACAGACAATGGTGTTTGAGTCTGTCTGTCCAAACGGCTCTACCAGGGCATGTAAAGTCAGGATATGGTTGCCTGGGTGCAGGAGGGATTAATCCCAAGTGGGGTGTAGGATGGGCATCTAGGGTGCTGATCAGGTTCTGTTCTTGACCTACACTGCCTAGGCGTGTTGACCGTGTGACGGTCAATCTAGCTGCTTATGTAGGAGTTGGGGACTTCCTGCCTCTGCGTCCTGCAGGCTGGTGAGGCCTCTTCTCCTGCAGGAGCCGGAGGTGAGGAGGAGACCAACAAGAAGGTGCTGTACGAGAGCAACAAGCGCTTCCTGGGGCCCTACAACCCCGTCAGCCCGTGCCAGAACATCCTGCGTGTGATCGCGGTGACTGCAGGGACAGCTGCTGCTCAGCTGGGAGGGAGCGAGGGAGGCCAATGCCCAGCGCCCGCTGCCTGCCAGCTTCCCAGGCAGCCCGGGCCCTTCCCTACCATGGAGCCACCCCAGCCCTGTCCTCCTGGGTCTGCACCACCCGCTGAGAGCTGTGAATTTCTTCTTGTGATGCTCCTCTCCAGTGCTGGGTGTGGGGACCTTGTTGCCCCTAGATTTGGATGAGGATGTGCACGTGACCCTGCCTCTGGCTCTGTGCCCATGGTCATGTCCTTGTCGCATGTGGGGTTCTGGGGCTGCCCATGCATGTTGGGACTTCTGTGTCTGTCTGTACCCTAGGAGTTCGGAGACTTTTTGGGCCCCCAGCAGGTGAAGGACCTGCTGCTGGCAGCTGTGGAGGGGCTGAGGGGCGACGTGGAGGATCAGGGGCAGGACTCTGGGGAGATGATGCAGCTGGCCTCTGAGGTCACACTCGGCTCTGTGCTGGAGTGGTACCGCCACAAGGCGCTGGAGGTGGTAAGGTGGGGGGTTGGGCTCCCCTCCCCAGGCCTGCCTGGGCGTGGGCAGGGTAGGGACTGCCCTGAGACCTCAGCTGTTCCCAGGCATGGGTGGGGCAGACAGAGGAGGAGAAGCCCTTCTGCCCTGTGCTGCTCTCCACCCTCCTCCCTGTTCCTGTCCTGTCTCCCACCTTCCTTTCTCCCTGAGCTTCTCCACTGAGCCTTCCTTCTGTCTGCTCCTGGCTGCCACCAGATCCCAGAAATCATGCAGGGCATCTACCTGCAGCTGAGCCACATCCAGGAACCACGGGCCCGAGAGCTGGCCCTGCTGCCTGTCTCCTTCCTGGCCAGCTCCTTCATGACGGAGGTTGTGGTGGCCCTGCTCATGTGCCCCCTCCCGCTGGACAGGTATGGGGTAAGGGGGTTCCCAGCTGCCCCGCATCCCTATCCTCTTGTCCAGAGAATCCCTTGCCTTCCCCAGTGGTCCCTGTTCTGTGATCTTGGTCCCTGTGACCACTAGACCCTTCCAAGCAGTGCCGGGTGTTAGCAGCTCCATTTTATAGATGCAACTGAGACTGAAGGCAGTTTCTTGCTTTGAGCTATTGCAGTCAAAGTTTACAAGGGAAACAGTTTAACACAGAACACATAATTTACAGAATGGTTTTATAATAGTCACCAAAATAGTCATCATGAAAAATACAGGAAATCTTCCACACACTGAAGACACCCCCCAAATCCAGCTGAGAACCTGGATCCCGTGGCAACATCCTGCTTGAGTCCAGCTGAAGACCTAGAGCCCATGATGATGACTCATGCGAGTCTGTTTCATGGATCTGCACTGGGAAGAACCAAAATTCAGCAGCAGAAGCCAGAAAGTCTGTGCCAGCAGGATGAAGGATCTGTGCCAGTAATCTGAGGGTTCTGTACTGGAGCCTAGAAGTGGCATTCAAAGTAAGGATCAAGGCTCCCCTGGAAAGACCACAGGCGTCCTCAGTGGCAGTGAGATTTTGAGCCCCTCCAATGATGAGAACAGACAAATTCATACCAGGAAACCAGCATGACAAGCTTCTCCAGGAGACTGAACAGCACACATCTTCCCCTCCAGAGCCAGGAAGCAATGCTCACAGTAGGGACCAGAGCTCCCCCCAAAGTGAACTGCAGCCGTTCTCAGTGACAAGGTCCCAAGCTCCTTCGACAATGAGAACAGCCAAGTTCATATACGAAAAAAAGCTTGACAACTCCTCTAGGAGAACCAGTGTCAACAGGAGAGCCAATGACACCACTTCTTCCTCTCCAGTTCTCCCTGTTGTGTTGGCAGCAGTCCTCAGATGGGCCGTCCACACTCAGTACCATACTGCTTCAGTTCAGCTGGGCCTTACCAGTTGCCTGCCAGTTGTCAGGCCACCACAGGGTCCCACTGTGCTATCACTAGGTAGAGGACCTGGCTCAGGGTTGCCCAGAGCTCTTCAGTGATGCTGCAGAAGGAGCTTGGTGTCCTGGCCCTGATTCAGCCTCTGGCATCACATGGTCTTGGGCATCCTGGTTACCCTCTTTGGGCTTCTGTGTTCCCCACAGGTAAAAGGAGGAAACAGTCCCTGTGTTCCCACCCAGAGGGGGGTGAGAGGAAGCTGCACTGAACGCTGCTCTGGCCTTTGGCTATGCCTGTGGGCAGGGGGCTCAGAAACACTCACATCCCTTCTGTGGGTGAACAAAAAAAGGCAGTAATGCCAAGCAAGGCAGAGCACACCTGTAATGCCAGCACTACGGAGATAGAGGCAGGAGAGTTGCTGCAAGTTTGAAGCCAGCCTGGGCTACACAGTGAGTTCAAGGCCAGCCTGCACTACATCGTGAGACACTGCTTCTGATGACAAAACAGCGCCAGACAAATACCCCCAAAACCAAAGCTAAGCAAGAAAAATCAGGCAGTGTTTGATCTGTGCATCAGCATGGCTGTTTGGTGTAAATGGGAGAATCCTACAGAGGTGTGTGAGTGGGGTGTGCTCCAGTGAAGACGGCTGGGTCATTCCCAGGAGTCAAGCAGGCTGCTTGGGCTGGAAGGCTTTAGTTCTTTCCAGCTGCAACTTCCTCTGGGGAGCGGCCTCTGGGTCCACTCAGTGGACTCAAAGGGTTCACAGAGGCCCTATTGGATCTCACAGTCACCCAGGAGGGAGGCCAGGGTGGAGGCAGCCAGGCATGGAGCACGGTCCCCAGGTCCAGACCACATTCGAGTAAACGAGGTTCACATTTGCCGCCCTTCCCTCTCTCGTCTTGGGCCTAAGCCTCAGAGCTGGGCTTCCCAAGGAGAAATCTGGTACAAGGGAAGGAGACACAGGCCATGGCCAATGCAGGAACCCCCGTGGCATGGTTGGGGGTGTGGGACTGGAAGGCCTGCAGTCTCTCATCTCTCTTGCCGACCCCACAGGCTTTGCTTCCCGAGGCCCTGGGAGCACAAGCTCTGCATGACAGCTGCCGCCACCTCAGGAGCTCAGTCCTACAGCTGGCACTGCCACTGGGGCCTTTAGTTAACTGATGCGATTTACCAAGTGGTCACAAGATGACCGCTCATACCATCAGAAATATTGCCTAGCAACATAGTTGACAGACTATCTTAAACAGGTTTCCAGGGGAATCAAGAAAGCTAGAAGGTTCTGATGCTCACATGGAAGGGCAAAAGGTCTCTTCGTGCTCAGCACACAGTTAACCCCTCCCCACCCCCACAGGAGTGCCACAGGCTGCTGTCTGCCTGGGCATTTGCCCTGCAGGGGCCTGAGACAGCTCCCCAGCTGCCCTCTGACTTGAGTCTTACCCAGGCCCCTGAGAGCTCCGTGGTCTCAGCTCTGCTCCTTGGCACAGAGGGGCAAGTACAGGCTCTGTAGGCGTCAGATCTGCCACCTGCTGTGCCGTCTTGTCTTGAATGGGTGATTTCACCTCTTTGGGCCTCCATTCCACATCTGGATAATGGGAGTAACCACACCCACCTTGGGGGTCATTGTGAGAATTTGGTGACCTAGAATGTTTGAGTTCATGCTCAAGGCTATATCCCTGAAGATTTTCCCAGTGGCTGATGCGTAGCCTGTGTATGTACCACAACCATCACTGAAGCGCTGGTGCAGAGCCAGGACTGGGCTCTGAGGAGGTATTCCAGGCACCCTCGATGAAGTGCCCACAGGTGCCCTTTCATGAGCTCTCACTTGCCCTAACCCTGAAGCCACTGGGGTCAGGAGCCACTGACCACCTGCCCTGTCCTCAGCAATGGAGCCCAGATGTGGAGGCAGCTGATCCTGCGCAAGCCCAGCTGTGACGTCCGAGAACTTCTGGATCTGCTGCTGGCCAGCCTGAAGGAGAAGCCTGTCTCCAAGAAGGGTCGGGTCTCCATTGTGCCCCTGGCGGTAAGGGGCACCTGCCAGAGCCCCAAGCTCACCCTGCTGTTGCCCTTCTAGCCCCCACCCCCTGCTGGGTGTGGCACCCTGGCCACCGGGACCTCACCTGCCAGTGCCTAACATGTGGCCTTGGGCAGGCTCCTGTCTCTGGGCCCTTCACTGGGACCCACCTGGTGAACCGGTAGTGCCTCCTGTGGTGTGCCATTGGGATGACAGGAACAGAATGATTTTGGAATCACAGGCCTTAGGTCCTAAAATTGCTGTCACTGTTTTGAGAGACAGGCAAGTAACCTCATCTCTGAGCCTTGGTCTGGACATCTGTGAACAATAATAATCATAATCATAATCATAATACCCAGCTTGGTGTGGGGATGTGTACTAGCATTCCCAAGAGGATTGCAAGTTTGAGTTCAGCCCAGGCAACTTAATGACTTAGCAAGGCTGGGTCTCAAGATAAAAAAATTTTAAAAGGGTTGGTGATATAGCTCAGAGTGAAGGCCTCAGGTTCAATCCTCAGGGCCACACAAGCACACACACACACACACACACACACACACACACCTCTATAATATCTATCTCATGGGTGACTCCTTCATTCATATAGGTTATACAAAGTGGTTTGTACTTCTGGATGCTTGGCTCTGGGTCTAGGACAAAAGGCCACCCCACATCCCATCTGCCTATGCTGTCCATGAGGAAGAGCCCAGGTGCACTACAGCCAGCATCTGCCCTGGGGCTTGGGGTCTCGGCACTTGCCTTGTCCTTCAGAGCCAAGCCATCTTTCACTTGCAAAGTGGGACTACGCCCCTGTTCATCTCAGGAGCTGGAAGGGTCCCCTCACTACGATTCCACAGAGGTTACATAACACCCGGGCACTGGGCAAAGTCAAAAGGCCAGCTGTGACAGGACTGGGGCTCTAGTGTTGGGGTTCAGGGCCTGGAGGTAGCAGATAGGATTCAGGCTTTCTCAGGCTGGGCCAGAGAAGAGCAGAGACCCAGGTCCAGCTGCGCAGAGGCCAAGGAGTGGGTCTCAGCCAGGCGTGCTGGGAAGATGGGTCAGGTTGGTCAGGTCAGCCACTGGCCTCCCCTTTGCCCCCAGGCAGCCAGCGGCCTGTGCGAGCTCCTGTCTGTCAACAGCTGCATAGGCCAAGTGAAGCGCATCTACCCCCAGCTGCTCCTGGCCCTGCTCATTCAGGTCCACTACCACATCGGCCTGAAGCTGCCTGGCCACGGGGTGCCTGGCAAGGACACCAAGGACCAAGCGTGGCCTCCCGTCTTCACGCCTGTGCGGTAAGCTCTCGTCTCTCTGGGCCCTGCTTGCTGGCAGTAGGGAGGGAAAGCCTCTCAGCAGGGCCCCTGCAGCTGGCCTCCGGCTGGCAGAAATGAGCTCTGGGATTATGAGAGGAAGCAGAAGCGTACCTCCGTTAGAGTCCGTGCTTCACGCAGCAGCTGCTGTCGAGCACCTGCTCCTGTGTCTTCTATCACACTCAGTACAGGAAGGCCTGAAAAACTCAGGTTCCCCCAAGGACTCGGGGATGAAAGTCCATTATCCTTCCCCACCCATTTTATTTTTCATTAATTTTTGGCTGGAATAGGTCATATGTGCACATGGGCAAAAAACTCAAAAGACGTTAAAGTGAGACTCCTTCCTGCCTGGCTCCAGTTCCCTTCCTCAAAGACCAGCAGGCTCTTTCCTGCTCTTCTGGGAGTGGCTGTCAAGGGCGACACGTTTCCATCCTGTTTTTACAGCAGGGGCCGCAGGCCTCACGCGGGCATGCAGGTGTGCACCTGTCACACACTGCCTTGGAGACTAGCACGGCATAGCTGCCTCGTAATTCTGACGGCCTTGAGGCAGCAGAACTGTTGACCCAGGCCCCTGGTCCTCTTTAGCTCCTTCCCACCTCAGACTATCACAGACAGGGCTGCAGGGCGTGGACTTGCTTGTGTGTTGTTCTGCACACTTTTGATTACATGCAGAATGAGCTCTCAAAAGTGGAATGGGCCTGGGGCCTCCTGCATTGGGACGTTAAGGTGGAGCAGGAAACACCTGGGGAGCAAGTTCTGGATCCTCACAGTATTTGTATTTAAAAATACAGTGACAAAACACTTTTATTGGGCCGGAGATTTAGCTCAGCGGCATAAGTGCCTGCCTTGCAAGCATGCAGTTGTGAGTTTGGTCCCCAGTACCCCCCAAAAAAAACTTATCTTTGCTAATTCGAAAGTTGTAAAAGGGGAAAAAAAAGGAATTTTTGGCATAGTTTTGATTTATAGTGTTCTTACTTAAGTGAGATTGAGGTTTAAATGTTATTTGTGCAATAAACCTCTGTGAATAAGCTGTTCTTATCCCCTGGCCAGTTTTACATAGAACTTTTGGAGATTTTTCCTTATTAATTTGTAAAAGCTCTTAATATAGGAAGGAAATTAACTCTTTGTCCGTGGCATTCCAGTTTGACACTTAGCCTGCAATTATTTTACGGTCTTTTGCCGTCCGAAACTTAAGTTTGTATGTAGCCAAATCGACAAGCCTTTTCTTGTTTTACTCTCATGGCACAGTAGGCATACCAAGGTGCAGGTGGAGGGGCAGAGGGTGGGCTGCTGTGCGGCTGGGCTTGAAGTCGGGTCACCTCAGATGTGAGTGTCTGCCTGCTGCTTTGTTTGTTTGGTGAACTGAGTGAGCCTCTTGGGGGTGACTTCGTTGCCTATGAAAAGGGTGTTTCTTGGTTAATTTTTCTCATTGTTGAGACAAAATACCTGATGCCCTAAGTGAAGCAAGGAAAGGTTTATTTAGCTTACAGTTTTGGGGGGTTTTAGTCCACACTATCTGGCTCCAAGGCAGGGCGGCATGGCTGAGGGCAGCTGCTCATAGTGGCTGCAAGCAACAAAGTTAAAAGGGTAAAAGAGGGAAAAGATGCCTTCCTCCCTCCCTTATATTGTGTGCCAGCTCCCTGCCCCTGGGCGGGTGCAGCACTCACATCACCAATCCCAGTGCTAGACAACAAACCAATCACAAACACTAGATTCAGTTGCTTCCATGACTGCATGAGGCTTGCTTGGGGGGTCACCCAGACACAAACCATAACAGGGTGATGGTTTTTGCCTCATAGAAGTGTTATGAGGACCAAATAGAATCATACTGCCTGCCCTCTGTGAAGCTCCATCCTAGTTCCAATTTCCCTCGCATTCGTAGGGGCTGCGTGGAAAGCTGAGGGACTCTGGAGGTAATGTGAGGAAGACACGGTGATGCCACAGGAGGAGGAAAGGGAGCAAGGAGTGGAGGCACTCTCCCTGGGTGGTGAAGGGCACTGATCAGCCGAGGACCATGGGAGTGGCTGGAGGGAAGCTCAAACAGGGTCCCCAAAAGATACATCCACCTGGAGCCTGTGACTTTTTTGGAAGAAGAGTCTTGGCGGGTATCATTAGGCCAAAGATCTCCAGAGGAACTCATCGTGGTTAACCTTGGGCCCTGCATCCAACAGTGAGTCCTCTTCTGAGAGGAGGAGTGATTTGGACATGGGAGGAGGGTTCTGGAGATACTGACAGCGAGTGGACAAGGGACCCTGCCCCAAGCAAGGAGCTGCAGCAGGCAAGGGAGGGCCAGCCCTCTGAGATCCAGAGGGCACGTGTGTGGCTGACACCCCAATTTGGGGCATCTGGCTTCTGGAACTGAGACTCCTTTCTATGACTTTAAGTCACCCAATGGTGACTTGGTACTGCAGCCACTGAACCCTGCCATTCTGGAGTTCAACCCTGGCGTGAATGGTATGCGCTCCAGACACCACTGTGAGGTGGGAACCTGGTGCATGCCTGCCTATCTGTGCACACTCATGCCCCAATCCTCTTGAGGAGGAGGGCATGTGTGTGATAAGTGTGATAGCTAGCCCTGAGGACACCAGCCTTGACACCTCATGCAGCGGCTGGAAGGGGACGGAAAACCTGGCTGGACTCGGTCTTAGGGACACTGAGACCTGGGCCCTGAGGCAGCCTTTGGGCTGTTGTACTGTTCCTCAGGGGATCAGTGGCTCCTCCATCCCAGTGGGGCATGGACAGTGGTTTCTCATGGCATCCTTTACCCCACTTGGCTGAGAAAATCTCCCAGGAGGATGAACTCGCAGATGGGCATTAGACGGGCACTTCCCACACCCTCCTCGCAGGGCTACTCTATCTATCTACAGGTGACAGCACTGTGTGGGCCTACAGCAAACCTTCAGGAGTGGGCGGGGAAACAGGAGGGATAAGGTGGTTTTTGTCCAAATGTGGAACTCAGTTGAGGAAGTGAGTGAACTGCAGGGGGACAAGAAGTCGGGAGTCCTGCTGGGCTCAGAAGCTCCAGCCTACACAGCCTCATCCCACTGCACCCTCAGCCTGGCAGGGTCTGGCCTGGCTGCAGCTGACAGAAGTCCCTAAGCAGTTTCTCTCTGAGCTCCTGTCCCCAGGACAGTTCATGAGAAGGCACCAAGTATGCCCCCAGAGAAGGGGCTGTGCCCAGCGAGGAAGGTGGGGACACACGTGCAGGTGGCTCTTTAACTTTAGCTGAAGACACTAGTGCTGACATTGAGAAAAACCACCCTCTCTCTCCAAGGCAAACCTGAGCCTCTCAGCTCTGTTGTTTGTCAGTGCCAGGTTTTCTGGGGCGAGGAGGATGGCAACGAGTTTGCCTGGCCCACATGGGCACCTGGAATCCACGCTGCTCCCTCCCTGCCTTCTTTATAATTTTGAAGGAGGAGGCACTGCTGGCAGGACTCTCCTGGTAGCATACACTAAGGTTAAACAACGCTGAAGGCTCAGCCTTCAGGAAGCACTGATTTGCACACATTATTGTTCTTATTAAGAGCAAATTCTGTCCGATTACTGAGCTCTGAAACACTGTCTTGGCTGTTTACGAACTGTGGGGAAGAGAACAAAAAGCCAACAAGAAGCAAACTCTCCCTGTGAGTCGGTGCACGTGCAGGCCACTGAGGGGACAGCCAGAGGGCGGCCTCTTCCAGTGTGTAGGCTGGGAAACAAGAGGAGCTAACCCTCCTCACGCAACCCCACCCCAGCTGTAAATGACAGGCTGTGATGGTAGCTATTGAAGTAAAACACAATTTAATGCTCCGTGTAGTGTTTAGTGTTTCACTGACTTTGCAGGTCTTAAGCTGGTAGTCTGATCATCTATTCTGAGGATAACAGTACACAATGTAGCATCTATGGGGGAATCTCCTTCTGAAGGTGGTAGCCATTGGTGATTCCTTATGATCTTGTTATGAAATCCTATATTGTTTCCATTATTTTGTTGGGTTGGGTTTTATTTTCTTTTGTTTTGTATGATTATGTTAAATCCGATAGCAGGAGCAGCTATTTCAAAGATAATAAGACCTATTATGGTAGCCATTTTGAATTTACTATTGTCTTGTTTTGAAGCCCTTATTGCATTCATTGTTTTGTTTTTATTGGTTCTGTTCTATTTGATTTTTACTATGTCTGAAGGTACCTGCAGCTATTTTGAAGACAACAAGAGGCATTATGGTAATCACTGTTGATTTTGTATTGTTTTGAAGTCCTGTGTCACTCACAGTAGTTTGTTTTGATTGGCTTTATTCTGTTTTATTTTGCTTGGTTTTATTCTCTTTAAAATGAAAACAAAAATTAAAGCACTCTATTCTGATTCATGAGGATAACAGCTCTCAGTATCATCTATACTAGTGCAGCCTGGTGTTACGGTTTGTGTCTAGATGTCCCTCCAAAGCCTCATGCAGTCATAAATGGGACTTTTTCAGAGGTTGCTGGATCTAGAATGTGTGGTGCTGGAATTGATTTGTTCCACAAGGCTAGGACTGAGGGCACTAGGATTAAGGGTGTGAGTGCTACTCACCCTAAGCAGCCTGGATAGAACAGAACAGAAGGAGCTGTGGCTGTGGCTTGCTTTGCCACTTTTTGCCTTCCATGAACTATTTCTCCTGTGATTCTTGTTTTCCATGCCACTCTGCCCTGGAGCCAGCCAACTATGGGCTGAAATCTCTGCAAACTGTGAGCTAAGTAAACCTTTCCTCCCTTAAATTGTGGGTGTTGGGTATTTTGTCTTAGCAACAAAAAATGCAACACATTGGTACTAAGAAGGGTGTACTAAGTACCATATTATACTTGACCATGTGGTTTAGGGGTTTTTGGAGCTGTTTGTTGGAAGGGGAAGAGTTAGGAAAGGTTTGGAGATGCCCAGTAAAAAAGTAGAGCTTGAACATCTTAGGTTGTACTTGATGGGAGATTTTCATCAGAGCTCAGAACACCAGAATGCTGATAGAAAAGTTGTGGTAAAGACTAGGCTTCACAGGTTTTTTGCTGGGAAGAACTGCATTGGCTGATTATTTACTTATTTATTTGGATTTTTTGTGCCAAGTTGCCTTTCTTTAAAAATAAAAATTAGGAAATGGAACCAGAATAAAACTATGAATTCATAGGACACACTTTATAATTCCAGTCATCTGCAGCTCTCCATAAGGAAAGCTTCAGTTCTTCACCTCCTTCCCTTCTTCCTGACGTCAAGGATAGGAAAGAGAAATGGAAGAAAAAGCCCACTGTTCCAAATTACCCTGCAGTTTACAACTTTCCTTCTCCCTGGCGCTTTCTTCAAAATATACTTCAGGTCTTTAAAGAATTAGCTTCAAATTCCTGAACACACAATACTGCAACATCCTTCAATAGTAATTCATACACTGGTTTCTGTTGTGTGAAACTGTAGTCTTTAAACCTATAATTGGGATTAGCAGATCAATATAAAAAATACAGTACCAAGCTACACTGGTATATTTCCATATTAAGCAGTTTTCAGTCCACTGTGAATAAATTATCTGCTACATGTAAACATGTAAATAACTATAGATAAAATACATCAATCGTAAATTTCTGTAAAAGATAATAAACTGCCTTCTTTTTTTTTTTTGTCTTTTTGAGACAGGGTCTGCTATGCAGTTCAGGCTGGCCTTGAGCTCACTTTGTAGACCAGGCTAGTCTTGAACGCTCAACAATCCTCCTGCTTCAGCCTCCCAAGTGCTGGGATTACAGGCATGAGCCACCATGCCCGGCTAAACTGCCTTCTTTAAAAGAACAATAAGCTATTACTGCATTGTTTCTAATTTTATGAAAATGGAACAACCACATGCCAGTCTTGAGTTCATTGCAATAAAAATGGCCCTGGTTCCTGGTTAAGGTCAGCAACCAATCCATTCTCTTCAATAGATAGCTGTCTTCTAGTACTGTAGGCGGACTTGTCTTAGGTAGTATTCCTGTCCCTTAATAAAGTTATATGCCAGGAACTAACCCATACCACAGTACTGTGTCACAAACAATTTTCCATCAGAAGTGCGATCTGAGAGAGCAATTTCTTTTTTACTCAAATGTGAGCCATCTATAAAGTTCCTCTTCAGGCACTCAATCTTGGGCGTGGTGGGAGGCTGGGCGCCCAGGTGAGCAGAGGATGCCGTCCTGGGCTTGCTGTGGAGTAGATGATCAGGGGCTGGATGCTGCAGGAGCCCCCGGAAGAGCGCTTAGGGGAACAGGGAGGAAAAAGCCCCGTCTCCGCAGAGCGGGGAGTTCCGCTTCTGTTTCCTCTCTGGTCCTCAAAGTGAATTATTGTTTGTAAAGAGCCCTAGATGATGACCAGCACTGTGGGGAGAAGCCTGTGGCGAGGGGCAGAGGCCTCAGGGTGCTGGCCCCCTCTCACAGATGGGTGGTGAAAGTGGTCAAGACCCTGCTGCTGAAGATGGGCTGCTCACAGGAGGCTGCGTTCGTGGAGGCGGAGGGTGGCTGGGATCTCATGGAGCAGGCGCAGGGCCACCACCTCGGAGTGTCACTGCTGGCCAGGTGAGGCCTGGACACCCAGGGCGGGGGAGGAAGAGTCCCTCCATCACCTTTTCTCTGCAGCTGGGTGGACACTGCCCCCTTGGCAGGTGGGTGGTGGGCGGTACCCAGGAAGCCAGGGCTCCTCGCCAGGGCAGCAGCAGAGCCCTTAGTGATTCACCACATGCCTCTTCGGTGTGAATTTTGTTCCCACACTAATAATAAGAACTTGGGAGGGCAGCCTTGGGGACGTCTGTCTTCTACTCAGTCTCGGGCAGTTACCAGCTTATCAACAGGGCAAAACTGATTCCCCTGTCCCTCCACTCCTCCTCAGAAGTGTGGAAATAGTCTGCATCCACCCTCCAAGGGGCCGGGAGGGCTTAAAGTACTCAGAACATCCCTGGCATATGCTGAGAACGAAATGCAGTTTTGTCTTGTTGGCCTGATGGTGACTGGGGCAGAGACCGATCCAGCCAGGGACCAGAGAGGGGCAGCCCTGCATGTCAGGTCACATAATGGGAAGCGCCAGAGCTGGCAAGGACCTGCTGGACCAGACCAGAGGTCAACCCCCAGCCTCACACTGCCCCCCTGGGATCAGCGGGGGTCCTTTGTTTGACTCCTGAGACTCCTGCACCCTCCCCAGGGGTCTCCGAGTCAGCCCCATTTACTGAATGCTAACTGCACTCCAGGCACCATGCAGAGAGGTGTATGCGACAGTCTTTTGGTACTCACCATAAAATGGAACAGCACTGTCACTAGCCAGGGGTTGTACACGAGAAAGCGGTGACTGCCCCACGTCCACCCCCACGTGCGCTTCACACCTCCCTGGACTCACTGTGACTGGTCTTCATGCACCAAAATGGTCTAGAAGGCCTGCTGCCCCTGCCTTGAGTTTCTGCCTCAGTGGGCCCAGGCCAGGGCCCGAGATGGGCATTTCTAGCAAGTCCCTCGGTGCACCAGTGCTGGGGGGTACTGGTGTAAGGAGCCCTTGTTCAGGGCTCTGGCTTTTCCTTCCCAGCTCTGTGACATTGACAGTCTGTGCTTGACCTTTGTTTCCTTATCTGGGAAATGGGGCTAACAGTACAGTTGCCTGGAAGGGCGATGGGGAGGTGGGACAAGTATCAAGGCAAAGGTCAGGTTGCTCCATTCAGGGCATTCAGGGACCCGGCCCTTGCTATCTCTCTTCCTCTGTCTTCCTTGCAGTGTGGCCTTTGTAGCTGTCCTTCTTACTGACTTGCTGGGTGACCTCAGGCGAATCACTTTTCCTCTTTCAGCCTCAGTTTCCTAATCTGTAAAATGGAGCTGTTAAACCAGGTGGCCTCTGAGACCACCTGGGCACCCAGGAACTCAGGTGGCCCAAGAGTCCCACCCAGTGGGCCCCCGGGGCTGCAGAACCTGAGGGCCTCCCCTCCCCAGGGCCATGGTGCACTACTCCTGCCAGGAGCTGTGCCGCATCCTCTACCTGCTCATCCCGCTCCTGGAGCGCGGCGACGAGAAGCACAAGATCACGGCCACCGCCTTCTTTGTGGAGGTACGACAGGGATCCAGGCACGAGGCCAGGCTTGCTCAGGGCCTTCTGTGTGAACAGGGTTGCAGTTTACAGAGCCCTCCGGGGAGCAGCGCTCCCCTGAACCCGAGGCCCCCTGGTCTCCCTCCCTTGTCCCTTCCCCTCCCATTCAATCTTCCCAAGACCCTCTGGGGGCCCCCAGGCTACCAGCAACCTTTGCTGGCCCCTGTGTGTGCCAGGCACCACAGGTGCCAATTTGAATTTGACACTACCGGTGACAACACTGGAGGGTTCTAAGAAGGGACTTGTGCTAAGCCGGGAGCAGTCCAGGCTGTGGGGAGAGAACAGAGGACTTCTAGGAAGGCAGGAGGTGTCGAGGAGGGCTTCCTCCGTGAGTCGGTGGTGGAGGTGGGTCTGCAAGGGTCGGAAGGGACAGATCTGCAAGGGGGAGCTCACTGGTGGCATCTGCTGGGGAGCGTTGAGCGCTTACTTTTCCAGGTGCCTTCAGGAGCTTTACACTTGCTCAGTCACTCCCCTGTCACAGGCAGTCTGGGACTCGGACCAGCCCATGGGCCACTTTTGAGAAGGGACCTGGGCACAGGTGACAGCACCTTTCCCAGGGCCAAGTGGCAGATCTAGGATTCAAACCCAGACCTTTGGACTCTAAACCCTTCTTGGTCCTTCTTGCATGCCTGTAATCTCAGACTCTGGAGGTTGAGGCCAGAGGACCGCTGTTAAGTTCAAATTGAACTGCATAGTCGACCCTGTCTCAAAAATATAAAACCTTCTCTGTCTGTCTCTCTAATTTATCCTTATTATGATAAAATACACGGAACATAAAATTAGCTTTGTTTCTTCTTAAGTGGTGAAACTCAGGAGCCATTTCCTGCGTGCACCAGCAAGCAGGGACTCTGGGTTTAACCCGCATGCTGGCCCTCCCTCCCTGGAGCAGAGGTCTTCCCAGCTCCCCAGAACTTCAAGCAGACCTGCACCATGCACTACAGCTCAGTTGTTCTTCCTTGACACCTGGTGGCCCTCATCTGTGACTGCCTGTGTGTGTGCTGGCTCGTCCTGTGGAGGGCCAACTGCTCAGGGAGCTGTGCGACCTGGGGGAGTCACATGGTCTCCTGTGTTCCCACTGCATCACGTGTAACTTGAGGACTAGGAACTGCCTGCCTCATGGAGCTAGGGTGAGGCCCATCACTGCCGTGTCTTCCAGGCCTGACCCAGACCCTGGGTGGACAGGTTCTGCTGGGTATTGGTGAGTGGAGGATCGAGGACAGACAGTGGCTCCCTGTCCCCAGACAGCTGTCCTGTCTCTCCTATGGCTCTGTCCCCAGTGCCCCTGACTCAGAGACTCAGGTGTCCACCTCGGCATCAGGTGTCAGACAAGGGCAGGGAGGGGTCCTGGTGAGGACACTGCAGCAGGAGCTGAAGCCCTGCTGGTTGTGAGGGATCCGTGCAGGGGAGGAGGAGATGGGGGCAGTGCTGACTGCAGTGGGGACATGGCGGGGGAGGAACTGGGATTCACATGGACCTGAACTCATGCCCCAGGGTGCCCTGAGTGCACACTGCATCTCAGAGTCTCAGTTGGGTGGCAGAGTCCCAAGGAGGAACGGCTGAGCGTTTGTCCTCAGGGAAGCCGTCAGATGCCTCTATGTGGTAGGGGCACAGGCAGGGCAGTGGGGGCACTGGGGAAGGGGCAGGGGCAGCATCAAGCATAGCTCAAGAGGGTGATGGGGAGGCAGTGTCCCGGCAGAAGGGCATCTCGTTCACACAGAAGGGACGCGCAGCCAGAGCCATTCGGGGAATGTGGGCATCTTGGTTAGAGTCTGGCTGGCAGGTGTGTGACATGGGCTCCAGGGTAGGTCTGGTATGACTGAGGCTATGGGGACAAGAAGGGGCAGGGGGAGGCATGGGGAACCCTGAGGTGGGGAGAGATGCTTATGGCTTTGCCAGGAGGAGCTGGTGTACATCAGGTGGCTGTTCCAGAAAAATGTCAGTTTTCCAGGTCTGCAGCTCTGGGCAGAGGCTGAGCCCGGTTTTTCCGGGCACTCAGTGCATGGGGACTGCGGCCCCTTGCCCATTGGCTGAGAGTCATTTATATTTGCTACCCCCAGCTCTTCCAGATGGAGCAGGTGCGAAGGATCCCCGAGGAGTACTCTCTGGGGCGGATGACAGAAGGCCTGGGCCACCGTAACCCTGTCATGAAGGTGCTGTCCATCCGGGGCCTGATGATCCTGGCTCACAGGTCAGAGAAGGTGAGTGCGAGGCAGAGGGAAACCTGGCCAGCCCGGCCCCAGACTGGAGGGTGGCAGAGCTGGGCCATCACAGTCTTTCAGACACTGATGATTAGAGCAAAAGCCATCTCTGGCCAGCCTCAGTGATTTATCTATAAAGTAGATCTGCCTTCACAAACTCTATATATTTTATCTTTTGTCAAAGAATTTCTAGTCCAGATTTTCCCCAGTGGCTCCAAAGATGGATGTGTAAGGGGAGCAAGGTTGGCAGCAATCATTCTTATTTCTTAGACCAGGCAACTGAGCCCCCCAATCTTTGGTACACCCTGAGCATTCACAACAGTGCTGTGCTTTACCCTGTCCCCCTGACTCATGCCGTAGCCAGGATGAAGGGATAGGACGTAAACCCAGAAGGCTAACTTACAGCGGAGGATGTCACCCTTCTAGTGCCCATGAAGGTGTAAGATACCGCAGGGCCTGATGGCTCCAAGTCAGGCAGGACTTGGGGGATACAGAGGGCCCCTGACAGTGTCTGGAAAGCGAATGAGGGCCTTCCAAACAGGAGGCTGGGCACAGGCAAAGGCCTGGAGACAGGAGGGGGGCTACCCTGCTCATGCTGGTGAATCAGGCCAGGCTCCCCCCTGCTGGGCCACCCTGCTCTCAAGGGTTCTGCCCCCACAGATGGCCAAGGTGCAGGCACTGCTGCCCTCCATGGTAAAGGGTTTGAAGAATATGGATGGGGTGCTGGTGGTGGAGGCGGTCCAGAGCCTCAAGACCATCTTTAAGGGAAAGGACCAGAAGCAGAGGGACAGCTCAGTCTACGTGGAGATGCTGCAGGTCCTGCTGCCACATTTCAGTGATGTGAGGAATCCCAGGGGATGGGTGGCCTGGGGAGGGTGGAGCCAGCCCAGGAGGGGGCACTTGCTTCCAAATGGCCTGTGCTGTTTTGCAATTGGTTCCTCCAGAGAAGATTTTTGTTCTAATTGGTTCTCCTGGAGAGAGCTCTTCTTTTCTATGACATCTCCCCAGAAAAGATCTTATTAAAGCCACTGATCCATCCAAAGGGGACAGATTTTTTTTTTTTTAAACAGTCCTAGCAAGGGTTTTTTTTCCCCAGGTGCCATGAAGGCACCTTTTAGGTTAGCAGGCCCTGGCTGAGGGGAATGGCAGAGCCAGGCGTGCGTGCGGCCAGCGCTGCTCCTGGTGGCCCAGGTTGGCTTTTGCCTCTGCATCCTTGTGCCTGGAGGCCCCCTTGGGATGAGGGGTAGGACAGCTGTGAAGCCTCTTCCTGGAGAAGGGGTCCCCTGAGGTTCCGGTCTACCCTAGTCAAGCGAGGATGTGCGTGCCTCCTGCATCAACATGTACGGGAAGGTGGTCCAGAAGCTTCGGCCACCCTGCACGCAGGCCATGGAAGAGCAGCTGACCAATACATTGGTGCCGCTCCTGCTGATCATGCAGGAGGGCAATGCCAAGGTGGGCCAGGTAAGTGCACTCAGGCAGGGGACCTCTGCTAGCCTCAGCCCTGTGGGTTATGGAAACCAAGTGAGGGCTGCTTGAGAGTCGCAAGCCATACCTAGGAGCAGTTATTTACTTCTCATCAGATCTGTTTCCCAAAGACGTCCACATTAGGGTTCCACTTCAGAATAGTTAACTCCATTTGTACATTTTCAAAAAGCAGTTGATTTTCCAAAACCCAGTTTAGACACACGTTTGGTTCTGGAATACGTTTGGGCCTCCCAGAATCCCATAGCTCTGGTGTCCTTTTCCTGCTGGCCCCAGAAGTCTCTGAAGACCCTGTTCCGCTGCTCTTGCTTCATGGCTTGGGAGCTGCCTAAGACAGCATACAGCCGGAAGTCCTGGGACAACAGGCAGCAGGCGGTGGCTAAACTCTGCAAGTACCTGGTGAGTGCTTCCTTCTGCACATGCACAGGTGGGGCCCGCCTTTCCCCCTCCCTGCTTTCCACACCAGCGACCTGACTGGTGATTTCCACCACGACCTGGAGTCCTGGCCCAGGAATATCCACCTCCACCTCTCACCTGTCTCTCTCCCTGCGTCCGGTGTTCCCTCTGCACAGGCACGGTGGACACTGATGGCCCACAGGCGTGGAGAGCTGGAATGTCCTTTTTTTTAATTGTCTTTTTTTTTTTTTTTTTTGGTACCAGGGATCTGAACTCATGACCGTTCATTTGCAAAGCAGGCACTTACGCCACTGAGCTAAATCCCCAGCCCCTTGGAGTGTTCTTTTTGAACACATGGCCTGTCCTTTTAATTCTGCTCTGGCCCTCTGAGTCCTCAAGGCCGAATCATCCTGCATTCCTTTTTCTCCTTACCTTCCACTCCTGAGGATCTCTGGATCTTTCTCCATCTCTATCCCCACTGTCTTTGCCCTTAGTTCAAGCCATGGTTGAGTCATGGGCACAGCCAGCCAGTTGGCCTGCAGCCTTTAATTTCATCCCTTGCAACCCATTCCCTATGAGACCACCAAGGTAGTCTTTTAAAAACACCATGAATAGTCGGATGTGGTGGCATATGCCTGTAATCCCAGCACTAGGGAGGCTGAGGCAAGAGGACTGTTGCAAGTTTAAAACCAACCTTGGCTACAAAGTGAGTTCAAAGTCGGTCTGAACTGCATAGCAAGAACGTTCTCAAAAATACAAACAAAACAAAACAACAAACAAAAACTCCACTATGAATGGTCAGATATGATGGTTCATGCCTGTAATCCCAGCACTTGAGAGGCTGAGGCAGGAGGATTCCTGCAAGTTTGAGTCCAGCCTGGGCTGCACAGTGAGTTCAAAGCCATCCTGAACTACAGTGAGATCTTGTCTCCAAAAGGAAAGAAAAGAAAACTCACGATGGAAGGACATGATAGAGGAAAGCTGTTCAACTCCAGGCAGCCAGGAAGCAGGGAGCGGGTGAACAGCCAGAGAAGCTACGCATAGCTGGGGATGGTATGTAGTTTGTGAAGGGCATACCTGTGACTTCCTCCTTCCAGTCAACGCTGCCGCTGCCTCCTAAGCCCACTCAGTGAGGAACTCAGTGGTGGACTAATCCATATTGCTAAAGTTAGCACCCCATGATGTAATCACCTTCCAAAAATCCAGCCTCTGAATACATGAGCCTTTTGGGGGATATTTAACCATAGCAGTTAGAAACCTACATTTTTTTGAGCCAGGCATGGTTTTGCACGCCTGTGATACCAGTATTCAGGAGGCTAAGGTAGGAGAATCACTGTGAGTTTGAGGCCAGCCTGGGCTACAAAGTGAGTTCAAGGCTCATCTGTACTACATGTGGAGACTGTATCAAAAGCAAAAATAAGGGTTAGAGATTTAGCTCAGCAGCATAAGCACCTGCCTAGCAAGCACAAGGTCATGAGTTCAATCCCTGGTAAAAAGCAAAAACAAAACAAACAAACAAGAAAACAAAGCCAGCCTAAAAATACATAGCAAGACACTGTCTCAGAAAAAAAAAAAACAAAACCAAAAACCCCTACATTAAAAAAACCCCAAAGCCACAGATTAAACCCAGGGCCTCTACTCTGTGCTACATCCTCAACCTTTATTTTATTTATCTAGGTAGGAGCATGCTCAATTGCTGAGTTGCCCAGACTAAGTTTGAATTTGTGATCCACCTGCCTCAGATTCCCACAGTACTAGGATTACAGGTGTGCCCCACCATACCCACTTAAGCATATACATTTATAAGACATTAATCAAACATCAAGTTAGCTTGCTTATGTACGTATGTATGTATGTATGTATGTATGTATGTATGTATGTATTTGAGACAGGGTAGTTCAGGCTGGCCTCTAACTCACAGTGATCCTCCTGCCTCTGCCTCCCAAATGCTGGGATTATAGGCACATGCCTCCATGCCCAGCAGTTTAGCTCATTTTAAACACAGTGGCTGTCACTGTTCTGTGACAGAGCCCCTGGAGCCTCACTTTGTTCCTGAGTCTCCACATCACCCAAGGCTTTGTCATGCCAAGGTCCACTTCTAGGCTTAGCTTTAAGAAGGGCTTACAAAGCTATTGCTCATTCACTGGCTCACCCATTGATTTCTTCACCTGACATTCTCTGGGCTCCAGCTCCAAAACAGGCCCTGTCCAGGGAGCCGAGGACGAGCTGAGTAAAAAGGCCACTTTGGGGTGCACGTTCCTCCACAGTGAGCAGGTGGTGTAAATCATTCTGACCCACTGTCACAGGGGCCACCCCAAGCATGTGCAGGATGTGCAGAAGCATCTTGGGGGCAGATGGGCTCTGTGGGAGGGTGGTGGGAGGCTTCAGCGTGGAGGTGGCGTCTGAGTTGAGGCTGGAGGGGTGGGAGGCCCCTCACCCGGTGCAGCAGAGAGGGAAGGGTACCTGGGGAAGGCTCAGCACTGCATGGCCGTGCAGTGTTTGTGGTCGCAGCAGTGGAGGGAGAAGGAAAGCTGAACACGGAACATGCAGCATCAGATTTCTGATGTGTCCCTCACCTGTTGAGGGCTGGGGATGCGGTTCAGTTGTAGAGCTTATGTCTTCCGTGCACAAGGCCCTGGGTTCAATCCCCAGCACCACACATACAATAATTTGCTTATTCCTGCTGCTTAGCTGGACAATTCCCATCATCAAATCCACCCTGACCACCACTCTCAAATTATTTTGCCTGATGGCTGGGGCCTTGGTGGAGGGCTGGGTGCTAGAGACTTCAAGGAGGCAGGGCCAAGATTCTTCACTATTCCTAGCTTCAAGAAGGGCGGAGGTAAGGATGTAGCTCTGTGGTGCAGCACCTGCCTGGCAAGTGCAAGGTCCTGAATTTGATTCCTGGTACCAGAAAAAAAAAAAAAAAAAAGTATTGCAGTGAGTCTCTCGGAGGGTCCAGCACCTTGGGGTTTCTCTTTGCCCCAGGTGAACACCCACCCAAACAACGCCTTGACATTCCTCAGCCAGGGCTTGGAGTATGCCAAGAACCCACGGGCCTCCCTCCGGAAGTGCTCTGTCATGTTCATAGGTAATGTTCTCGAATCTTCAGTCTTGCATCCAGGGCCCTGCCTCTCTTCTGGCTGACTCCCCACTTCCAGCCCTCCCAGCCTGGGAAGACCCTTCCCTTTGGGTTTGGGCAGGCAGCCAGCCCAAGAGCACATGAGAATGGTTCTCTCCTCTAGGAAGTGGGCTGCAGGTAGGATCCAGGCCACACCCTGGCAGCTGTATGCGCCCAAGCTGCCCCTCCCCCTGGAGCACATGTAACATGTGTCCAAGTCCAGCAGGAGCAGGGCCAAGCCCCCTGGATTATGGCACAAGAGCCACATGGCAGGGTGGAGAACCAAGCAGAATCTCAGCTCTGTGACCTCCTTTCTGTGTGACTCCAACTGGGTCTCAGTTTTCTCATCTGCAAGATAGGAATCAACTTGTATTTCACACATAAATTGAAAATATTTTTCTTCAGGTTTTTACATTTATTAGTACACATCTGCAGTACATAATGATTACATTCATCACGGGGAGGGTGTACGTTGTACATGACACATATTCTTTTTAAGTCCCTTTCTCCTCCTGGGAATATTTTTTAAAATGTGAGGTCCTTGGAATATCAAAGTGCTCTGTGTTAGTCACTTTATTTTCTTTCCCATTCTCTGCCTCTCTAGGAAAAAAAGTAGCAAATAAAAAAAAAAATAGCTGGGCATGGTGGCACATCTCCATAATCATAGCACTCAGGAGGTTGGGGCAGGAGGACTGTTGTGAGTTTGAGGCCGGCCTGGGCTACATAATGAAACCCCATCTCAAAAAAAAAAAAAAAAAAGTCCCCTTGCCCCAATCCCCCAGGGCCCTCCTGGTTCCACCTTCCCCTTTCTATCTCCCTGTCCCCAGTTAGCCACATTCCTATGCATGCTTCACCACTAAGCTACTGCCCGTAACCCTTGCCACATACTCTCCAGTTTGCTTGCTATTTTAGACTCACCCGCCCACCACCTGTGCACTGATTGATACTTCACTCTGTCAGGTTAAGGACAGGAAGAGCCCTTCTGGAAACGATGCTGATTCAGTGGGTGGGTGGGGGGTGGCTGAGGTGGCTGCTAACACAACCCCTGCGTGGACACAGGGCATCACCAGAATGTGGGGGGAGCTCCCCGAGAAGCTTCTTCTGTGGAGTGACATCTGCTTTCTCACTGCTGATTTCTTTGTCTTTCCCCAAATAATCACTCCTGAAAATGCCCCCGTTTGACACCTGTGCCAGGGCCTGGCTGTGAGCGGAGCCTGGTGCGCCCTCTCTGGGATTGCACAGGAAGTCGCGAACGCTTCTCTTGCACATATGCGAGCAATCTGGCATACAATTTTAGGAACCTTGGAGAACTTCCCTCCTGCTTTCACCCTGTCAAGGGGAGCTAGTGTTTAAAGCTCCTGGTCTGGTAGGGGACAAAGATTCCTAAATCACAATTAAAACATGACCCAGTATACCCCCGAAAGGTCTCAGGGACTCTGCGAACCTAGACAGGCACCTCGCCTAGCTGAGGGCTGGGGAGGGAGGACTTTGTGCAGGAGACACTTGGTATGCAGAATACAAAGGACAGATGGGGCTGTGCCTGGAAAACCGCCTTTGGCCTTCTGCAGGCCGCAGGCACTACATAAGCCAGGGCCCAGGCTGGGAACAGGTCCGTATCCACAGGGCTGACTCACACCACCAGGGCTAGCCACACCCAGCAGCCAGCCTCCCTGGAGGCAGGTAGCAGGGAGGCCCTTCCCATGTCACAGGTGGGAACAGCAGGGTTGGCACCATCTGCCTTGCCCTGGTGTCATCCTTCCCCATGGCACCAGCTGCCCTGTCTCAGGATTCCCTTGGGGAATCTGTCCCACGTCCAGATGAAGTTCCCTTTCTGTGTTGTCCTGTGGGGACAGTTTCCTGGGGAGTCTGCTCTGAGGGTGGGTAGGGGGGTGGAGGCAGGAGCTGCCAGCCCTCACCTCTCTGGTTATGCTCAAGGGTCCCTGGTGCCCTGCTTGGAGAACATAATGACGGAAGACTGGCTGAAGGAAGTGAAAGCTGGTGAGTCGCATACCCAGGTTGTGGGGTTTCTGGGGTCAGGGAGACCACGTGTAGATGTCAGTGGATAATGGGAAGGGAAGGGAAGGGACATGTTCCAAGAGGAGGTATTCAGTGACGTTCAGTCACGCAGGTCCTAACCTGGGGTGAGGGCAGTGTGAGGTACCTGGGGTGACCAAGGTGCAGAGCAGAAGCCAACAGTTCCATTAAAGAAATGGGGCTCAAAACTGAGGTCAGGCCAGGTGTGGTAACTCATGCCCGGAATCCCAGCACTCGGAGATTGCGGGGCTGAGACAGGAGGACTGTTAAAGAGTCTAGCCTGGGCTACATAGTGAGTTCAAGGCCAGCAAGATTCTGTTCATGAAACTAACTGGCAAATTCGAAGTCGTGATTTCTAGTACTGAAAAACTAACAAATAAAACCAACTGCCCTTCAAAACAAAAGCCAAGGCCAGAAGCTGTGTAATCCTTTTTGGTCTTTTGAGACAGGGTTCCCCTTGGTAGTGCAGGCTGGCCTTGAACTCACTATGTAGCCCAGGCTGGCCTGGAACTGCTGTAATCCTCCTGCCTCAGCCTCCCAGTGCTGGGATTACAGGTGTGCACCCCCACACCCAGCAGGTAGTATAGACTTTTAAGAGGACACAGTTTATTTTGTAGTGAGGAGAGCAGATGGGAACATGAAGTTGCACAGGCAAGCCAGGAAGACTTCCTAGAGGAGGCAGGTTTTCACTCAGGATTGGAAAGGTGTGGATAAAGAGCTGGGAGGAAGCGAGCCCAGGAGGTGCTGAGAGAGGGCGCCTAAGCCAAGACGTGGGAATGTGAGCTTAATGAGTGGCCTCTCTTCCCCACGATGCAGCTCTAGAGAATCTGAGACATGACCCAGAGGCATCTGTGTGTATCTATGCGGCCCAAGCCCAGGACTACATCCTGTCCAGCTGCTGGAGGAACTCCTGGCCACTGCCGGGCTGGGACTCACTGGTGTGTGGCCCGGCCCCCTCGCACTGCTGCAGCCCCAGCCCTGAGGACCTGCCCACTTCCCACAAGCGGCGCTCCTGGATCATGCAGGCCCTGGGTGCCTGGAAAACCACCTTGAAGCAGTGACTTCGGGCCCTGCGCTCCTAACTCACCATAAATGCTCCATGAGGGCATTCTGGGCACTTCCTCATGGGACAGGCGGGCTCTGAACACAGCCGCACTGTGTGTGGCAAAGCTGAGTGGGTGTGGCCTTCTCTTGCTGACTACACTGCAATTCACTGAGGCACGCAGGCTGTTTTGTCTCTGTGTCCCTGGGGATGCCGAGGCTCAGAGAGGCCAAGTGGCCTGTCCAAGGTCACACAGTAAGTCTACTGGACATCTCAGCTTCCCTCTTTTCACACTGCAGGAGCAAAGTGAGGTGATGATTTGGGTGGCCCTTGGGGAAAGGAGAAGGAAAGCAGAGCCTCCTCCCACTCTGTGAACCCTGAGTGTGAGCCCCACTCCTAGGCCCTGGCCCTGCATTGACCACTGCTGATTCCAGCAGTCACTGGTGAGCTCCTAACCTGGCCAGGCCTGCTCTAGGTGCCACGGGTACAGACCAGAGCAGGATCCAGCACCAGGCCCTGGGCAGTGGCTCTCAAGCAAGGGTGCTCTTGACTCCAGGGAATATTCAGCAGTGTCTGGAGACATTTCTGGTTGTTGTCACTTGAGGGTGGCAATGCTATTAACATTGACTCCACAGAGGCCAGGGAGGCCGGTAAACGGCCTACAGTGTGCAGGATCCTCCTGTAGCAGGGCTCCCTGTCCACATTATCTAAAGAGCTACAGTTGAGGAGTTTTGGCTTAATGGAAGTATCAGGGACATGAAAGACACCAAGGGCATGGCAGGGAGTCAGGGGGGCTGTGGGGTACAGAGGACACACTAGGCCAGATGGGTTGTTGCCATGTTAGGGAAGGCTGCTCAGAGAACAGACCCCCAGGGCTTTGAAAAGATGGCCACGTGCTGGGCCTGTGTGCAGTGGAGCAGGGTGTGTGGACACCTGCAGGTCTGTAGGGCCGTGGAGTCCAGTGAGCAGGGAACAGCAGGGGATGGGACATAGCACGTAGGCCTCAGAGCTGTGCTGGGCGGGAGACTTCATCCAGGGAGCATGGAAAGGCACTGCAGGATGCTAAGCAAGGAACAGATGTGGGCAGATGTTGGCTTTAGGATGCTCTATCCTCAGCTAGGCTGTTATCTCAGCACTAGAGAGGCTGAGGATCCAAGAGGATCCAAGGCCAAGGCCAGCCTGAGCTACATAGAATTCAAGGCTAGCTTCGACTGCACAGCAAGGCTGTACCTTAAAAAAGAAAAAGGAAAAGGTTCCTTCCTTATGGGGATGCAATAGCCCCCTGGTGTTGCTGGGGGGAGGGAAGACTGCTGCAGATACTCTGGACAGGGCTCTGTCACTGTTCAGGCACAGTAACTTTACATATAGCTCTCAGCAGCTCCACCAGGGGGTACCTATCTCAAGGGACCCTTCTCTAGGTCCCCTGCAAGAGATGTACGAGGACATCCACTGCAGTGTCTGTCATGCAGGGGAAAGAGGCAGTCTGGTACTGTCCTTGGGGACAGAATGAGCTCCATGGAGTCCCAAGTGTAGTTAGAGGCACTGAGAGTCACACAGCACCTGGGGGACCTTAAACCTTGTGCAGGGTGAGAAAAGTACACTGAAAAATGTATGCATGAGCTGGACAAGGAGGCACATGCTTGTAAGGCCCATGTGGGAGGATTTCAAGTTTAAGTCCCACCTGGGCAACTTAGTGAGACCCTGCCTCAACATAAAAAATTTAAAAAGGGCAGCAGACGGGGCTCAGTACGAAGGCCCTGGGTTCAATCCCCACTACTGGAGATTACAGAAAAGTGACTTGGGATTAACAGATGGCATTGGCCTCTATAAAAGACTCCAGAGAGCTCCCTCATCCTTCCCACCACAGGAGGACACAGTAAAGATAGCATCTGTGAAGCACGAAACTTCACATCAAATCTGTCAGTGGCCTGACCTTGGACTTCCTAGGCCTGTAACCTCTTCAAAATCAATGTAGCTCCTAAGCCACGAAGTCTGTGGTGCTCGGTTACAACTGCCTGGTAGACTAAGACAGCTGTACTGCATTGAACTCAGCAGAGGTCAGAGATGGAAACAGATTTAGGGTTCAGCTTTAGCGAGGGGGTATGGTGAGACTCTATTGAGACATGAGCCCAAGTGGCTCTGATCTAAGCTCTCTTAGGGGATGAAACACCTATAAAGTTCACTGCACAATCATCTTCCCATGGGGAAAGCCATCTGCACAACCAATCCATGTTTGCAAACTGCCTCTCTGAGCCTAACTATAGGCCCTGTGGATCTTGGAAGGCAGGTCAGCTTTCTCACATCTTCCTGATAAGGATGCAGCGTAACAGAGCTCAAGAGGGCGCTGGACCTCGACCACAGTCATATGGTCATACATGAAACCAGTGGAAGTGTGTTCCTCAAAGGCGCCCCAACTCTCATGCCGTCTTTCTATCAGAGCGTGCTGTGTTCATTGGCCTTGGAGCAGAGGCTATTCATCAGGTCCATAACTGCTTTGGGTGCCAAGGTTCAAGAGCCCTGAGCAGATTGTTTCCTGTCTCTGAGCCTACTGGTACCTGTAAAATGGGTTCTTATCTCTCAAGGTTCCTATAGGAATCCAAAACTGGAAGCTGCTATGGTTGAATATAGTTTGTCCCCATCCCAACTCACCTTGCAGCTTTGTTCTCAAGGCAGCGGTGTTGGGAGGTATTTGGCTTGGGTGTAGCATTGTTCTAGCACTGTTCTCACAGTGGTCCACACTGGCACTTGCCCTGGGGTTTCTCTCGCACGTGCATGCTTGCCCATCTGCAGAAGCTGAGAAGATGCCAGTGCCATGTTTTTTGCACTCCCAGCATCACAGTGTAAACTAAAATAAACCCCTAGCCGGGTGTGGTGGCTCACCCCTGTAATCCCAGCACTTGGGAGGTTGAGGTGGGTGGACTGTTGCGAGAGTTCGAGACCAGCCTGGGTTACAAAGTGAGCTCAAGGCCAGCATGAACTGCATAGCAAGACCTTGTCTCAAAAATAAAATAAACCCCTTGTCAGTTTCCCAGCCTTAGGCACACTGTCATTCCCCAGAAAACAGTAAAACAGAAGCAAAAGCACTTTATGGGTTTTGCACTCGAGAACATGATGAAGTGGAGAATAAGGGAGGGAACCAAGGTTAAGAAGCAGGAGGGAGGACACGCACCCAATGCCTGCAGGTCAGGCAGCACTTGGACTACATGTTCTCCTGGACACCAGTCAGGAGGGAGACAGTCCTGGCCTGGAAGGCTCACAGTCATATCTGCATCATCCTCAGCCTTGCTCTTTCCTTTATGCCTCTCCAAATGACCAGGCTGCTCAGTGTCCCCACCCTCAGCCTGTTGTCTGCAGCCTACTGGCCAGTCCTTCACCTGGAAGCTCAGGCCTCCCCAAACAAAACAGCTCATGACCAACCCTCCCTGGCCTTTCCAGTGGCTCACTCTGCCTTCCCTGACCAAGAAGGCAGTCAGGCCCTCCAGCCCTACACACCTTGCTGGCCTCACCCCTTGAGTCATGTATGTGGTGCCCAGCCTGCCAGGCTGTCACACACTTCTATGCCCTCTGTACACCACCTTCTGCCACCTGACTCCCAGCCTTTTTCCTGAGTGCGAAGCCCTGCCTGCTCTCATCACCACCCAAGGCAAGGCTTCCTGGAAAAGCCACCTTCTGCGACTGCACTGTGCCTCCCAGTGACCCTGTGAGTGCCAGTGCAGGTGACTGCTGTGTGCTTCTCATTCTAGATGGGGCTAGGAACACTCCAAAGCTACAGCACCTGTGCAGGGCCCTGTGGTTATTTGCTGATGACCGGCTGGTTGCAAAAAGCCAAATGGGCCTGCCTGGCATAAACTGGACGCCCTGCGCCCTCTGCTGTGAGGGTGGGGCCGGGGTTAAGCTCAGACCAGCCACACCTCTCCTTGAAACTCTCCACAAGCTGCTGCTGGGACGCACTGCCGTGATCCCAGCATTCTGGGAGGCGGTGACAGGAGAATCACAAGTTCCAACCCAGTCCAGGCAACTTAGTGACTTTGTGAGACACTGACTAAACTAGAAAGGGCTAGGGATGTAGCTCAGTGCTAAGGCCATGGGCTTAATCCCTGCTACCACAACAAACAATCCCCCCCCCCCAAAAAAAAAAAAAAACCAAAAAAAAAAAAACCCCACCCTTCCACAAGGTTGCACCCGGCCTGAAGAAAAGCCGAGCCCTCAGTCACCTTCTGCCGCTTCCCGGGAGTCCCTGCCCTTCCCCAAGCCCGAGTCTCTCCACCCCGCGCGGGGCACAGGCGAGAAGCAGAAGGCGCTCCGTACATAGCGCCAGCTGACCAATGGGTGAGCCCATGCAGCGGTCGCGGGGACGCTGGGAGCCTAGGATTACCCCCGCTCCAACCCCAGCCTCTCGCTGGGCGCTGGGCGGCGGGGAGCGCTGGTCCCCGAGGCAGGCGGAACGCGAGGCGCGCGCTCTGGCGCGTTCCGGAGCACTAAAGCGAGCGCACGGCGCCGCCGGAAGTAGCGCCTGGCTGCTCGGGCCCGGGACTCCTGCGGGCGACCGGAGCGGCCATGGAGGGCTCTCAGCCAGACGCTGCGGACGACAAGGACATGGACGCTTTCCTGGACAAGTTCCAGAGCCAGCCTTACCGCGGTGCCTTCCACAAGGATCGGTGGGAGGAGGTGGGCGGTCCCCGAGGCTCTGCGCCTGGGCGCGGGAGCCGTCACACGTCCTAGCTCCGCGGCTGCCCTCCCGCCCCGGTCCTTATCGTTGCCAGCAGATGGGTGGATTCTAGCCGGGTGCTAACAGTTGGCCTGGACACTTTCGGGATTCTCTCTCTCCCTCTCTCTTCCTTCCTTCTTTCCTTCCGGCAGAGTCTCACTATGTAGTGCAGGCTGGACTTGAACTTGCGTGTAGCCCAGGGTGGCCTCGAACTCACCGTGATCTCCCTGCCTCGGCCTCCCGCGTGCTGGGATTGCAGAGATGCGCCACCATACCCAGGCCGTTTTAGGATCTTCTTAAACTCAGTATATTAAAACTGCAGGGAGTGCAGACAGGCTTGTGACTCCACCACTTGACACTAGGACATTTTCTTAACTTCTCTGAGCTTGATCCTTCATGTGTAAAATTGCTTTCCCTTTAGCACCAGTCACGTGGAGTTGTGGGAAAAATGAAGCGAGATGATAAGGGAGCAACACAAAAGCGTTCAATTAATGGCGATTACTACCTCCCTTGTAAACTGTTAGAAATGAAAAAATAAAAATGAAAGAAAGATAGCATTACCTGACATTCTCATTTTACAAAAGGGGAACTGAAGCCTGTAGAGATAAAGTGAATAGTGATCATCTGCAATCATGACAAGTAAGAAAACTGTGATGATGAGACATGGAATTAGAAATACTCAGAAGTCTTCGTTATTTTTTAAAATTAGTACATGTTTCTAGTACATAATTACAGTTATCGTGGGGGAGTTGACATATGTATATAATAGTTCTTAACTGGTTTTTCTCTTTAAAAAATTGCCTCCCGCTCCATCTCCTCCCTCTGTGCTTCTTCCAGCTTTTGGTATTCTTCCCGTTGGCAAAAGCTCTATTTTCATTTTTTTCCAGTTCTTTTCCATCTCCTTTCCCTTCTCTCCCTTCTGCCTTCCTCCATCTTTTGTTCTCCGTCTGTTTGAAAAAGATCACCCCTACTAGCTATTTATCTTTTTATCTTGCTCATATACATATGTGTGTATATTGAATTTCTCATATGAGAGAAATTGTGATATGAAGCTTGTGTGTCTGGCTTATTTCACATAATACTATGGTCTCAAGCTGCACCCGTTTAACTTCTCATGCCTCGAGTTTCTTTATAGCAGAGTAGTACTCCATTGTGTATAAATACCATGTTGTGTTTATATCCATTCATCTGGTGATAGGCATATAGTCATTTCCAGGATTTAACTACGGTGTTATAAGTTGGGCTGCTATAAACATGAGTATGCCTAATATGTCTTTAACTATTTTGGAAAGATACTTACTTGCAAGGGGAATAGCTGGATCCAGTGGAATTAATATTTTTTAGTTTTTTTGAGGGGTTGCCACACTGCTTTCCAAGTGGTTGTACTAGTTTGCACTGTGACCAGCAATGTAGAGGAGTCCCTTTTCCCCACACCTTTACCAACATTTTTTATTTGGGCCATTTTTTTCTGGAAAAAGATGGTATCTTTTTCCAGAATGTTGAATGTTGTTTTAATTTGCATTTCTGCAAATGGCCATTTTTTCATGTATGTATTGATCATTTTTACTTTTGAGAAGTATCTATACATTATGGTTGTCTTATTTTTTGAGTGAATCTTTTTCTTTTTGAGGGATCTAATTCTTTTGAGTTCTTTATATAATCTAGAGGTTAGTTGGCTAAAGAGTAACTGCCAAGATTTTTTCCGCATTCTGTAGGTTGTCTCTTCATTCAGTTAGTTGTCTCTTTTGCTGTATAGAAGTCTTTTAATTTGATATTATCCCCTCTGTTGATTCTCAGTATTCTTTTTTTTATTTTTTAAATTTTTAAAATTTTTTTAGTATTCTTGTGCCACTGGGGTTCTGTTCAGGAAGTCTGTGCCTGTGTCTGCAAGAGTTTTACCTATTTTATCTTGCAGCAGGTTAAGGGTTTCTGTTTTAGCATTTAGATCTTTGATCCATTTTGGCTTTAGTTTAGCACGTAATGAGGGACATGGGTCTAGACTCAGTCTTACGCATGTGGCCATCCAATTTTCCCAGCACCATTTTTTAAGAAAACTGTCTTTCCTCCGGCATTTGCTTTTGACTCCTTTGTCAAAGATCAAATAGCTGAATGTGTCTGGGTTGTGTTTGCTTCCTCTGTTCTGTTCCATTGACTGACACATCTGTTTTTTGTGCTGGTGCTATGCTGTTTCAATCATAGTAGCTTTGTAGCGTAACTTAAGACTTTGGATTGTGATGCATTCTGCTTTGCTTTTGTTATTCTGTTATGCTTTTCAGAATTGCTTTTACTATTCTAGGTCTCTTCTGGGTTCGTATGAGTTTTAGGATTTTTTTCTAGATCTGTGAGAAATGCTGTTGGTTTTGATGGGGATTGCATTAAATGTATCAGTTGAAAGTATAATAATTTTGATTATATTGATTTTGACTAAGAATAGGGGATAACTTTCTGTTTTTTTGAGTTTCTTTCTTAGAATGGTGTAATTTTCATAGTAGAGGTCTTTTACTCTCTTGGTTATTTCCTTACATTTTATTTTTTTGTCTTTTTGAAACAAGGTCTCGCTGTGCAGTTCAGGCTGGCCTTGAACTCACTTTGTAGCCCAGGCTAATCTTGAACTTGCAACTATCTGCCAGCCTCCGCCTCCCAAAGGCATGAGCCACCATACCCAGCAATGTAGCTTTTTTTTTTTCTTTTTGGGATGGGGATCAAACTCATGACCTCACATTTGCCAGGCTCGTGCTTGTGCTATTGAACTAAATTTGCAGCCCTGTTATTTCCTAAGGATTTTATTTTTCTTCATGCTATTTTGAACAGTATTGGTTTCCTAATTTCATTTTCAGGGAGCTCATTGTTAGTGTATAGGAACCCTATGTGTGTGTTTCTTTTGTATCTTGCTACACTGTTGAATTTGGTTATTTTAAGAGTAATTTGTGGAATTTTTTGGGTAAGTAGAGGATCATGTCATCTGCAAATAATGATACTTTGACTTTGTCCTTTCCTGCACATATTTCTTTCTTTTACTTGATTGATCTGGCTTTTCATGAACTTTGTGTAACAGGAATGGTGATTGTGGACATCCTTGTCTTGTTCCTAATTACATCAGGAAAGCTTTCAGTTTTTCCCTCTTTAATACGATGTTGGCAGTAGGTTAATCATAAATAGAGATAGGGTTCTTCTGTGTCTGTTTTCTTCGGAGTTTTGTCACGAATGGATCTTAGATTTTGTTAGTGACTTTTTCTTGCTTCTGTTTATTTAATGAATTACATTTATTGATTCCTGTATGTTGAAACATCCTTGCATCCCTGGAATGAATCCTATGACTTTTTTCATGATTTGTTGCATCCTGTTTGCTAGTACCTTGTTGAATATTTTTGCATCTGTGTTTTTTAGAGAGATTGCCCTGTAGTTCTTTTTTGGATCCCTGTCTAGTTTTGCAGGGTCATGATAGTTTCCAAGAATGACTTTGGAAGTTTGCCTTTCCTCTTAATTTCATTAGAGACCTTGAGGAGTATTGGTGTTAGATCTTCCCCCAAGTTTTTGTAGAATTTGGTGATAAATTAATCAGGTCTTAGGCTTTTCTTAGTTGATAGCTTTTAAAACTTACTCCTTCAATTTCATTGGCTGTTACTGGATTAATGAGGATTTTTAAGTGTCTTAGCTCAGTCTTGGTAGCTCACATCTCTCTAGGAATGTCTCCATTTCTTCTGAGTTCTCCCTTTTTTTTGACAGACAGGTTTGTGAAGTCGTTGTTAATAATCTTCAGGATTTCAGTAATGTCCTTTGTGATTTCATCTATTTTATTTCTAATTTCTTTGATTTGTGTCTTGTCTTTTTTGGGTTAGATTGTCTAAGGGTATGTTTGTTTTGTTGGTTCTTTAAAAAAGCAGCTCTTTAATGCGTTCTTTGTGTTATTTTTTTAGTTTCTGTTTCATTGATTTCTACTCTGATCTTTATAATTGCTGTTCTAATAGCAATTCTTACAGGGACCCTGGATTTGTTGTTTTTCTAAGTCCTTGAAGTGCATCCTTAAGGTTATTTGTTTGGGCTTGTTCTGTCTGTCTTTCTACTGTGGTCATTCACAGCTCTCATAGGACTGTTCTCATTGTGTTTTAATATAAGTTTTAATATATTGTGCTGGCATTGTCATTTAATTCTAGGAACTGTCTTATTTCTTCTTTAATTTTTTGTGACCCGTTGATTATTCAAAAGTGTGTTGTTTAATTTCCATATATTTGCATAATTTCTGTGGTTCCCATTGCTATTGCTTTCTAGTTTCATTGCACTGTGGTCTGATGATATGAATAATAAAATTTTGATTCCTTTGTATTTTCTTAGGCATGCTTTATTACCTAGTATGTAAAAGTGCTTTTGAAAAGAATGTATATTCTGTCATTGTCCGGTGGAACATTGAATATGTTTATTAAGTACGTTTGTCCAAAGGTTCAGTCTAACTCTGATATTTCTTTGTTGATCTATTTGTAGATTAAGTTGTGGTAAATCTGTTTCTGACAGATCAATTTATAGTATTGAGGTGCCCAATTATGATTGTATTGATATTTATCTACTCTTGTATGTCTATTAATGTTTTATAAAGTTAAGTACAGTGTAGTTTGGAGCATATGTTTATGATTGTTATCTTTTCCTGTTATATAAGTCTATTAATCTTTAGTGTCCCTTTTACTTCTTTTGATCAGCTTTGGCCTAAAGTTTTATTTTATTTTATTTTTATTTTTAAATTTTTTTTTTGTGATACTAGGGATCAAACTCACGACCTTGCACTTGCCAGGCAGGCGCTTATGCTGCTGAGCTAAATCCCCAGCCCTATTTTATTTTAATTTATTTATTTAGAGACAAGGTCTCACTATTCAGTTCAGGCTGGCTTTGAACTCTCAGCCATCTCCTTCCTCAACCTCCTGAGTGCTGGTATTACAAGTGTGGGCCCCCATGCCCAGCCTCTAAAGTC